ACATGTATCATCTTTAAAATAAATAATAAAGTCACATTCTTATAATTGACCAACACTAAGCAAGCAACTTATGTGCCAACTTTAGAACAAAATAAACTTCATGAATTAATATATTTACACTTGATTTTGTTAGAACAACAATATTACTAATGCCTTTAATTCTCACACTATTTCCATCACTAATAGTAACATCACAAACTATAGAAGTATCAATATTCTGAAATAAATTCTTTCACTTGTCATATGATTGCTGCAACCACTATCAATAAATTATATATTTGATTTACTTGAGTTTGAAGATACATAAGTCATGTCAGCCGCTAGATTTTCATATCTATCATATGTGGTGCAGCGGTATCATGATTATTTAATTCTTGAATATTTTATTCTAGTCGTAATTATGTTGAATGCAGGAAGATGAAGTATCACATATGAGCGGAAGACAAGAAGACGTAGACTGCCAATCAATGATTGCACCTCTTATTTCGGTAGTTAAAGACGTCTTGTCATTGAAAGCAGGTGTTAAGCATGTTCTCCCACCAAAAGTGACAGTTAAGCACATTCTCCCACTGAAAGTAGTAGTTAAGCACGTCTTGTCACCGAAAGTGGCAGTTAAGCACGTTCTCCCACCAAAAGTGATAGTTAAGCATGTACTTGTCACTAAAAGCGGAGGTTAAGCACGTCTTCTCACCAAAAGTGACGGTTAAGCACATCTTGTCACCGTAAGGGACGGTTAAAAACATATGTTGTCAACCGTCACCTTTTGGTGGTTCATTTGCACTAGAGACACCCAATCAATGGCCCAGATTTCTCCATCTTTTAGGATCAATATTTGATGATCTAGAAGAGGTTTCAAGCCCAAATTTTGTAGGCACAATCTTCAAGATGTGCTCTTTGCATCTCCACATTTGGATCGATGAACCATTTTCAAGAAGGTTGTGAAAATAGAGGAGAGGAGCTAGAGATATTTTGAGAAAGGGTCAAGGATTTTTTGAGAAACTTTACTTATATGTATTCCCTTCACCCTCTTTCCTTCTCATCTTTTTGGAATGAACCCCAATAGTGGTTGGCCAGAGTGAAACAACTTATATTCTAAACATTCATTCTTCTTCGTCTTTTATGTAATCTTGAGTGATCAAAAGAGGCCTTGAGGATAAAGTTGTGTTGAGGATTAAGTTACAAGGAGTAAAATGCTAAAGATCAACTTGTCAGAGGAAATTGCTTGACCTTAGCGATAGATAATGGCCCAAGTTGAGCCATCTTCTTCCCTGTGCTTACTTGTTTCCTTTCCTTCTTTCCTAGCGTGAAACCTAGGATTTTAGATATGTTCTTAGTAGTTACATTATTCCTTGTCAACTTCGACCAATCTTTCTTGTTGAAATATTTTCAAAACTTGTTTTCTACAATCCTCTAGTTCAACCCTGATCTAGGGTTTCCTTCATTACATCTCATTTCATCCATATTTCTCATCTCTCACTTATCTCTCATCTCTCTTTCTCTTGTCTATTTTATAACTTATTTCTTCTCATTACTTAGGATTTCTTAAGATCATTAATTTTTCTCCTTATAGTTCAACCCCTATCTTACCCTCTCTACTTATTAGATTGATTAGAATAATGAAAATATAAATAATTTTAGATAACTTCACTTTGGACTAACAACATCTCCAATTTAGAGTTATCAAATGAGGAATCAGTGTCCAAGTCCCCCAAGATATCAAGGCCTCCACTTTTGAGTACATGGCCGCCTTCCACTCAGATACTTATGTCGCTTCAACATGTGAGTGGGGAATTGACTAAGAGGCTACAGAAAGGGCAAAGGTACAAAAAGAGGGGGAAAGGCAAATGTAAGAAATGTAGTGAGAGATGGGGTGTTGAATACAAGCACGAGTACCTAGTGCAAGGTGATGGAAAGATGAAGATCATCTTGAAGAGCATTGAGAATGTCAACGGGAGGCACAGTTCTCTCAATGGAGGAGGGGGATGACGAATCTACAATCAAAGCGGAGGAGATCGTTGGAGATGGGGAGCTAGGAGAAGGAGGTGATGGTGGAGAGGACAAATAGGAAGGAGTCGAAGGAGATAGATCCGGAAAGACCACCAAGAGGAGAAAGTTAAGTGGAGGAGAGGTGGCAGCTCAAGAAGGAAAGAGAAAGGTAGAGGATAAGAAAGAAGACTCCCCATGAAAAGTGACGTCAACTGATGTAACGTAGCAATGGGTGTCTAGAACGTAAATCATAATAGCCCTTCTACGTTCGGGAGTAGTCGACAAAGACCTCTTTGAGAGCATGAGGGATGAGTTTGGATAGGGAATGAGAGTGATCCTAGACAAAAATAGTGCATCCAAAGACTCGAAGAGGAAGAGAAAATAAAGGTGAGATAGGTATGATGTGTTAAAGGGGAATGAGCCTACTTAGAGGAGGGGAAGGAAGTTGATTCTGGAGGTAAGTGGGCGTCATGAGAGCGTTAGTCTACAAATAGTGATGTTAAGGAGATGGTGATGTAGGACAAGTGGTTTGATAGATAATGTCATGATTGGCATAGAAGTTTTATAGAGAGGTTTGGACAAACTCGAAGGCATTGTTAATACAAAAAGTTTAGGGTGTAGTGGAATATTGAGTGACAACTTTCATGATAAAATAGGTAATAGTAGTGATTACCTCAAAGTAGTCGCATAAGAGGTATACCCAACTCACATGAGTACAGTCATCAGTAAGAACAATGTAATATAGGTGGCCCGAGAAGGAAATAGTATGAGAAATACCCCATACATCACAATGGATGAGATCTATTGACAATTAAGAAGAGAAACTCTTAGAATATACTTTTTTCATATTAAAGGATTACATGTGTATATATAAATCCCTAATGAACCCTGATGTGACTTAGTCATTGTATAGTAAATCAAGTAAATTTAAAATTTATAAAATTAAAAAGTACTAATTTTAAGATATTTATAAGTATTTTTAAATAAATATATCAATTATAATTCAATATAACTTCCAAAAATAGTGGTAATTTTTCAAGTTGATCACAAAGATGTAATATAATATCGCGTAATTTTTTAGAATTGTCCTCAAAGAATACAATTTTTTATGAATTTTATAATATAAAATGAAAATAAAATATATTTAAAATTCACAAAAAAGGGAAATAAGGGTGCGGATGTCAAGATGACGTCAGCGCTCGACGAATGCATATCGGGTGGAAATAGAGTTCTACTTGATGATTCTTACATAAGTGATTACAAACGATTTAATTGATCAAATTAAGATCTATAAAAGCTAAAAGAATCGTAATTGAATGAAGTATAGTTTGGTAAATTTAAATCACATAAATTATTATTAAATGAAGTGAAAATTAAGTTGAAAGCAGAAAAATAGAGTTCCGACGTCGTGAAGGCGATGCGTCGATGATGCATTAAAATTCTGAGCATTTGGGAGAATTGTCATATAGTGTCTATGGCCTCGAAGGCTCTCTTTGGACAAAGATGACGTGGGCAATCTCTAGATTTCCTTGCGAAGTCTAGGGATTAATGAAATAGGTTGTTGAGTCGTCTCTGCCGGCTGTCATCTGGCAAAGTAGAAAAACGACGACTTTGCGGCTCTCTAGCGGCTGCCACCGACAGAGAAGAGATGAATAAAGGAGGGACGCGTGTCAAAAAGTTTCATCCTCAAGTTCACATAACAAGAGGGGGCTCTTCATCGCATCTAGTATGCTCTTAGGAAGTGACAACTCATCTCTTGACGGATTGTCCTCTTCCCAACGACAGCTTGTTTGTCGATCAATCGGAGATAATTTACTTGATGGATTTGCAATCCTTTTATCACGAATCATTCTGTAATCTTAGTAACAATACTTTGCGAATCACGTTGACAAGATTTTTGCCGATGATCTACCGATTTTGCCGGTTTAATCCTTCACTGGCAATCTATAGGAAAGTCATGATAATCAAATAAAAATACGAGTTTTGGCTCTAGAAAGATTTGAACCCACGCTAGTTATCCACCTACATAAGAGAGATTGAAATAAGTACTCTAATACCCTTATCAAGTGATGCCATCATAGTATATCTCTATTATAAATAAGGAGTATTTTAGGTATTAAAATATTTGAAGCTTTTAAGGAGAAGGTTTGACGTAGGTTTAGTCTCACATCGCTTGTGTGCTGAAGTTTCGGGCAAATATATAGTAATATTACATTTGCAAATAATGAGTCCCTTTCTCCCGCATATACAACCACTTCTTGCCCCATAGCTAGTTGGCCACCGGTGACATGGAAGGGGAATGGCGCACACGTGCCCCCATCAGTCCTAGCCGCTCGAGCCCTTGCTTGCAGCTCTTCCCCGATTGTGCTTCTAACTCGCTTGCAAGACTAGCTGGCTAGCAGGTCCCTCCTATTTTGTTATATTTTTATTTGAATTTATTTTTCTTTATTTATCTAGAAAATAAGATTATAAAATCATATCAATTTATAGAAAATCACATAATTAGTCAAAATTTCATGTTAATAAATTAAAAACTACTTTCCACACTTTAACACAAATATAAGTCTATTTATCATGAGTTAAAGCTAAAACTATATTATTTACTAATTATTAACTCATGATAATGAAGACTTATCAAGCCCTAATGGGACGAATACTATCAAAAACTCCTCCTCAAGTTGTAGCATATAAGTTGAATATGTCCAACTTGGTACACATGGCATCGTAGAAGATTCTAGCTAGACTTTTCATAAAGACTTTCGCGAGCTAATGAGATGAGGACACATGAGAAATATAGATGAGACTAGATATAACTTTGTCTCGAATGTGGTGACAGTCAATCTCAATATACTTCTTACGCTCATGAAAAGTGTGATTGACAACAATAAAAATAGTATCTTGATTGTCACAATACATGGACATCAGAGAAGGAGAAAAGATGCCGAAATCTTTAGAAAGTGATTGAAGTCATACCATCTCTCATGTAGTCTCAACCATGGCTCAATGCTTAGACTCTATGTTGGAGTAAGACACCACCCTCTATTTTTGAGACTGCTAAGTGATGAGGTTACCTCCGACATATGTGTAGTAACCTATAGTAGACTTTTGGTCACCCTTGTCACTTGCATACCCAACATTAGAATAGGCTTCGACACGGTGATGACTATGTTACACAATATCAAGACAAGTGATGGTGAGATATATCAACTTGCACAACAATCGTCTATACTAATTAACATTCTCAAAGAGTAGAGAGGAAGTATCCTAGAATTGTAGACAAGCCTCTATGGACAAAGTCTCAACTTGCACCCAAGGAGTTTAGTCTCTTAAAGCATGTCAAAAGCATACTTTCGCTGGGTTATGATGAGCTTTCTATCTAGGTATGCAAACTCAATCTTAAGAAAATATCTTGGAGTCCCTAAGTCACAGATGTTGAGATGCTGTTACAAATAAACTTTGGTCAAATGAATGTCGGCCTCATTACTCTTAGTCATAAGAATGTTGATGATGTAAACTACAAGAATGACTAGGCCACCCTCAATCTTCTTTGTGAGTATAGTGAGATCTGCAACGCATGATGAGAAGTCAAATGTGGTGAGAAGACTACTAAACTTGGCTAATCAAACATGTGGACTCTACTTGAGCCTGTAAATCACCTTTCATAAGGAACACACATTAGATGACTCCCCTTAAGTAACATATCCTGGAGGTTGCTCCATGAAGACTTGCTCCTCGAGATCACCATAGAGAAAGGGGTTAAAAACATCCAATTAGTAGAGAGATCATGCCTAATTTACGATGAGAGAGAAGAACACTCAGATAGAAGCGAGTTGGATGACTAATAACATGATATTTGTGTTGATTATTCCTTACATTTTATATGATTTTTGTTTATTTAAATCATGAAAATATCATGCTATTAATAGAATTATTTAAATATTCCTAGATTTGCATTAATTTCACTATTTACACACTACGCATGAATTTTGCATGATTTTGACTAACCCTGATTGACTTCTATGAAGTTAAATAGTTTTATTACTAACAAATATTTTCAAGTTTTCATGCGTGCAAAATTTAATAGAAATCAGCAATAAATTAGGAGCACTTTAGTGGATGAAAGTTAGCTTCATATGCTAGGAGTACTTTGGAGGAATTTCGGTTCTGAAGCTTAAAAGAGAATTAGAAGAGGTTTTGGGTCCATGTCCAGGCCCATTTAGACCTTCCTAAATCCATTCTAAAGGAAGAGATTTCGAAATTCTTGGAGAGAGATTAGGGAATTATGAAGGGGCATTTTAGTCATACTTGTCCTTATATAAAAACTCTTCTCTTCTCTCTCTCTTGAGTCGTTCTAGACGTGCTCTAGCAAGAGGCTGGCCAGTAGGACAAGGCTCTCCAAGGTCCAAGGATTCTCCTTGCTTGGTGTAAGTTTCTTGAAGTAATCATTCAATCTTCTCTCTTCTTTGATTTAGAAGAAAACGTCTGATCCTAGCGGAATATAAGGATCCGAACTTGAGAGGACGCATTGAGGGCTCAAGAAATGAGTACTAGGTTTTTTTTAGGAACTTAGGTTTGCATCAAATCATCATTTCTCTTCATCTCCATCGCCTCTCACCATTTCCCTTTCATTTTTCCTTCGTTTTCTCTCTCTATCCCACCATTTCGTCCACTTGTTCTCTTTAGGATTCGTGTTTTTTTTTCTCTCGAGGTCATCCTTTCTCTCTCTAGTTAGCCCTTCCAAAAAAGTCACAAAAAAAGAGATCATCCATTTCCTCATCCATCGCCGTTGTGATCCGCCACTCCACCGCTCCTCGTCTCTCTCGTCCGCCGACCACTGCTGCCACCTATCGCCAGCAGCCGCGCATCCGCTGACCACTGCTGCGTGCCCATCGCCAACCGCCGCACGTCCGCCGGCCACCGCCGCCGCCTATCGCCAGCCACCGTGCGCTCGCTGCTGGTCCTTGCGTGCCCGTTGCCCTCTCTCTCTCTACCTTTTCAGACGTAACCGAAAGTCCTAAATTTCAGTTAAGTCTGGAAACAGTCACGGGAGATTTGCGATTGCGCAGCCGCCCGCCCCCTAACCCGACCGTGAACCGCCAAGGTAAGTTATTTTATTATTATTTATTGTTGTTCTTTTGTATTTTTAAAAAAATCAATTAAAATTATAAAAGATATTACAAAATAAAATTCTAAGCATTAGTTGTATTTTCGGCACATAAATTTCAGAAAATTCTATTAAGCTCTAGAAAAATCCATAAGAATAAAATTTTAACTCCCAAACCTATTTCTACCATTTTTAGGCCTCAAACAATTTTGAAATTGAAGTTCTGCCACCCTATGGATCTACCCCTTACTTGCCCTATGTCTAATATAGGGTAATTAAGTGATTTTTTTTCTTAATTATTGTTGATTAAATCTGAATTAAAATGATGACACAAAACTATTAAAATTTAGACTTATCAACAATAGGGGAAAATGTCTCAATGTAGTCAATGCCATATGTTTGGGTGAACCCACGAGTAACCAAAGAAGCCTTGTGATGTATAATAGTGCCATCTAAATGATATTTGAGTGTGAACACCCATTTGCACATGACGATGTTGGCATCCGTCGGACGAGGAACTAGTGTCCAAGTCCCCCAAAATATTTAAGGCATCCACTTCTGAGTCCATAGCTCCCTCCACTCAAGTATTTGTGCTGCCTCAACATACGAGTCGAGAATTGACTTGGAGGCCATAGAAAAGGCAAAGGTATGAAAAGAGGGGAAAGACAATCATAAGAAATGAAGTGAGAGATGAGGTGTTAGTTACAAGCACAAGTACCTTTGCGTAGGGCGATGGAAAGATAAAGATCATCTTGAAGAGCACTAGGGACATCAGTGGAAGGCACAGTTAACTCAATGGAGGAGGGAGACAATGGATCTACAGCCAAAGTAGAGGAGGCCAGTGGAGACAGGGAGCTAGGAGGAGGAGGTGATGGTAGAGAGGACGAATAGGAAGGAGTCAAAAGAGATGGATCTGTAAGAACCACTAAGGGGGGAAAGCTAGGTAGAGGAGAGGTAGCGGCTCAAGAAGGAGGAAGGAAGGTAGAGGAGAAGAAAGAAGACTCCTTATGGAAAGTGACGCCAGCTAACATAACGTAGCGATGGGTCTAAACTTGATAGCCCTTCTATATTTAGGAGTAGCCCACAAAAACCCCTTTGAAAGTATGAGGGGCGAATTTGGATAGGAAAAGAGAATGATCTTGGACAAAGGCAGTGCATCTAAAGATCTAAAGAGGAAGTAAAAATAGGTGTGAGGTAGGTAGGAGGTGTTGAAGAGAAACGACCCCACCTTGAGGAGTGGAGGGAAGCTGATTTTGAAGGTAAGTGGCCGTGATGAGGGCATCAGTCCATAGATAGTGTGGAACATTTAGATCAAGAAGTAGGGTGCGAGTGATGTCAAAGAGTTGGTGATGTTTGCACTCAATGATACCATTCTATTGTGAGGTATAAGGACAAGTGGTCTCATGGATAATGTCACAATAGATGCAAAAGATTCAGAGAGAAGTTTGGACAAACTTGAGGGCATTGTCAGTGCAATTTTTTTTGGGTGTAATAGAATATTGAGTGATGACCTCCGTGATGAAGTAGGTAATAGTAGTGATGACCTCGAAGCGGCGTAAGAGATACTCCTAACTCACATGAGTGTAGTCATGAATAAGAACAACATAGTATTACTAGTTCGAGAGGGAATGAATACGAGAAGAACCCCATACATCACAATAGATGAGATCAAAAGGGGTAGAAGAAGAAATATTATCTCAACTGAGATAAGAAGAATGGTAGTGTTTACCTAACTCATATGACTTGCACATAAACTTCTTAAGAGAAAACTACGGTAAAGTTTTTTGAAGTTCTTAAAATAAGGATGTCCTAACAACTGATGTCATAAAAGAGAAGAAGTGATGGTAGAAGTAACAAAAAGTACCCAAAGATTAGAAGAAGGTTAAGTGAAAATGAGTTATAGACACCTTGCTCATTCTCATGGCCCAAATTAATTTTTTACTCGGTGTGCAGATTCAAAAAAGTACAATAAAAAAGAAAAAATATAATGATACAATCAAGGGCATGAGTAATGGCACTAATCAAGAAAAGATTCACAGAAAAGCCAAGAACATGGAGGACTTGCTAAAGGGAAAGGTCAAGAGTGAGGAAAGTAGTGCCAAGGCCTTTGATCAAATAAGTCTGGCCATTGGCAATGGTGACAGGGGGATAGGAAAGGGTAAGTTGATATGAAGATAAAAATGATGAAGTGTTGGTCATATGAGTGGAGGCCCTTGAGTTGATGATCCATGATGATGAAGAGGAAGCAAGGAAAGCATGTATACCTAGCATGAAGGGAGTTAGAAGCAAGGCAAAGCCAGCAGAAGAGGAAGCACTACTAGGACTATAATGATTGATGTAGAGGGCAAAATGTGTCATACTTTGCAAATGTTAGATTGCTCTTGAAAGTTGGGGTGGAGACATTTGAAAGAGCATGTGAGACGGGAGCTAAAGGAGCCATCACCGACTAGGCAAAGTAGGTTTGCTAAATTACTTCTAGCATTTATTGAACTAATGGTTTTGCTGCCGCAATAGGGACATGAGGAGAAAGAGTTGCAGCACTTCCCACGAAGAGGATGACTGCCCTCAAGGTGGGAAGATGGGCCATCAGCCCAAGCCTAAGGAGCGACGACGACCATAGTCGAGGGAGAAGTCATAACACTTGTGGAGGAAGATGAAAAGGACAAGGACGTACTAGTCGTGTGACTCGAAGTGCTGTAGAAAAGATGGTGGTGAGGTTGAGTACTCAATCACTAGAGAGAATGAAACCACAGATTTGGGACATGGTGGAAGGATAAAGTTTGCTAAGGTACACATCAGCATAGAACTTCTAGCGATAGCACTAGAACATCAAGAGGTCCATGACGGGAGGTCGATAAATGTTTATCTCTTGAATGAAGGCCTACAAGCGACCGTAGTGTGCCTGAAGAGAGATCGCCCTACTTACATCATCTCTAGATTGTCCCATAGAAGGCGCACTGACTTGATACGAGAGAGAGACTCTGCGATGCTTTACTCGATGTTATGGAGCATCCAAGTAATAATGGTTAAGTCAATTTGCAATCAGAAGGCAAAACAAGGGTCACGAAGAGCCAAAGAGTTGTCCGTGAGATGATGAAGGAAACAGTAAGACTGCGAAAAGAGCTCAAAGCCATCATGCGTAATTATAGCCGTTGAATATATATGTGGGCCGAGTGAGTTGCGCCGTAATAGTGGCATGCCGAGGGGGGGGCAGTGGAGGAGGTAGAACGTCATCTGGTAGGAGCTCCGAGGCAGGTGGGGATGGGGACGATAGAGAAGCCATGAAGGAGGCCATGAAGGAGGCCATGAAGGCGTAGGCGCTGGGGGAGCACAGACGGCACCGGCCAAGAGGTGTGCGCCGGGAGGGCACGGGAGGCTGAGGGTATGTAGCCGATGACGGAGACCTTGGGGCACAGCTGGAGGGAGACTACGGTGGGGGCAGGGACCACGGCCGTGGCGGAGGCTGCGGCCGCAGTAGGGGCCGCAACGGTAGAGGCTATGACAGCAGAGGCCACAGTGGCAGAACATGCCGCCTAGGGCACGCCACGGCAGCGGCCGACGAGAGGACTGGTGCCAGGAGGCGGGCGCAGCTGAGAGGAGAAGGGCGCCGCTAAAGGAGGGCACCGCCAGAGAAGAAGGCGGCGGCTGGAGAGAGCCTCGGGCTCTAATACCGTGTTGACAATGAAAGAGAAAACCTTATAATATATCATCGAGAGTAGAGGACTACATGCGTATCTATAGAAGAGGAGATAGAGATAATGGGCCCTAATGGGCCGTGAGTCTGATGACACTATCAAACACTACACATTGAGGATACAATTCACATTGTTTAAGAAATAGGGAGGAATCTATCACAAAAATAATACTTTAAAATTTTAGAGAAATGTCTTAACATACTCCTTTCCTTATGATGGAAACTTTAGTACCCATAATAATTCCTTATTGAGTTGTTGAGGTGGGACCCATAAATTGTCAGTAAGATCAGAGGATATAAAGTCATGTGTAGCTCATGAATCAATGAGAATTTTTATAAGGCGATCATTGATTTTGTCTTGCAGCTTTTTAGTCCCTGGAGTGGTTAAACCAAGCACTGAATTGAGAAAAAGTTCAACACATTTGATTTCATCATTAGAGGGGTCGCCTCTTTACGTAGTACAAAAGGATTTTTGTTGGCAATGATCATAATTTGGAGCTTTTTGCAGCAGATATGGCCGAATAGATATTTCTCATTGCAGGAATAACACAACCCTTTAACTTGACAGACTTATAATCCAACAAAAGTAAGATTAAGACATCATCTTGGGGGAAGCCCTGGTCATATAGAATTGGGTGTGTCAAGGGTTCCTGTATTCTAGGTCCTTTGGTTAACACATAAGGGCTTATTTTGGCTAGTGAAAGATGAAGAAGAGGTTGTGAGAGCTATCACATGATGTGGGTGTAGTTGGAAGTTGCTATTACAATCTTTGACATGCTGAGCAATGTCCATAATAGCTTATAAACCTTTAGGCTGAGTCGATGGATTCAGTATGGATGTTGGGTTTGAGACCTTGGACAAATATTTCTTATAGTATTTTGTGGGAGAGGTCATCTATAGCTCCCAACATGAATTCAAAATTTTGTTAGCAGTCCATAATAGTTTCCATTTGCAAGATGTCGAAGAGTTGTTCTTGTAAGGTGCCTTTGCAAGATGATGTAAAGTAGTTGAGAACTTGATATCGTAGGTCTTGTCAATCTTTGAAAGGGGTGTGCTTGTCAACCCCATCAAACCAAGTGACAGCATCAACTTCAAAGCTAAGTCTTGCTACCACTGATTTCTCTTCTTTTATTTGTGAATGTATGAAAAATAAGAGGTCAACTTACACAAAGGTACTAATTTAGCTTATAGTTATCAACCCTTTACAGTGTACTTTTTCTTTTATTAAAGTGCTAATTCTAGTGCAAATTGTGCTAATTCTAGTTTAAATTTTTATTGCTACTTGTCTTTCTCATTGATTTGCCCAAAGTGTTGATTTCAACACATCATATGTCAACAAAAATGAATTGAATTCTTTGTAGTTTTGACAAGAAACAAATTCTGTAATTTTTTTGTCTAAATTTTATTTTTTTATAATGCATAAGAATCTCTTAACTCTTTTAAGACAATTCTTTATGAGCATTTAAATATTATTGAATATTATTGCAATAAAATTTTTAACTCAATGAAAAGATAGTATATTACAAAATGCTACTAAATAATTTATTGAAGTACTAAACATATTATGCATATAAAAATGAGACCAATGTTATCACAAAAGTAATGTATTTACCTCATTTAGTCTCCTCCCATAATATACACAATGGTCAAAACTGTGAACGTGAAGACTAGGCTCTTCTATTTTTGTGCAGAGCTCAATGGATTCTAAGGATGTTTATAAAAAGATTATTACCCATTTTCATCTGTAAAGTTTAGTAATATGTTCAACTTTAACTTCACTATTTATTCTTCTTGCATAAGTTATTTCAAAAGTAGATGATGCCATCAAAATAAGACACCTCTATATTAATGCTAAATTGCACCATGGTTTTACTTTATGATGATTAATCATTTGTATATTTTGAGTGGAAAAATTTCATAGTATTGATAGAATTGTAGAGGTTCTGTACTTTAATTATATACAATTGCATCAAGTTTCTATAATTATGTGATTACTATCTAAAGATTGGAGTGTATTCTGTTCCATAACTATTATCTTAGACTTTATTTTCATTGTAAATTTACCTTCATCTTACATTGACAAAAATAAGTTAATATTGCCTCCAGTAGTTAGCATCGGGGACTTAAATTGGTCAACTGAGCAGGTTGGCAAGAACAAGAAGGATTTTTTAAAAATTAGCTCTTAAAATTCAGCCACAAACAGAAAACAAAAATACCTAGCCGTTAGCATGTGGCCTATGAATCGTCGTAACTTAAGCTCCGGCATTTAGCAAGACACAATCCAGAGCTCGACAAGGCTCTGCCTGGCCGTTCCTGAACTCTAAGACTGTAACGTTCTGATAAATTTACGGATATAGCCCTTAAACCCAAATAGACCAGGACCAGGACCCGGTCTGTCAAATATCCGGATGCGATGTTCTAACTATAGATAAGGCTAGGGGCCGGAGTTGCCTTCCGGCCGAAGCTTTTCTCTAAGTTCTCACATGAGATGCCGTGGATTGCTGCCCCGAGAGTTCTTGTATTAGGCGAGCTAGATCCTTGTAGGACGAGCCTCCCTCTTCCACGGCCCCCCTCGCTGCCGCTTTCAGCTCCCTCGCCCTCCTCCTCCTCTCCTCCGCTTCCGGACTGTCTCCCATCAGGCGACCTATAGCCGACGCGATCTCCTCCGCCTTTACCGCGTCCCTTTCTTCTTCCACCAGAGAGCAAGTCTTCACCCCGATCTCTACGCCGACCTTTAACATGTCCACCAGCATCCTCTCGTTGCAGAACTGGTCGGCGAACATCGGCCATGTCACGACCGGCAACCCAGCGGAGAAGCTCTCCAGGCTCGAGTTCCAGCCGCAGTGAGTCAGAAAGCCTCCGATGGCCACGTGGTTGAGGATAAGAACTTGCGGAGCCCATCCACGGATGATCATGCCCATACCGGAGTCAGCCACCCTCTCCTCGAAACCCTCCGGCAGCCACTGGCCGGAGGAGTTCCCTTGTCCGGAGTTCTTCACGACCCAAATGAAGGGGTGGCCGGAAGATTCCAATCCCGCCGCGATTTCTCGAAGCTGGGTTACCTTGAACCGAGACAAACTCCCGAAGCAAACATACAAAACAGAGCTCGCCGCTTTAGAGTCTAGCCACCTCGAGAAAATGGCCTGGTCGACGGCGCACTTGCCGCCTCTGACCGCGTTGTCGGCTGCATCTTCATTGCGTAGAAACACTGGCCCGATATGCCAGGCCTTCCTTCCAATCACATTCCTGTAGTGGTCGGCGTAGTCGGGCTCCAGCTCGTAGAAGCTGTTAACCACCGTGCCATAGCTCCTCCCCTCAGCCTCCATTATTTTCATGAACATGTCGAGGAAGTCTGGTCTCATCCTTTTCGTGTCAATTACTTGGCTTCTGCTTAGCTCTATGCGGTGAGGAATCCCGGGGATGACGAAGCGATCACCGCTATCCGTGTGGCTTTCCTGGCTGGCTGCGGCTAGATTCAGTTTCCCCTTGATGCAGAGGTAGAAGAAGCTGGTCCCATGGAAGACCAGCCTGGGGATTCTGACCTCCTCGGCGACCTCCGCCGTCCAGGGAAAGAACATATCGGTGACGATGGCGGCGGGGCGGTGGTTCTTAACGAGTCGCTCGAATGAGGGGCGGAGGGCGGGTGTGCTCACGAGGAAGTCCATGTGCATGTCCGGCGTCTTGACTGAGGACAAGTTGTCGGGTAGACCAACCGCGGAAGAGGACCATTCAACGAGGAGCGTCCTCACCCGGTGACCGGCTTCGGTGGAACGGCAGAGGGACGTCTCAATGGCCCGTTCTTCGCCGGCGGTGGTGATAATGGAGACCCTCACTCCTTTCGCGGCAAATAGTTTGGCTATGTCCACAGCGGGTAGCAGGTGCCCGGGAGCCATCAAGGGGAAGACGAAGATGTGGAGCTGCTGTCCTTGCGAACCCATGGCTCTCTCTCTCTCTCTCTCTCTCTCTCTAACCAGAGGCTTATAGGGGCCAGAAGTCTGGAATCTTGGCAAGTCCGCGACCTTTGATGCCGCCGCATCGTCATTTCGTCACTGCTGACGTAAGAGAATTATCTGCGTCAGCCAGCTGTCCGGAGTTTCCGAGATCAATGAAGCCAAAGATTTCCTTCTAGAAGGCCGCTTGTGGCCTCAGAGCCGTTGAGCAATCCTATTCTGGATTGCGTGAGCCGTTGAGCAATCGACCACGATCGGGTCCCGCCTTCACCGCGCTCTTCTGCCACTACCGCCAGCGCTGTCGTCAGTCTCCCGCATCTCCTCGGCGTTAACATTCTTGATGGAATAAATAGGATGAGAAAGTTACATATATTCATCGCTCTTGCAGCTGGTAGATCCTATCTTCCACTCATGTGGCTAGCCTTCCATCAGTCAATTGATATAGTATGGCCTTATTTACGTCATAAACATCTTTTCTTGTTTTCATATTTTACCTCCACAGGCTAATCCTGATTATTGATAACTCAATATTTTGACATGATCCATTAACTCCTATAGTTCCTTTCAATCATTTGATTTCATTCCACTATGCTCTTTTTAAAAATGATATAGGTTTAAATACAATTTTAGTCATGTATTACTAACGTACCTACCTTTCGTCCATCTCTTGCACTACCTTTCTCTTCCCTCATGATATTGGAACTATTGTCCTCTCACTTGAGCACTACTCACCCCTGCCAAGGAGATAAAGTATCATAATTCATAATTCTTAGACTATATTGCATATAGATTACAAGGACTCTCATGTAAATGTTTAATGTTTACAAGGACTCTCATAATAGTATTATGGGCATTACCTTTTTGCACCAGACTAAGGAGTCAATCAAATGGCTGCACTCTCATGTTTTTCCACGTCCAAGCTACACATAATCTCTAGTTCATGCATCTCCATATTTTCCATTATGAACTCGATTAGAGAGATTCAATATGACAAAATTAAAGGATAACTTTTTTATGAGAAAAGTTTATTCCTTGTTGAAATAGGAAATGTTGAAAAATTAATACTGAAATACAATAAAATGATCATAAAGAAATATTTTAATTATTTAGTGAGAAACTACCACATGGTACACATCATCTCAAGTCCATGGATCTGCATATTTACATTATCAACTCAATTAGATAGATTCAAGATGAAAAAAATTAAGGACAATATTTCTTAAGGAGAAAGTTCATTCGTTGTTGAAATAGAAGATGTTGAAAAGCTAATATTTAAATATGAAAATGTATCATGTCATAAATGAGTTTACCAAGCACTCTTTTAATCCTTTAGTAAGAAACTATGGCAAGTCATAATTCTTAATGCTTGAGAAATGTTTCATAGTTTTCTTGTCCTAACAACCACACCCTATTTTATTGTACAAATATTTCATACACTCATTTCCACATAAAACCTTGTGTACATTTTGCAGCAATTATCATGTGTAAGTTTATAAATCAAGCAATCGAATGAAATGATTTAACATAATTTTGATCACAATCATGCCAAATATTTTACACATTTTCCCACATTAATTACTTGACAGAAAACACAATGAAGTAAAGTTGTCGAAAGGGAACAAGTTGCAAGTTATCTATCAGTACGATTGATGGAAATAATATGACCTATCACTCTTTTCTAAAATAAAAGACTTCATATCTTAATTGTTACTTTATCTATGATTTTTTAATGAAATAAAATCATTGTCCAGTTTTAGTGTAATCTCATGACATGTCCAGAAATGGAGTATAAGTTGTTTGTAATCATCTCCTCAAGTTGTTTAGAAATTATTTTTATCAGGTAATGAACACAAACGGCTTTAGTCAATTTTAAAGTTTATTTTAATTGAAGGCCTTTTACTCAAAAAATTGTCCATCATGACAAATGTTTGAAGATGAGGACACAATGAGTTGTCAAATTCAGATCTAAGCAAGTATCCTTCACTATTAACGAAACAAGAAAAGGGGCTGTAAAGATTAGTGCGTGCATATTTACAGTCCATGGACATGATATTTTGTTTCCTAAATGTTCTAAACTTTATCTGAAAAAGTCCATAGCTTTATTAAATTCCATCAAACTTTGGTTCTATTCTTCTTCAGGCCTCACCGGAAATATGACCTGTTTTCCTATTGTTTATAACATAGATGCATTAAATATACCATCATTATCATGCTTTACATGGTTATAAGAGAATAATTAACAATAAGGAATCAGAGGTTTTGGAACATGATGATAGATTCTCCGTTTCATACCACAAAAGCTTGTTACAGCTCACTTTTGTTTATCCTAGTGCTAGTCTGGCTGGGCTATTGATCCTGGGGAAGTCCCTAAATTCACTTGAAAAAGATTAACATTTGGAGCGGATTTTTGTCCATTAATAAATGAACATGAGAATCAACCTCTCACATATATCTAGCATTCTAATCGATTTCCACCCAAGCCATTCCTCAGGTTGGAAAAAGCCCTTTCCGTACTAAGTCCCGACGCCTTTTCCAAGTTCCAAAAGAAGATAAACATCTCTCAAGACCGATTCTCTCTCTCTTTAGCCCCACTGCCAAATCTTCCTATGGCCTTTTCTGGTAGTCTTCACCTAAAATTCATGTACATGCATCGACAGTGGTGAAATAAAATGTTATGGGCACATTTTCCATGCATGTAGAAGATAATTATATTTTCAGGAGAGAGTGGCCAATGCATTGGGCTATTGAGGGTATGATGATTTTTTGCAGAACTATGAATATACGTCTATGCCTACTGGTGCATAATCTACCTTGATTAAGTAATTGAGGTTATAGACATATTTCAATGGACTCAAAGGTTTCCACCATCCCAAGCGACTGGCGGCGGCTGCAAACGACGCGACAGTGGCGGCGGATGATCGCGGAAACGGTGGCGGACGATGGTGGTAGGGGGCGGCGGTTTGAAGGTTGGCGGGGATGGAAGTGGAGGGCGAGGGTAGGGCGGCGGAAGCAGGGATGGCGATGGTGATAGACGGCGACAAACGGGTGGTGATCGGGTGGCAATGGCAAAATCAGTGGCGGATAAAGAGGGGAGGAGGCGGCGGAAAACGAGAGAACAAGGGTGGAGGAAAGGGGTAGAAGGGGGGGAAGAAGAAGATCCAGACCCATGCCGGGGCGACGAGATCAAACGATCGGTTAACTAAGCTACGCAACTTCAAAATGCAATGTCCCAAATAAGAGGTCTCCCGGCCAATTTAAGGCCTCAGCTAGCAAGTGAAACGGCGAAATGAAAGGAAAACGGATTTAATAAAAGGTGAACTCGCCCGTTTCAGGCGTTTGCTGCGGCGACGTGAACGGCGGATGGCTGAGTTCTCGGTGAGATCCACGTCCTCTTCCGTTGCACGTTTCCAGCTCTTCGTCTTGACCGGCTCCACCTTTCTTCAAGCGATGGGGAGCTGGACGGTGCTTCATCAGTACCCCTTACAAACCAAAGAGACCAGGCCCGGGCTCTGGTCTGCCAAGTATCTGGCTGCGCCGTTCGAACTCTAAATAAAGGCTGAGGACCGGAGGAAGTCTTCCGGCCGTGGCTTTTCTCTAAGTTCTCGCATGGGATGCGGCGGATTGCTTCTCCCACAGCTCTTGTATCAGGCGAGCAAGGTCATTGTAGGACGAGCCTCCCTCTTCCATGGCCCACCTCGCTGCCGCTTTCAGCTCCCTCGCCCTACTCCTCCTCTCCTCCGCTTCCGGACTGTCTCCCATCAGGCGACCCACAGCCGCCGCGATCTCCTCCGCCTTCACCGTCTCCCTTTCTAATTCCCCCAGAGCGTTAGTCTTCACCCCAATATCGACGCCGACCTTCAGCAAGTCAACCAGCAGTCTCTCGTTAAAGAACTGGTCGGCGAATATCGGCCATGTCACGACCGGCAACCCGGCGGCGACGCTCTCCAGGCTCGAGTTCCAGCCGCAGTGAGTCAGAAAGCCTCCGACGGCCACGTGGTTGAGGATAAGAACTTGCGGAGCCCATCCCCGGATGATCATGCCCGTACCGGAGTCAACCACCCTCTCCTCAAAACTCTCCGGCAGCCACTGGCCGGAGGAATTCCCTTGTCCGGCGTTCTTCACGACCCAGATGAAGGGGTGGCCGGAAGATTCCAATCCCCCCGCTATTTCTCGAAGCTGGGTTTCCGTGAAACGAGACAAGCTCCCGAAGCAAACGTACAGAACAGATCTTTCCGCCTTGGAGTCCAGCCATGTCAAGCATCTGGTCTGCTCGAGAGTAGTCCTGCTGCCTCTCATCGCGTTGTCGGCTGCATCTTCATTGCGTAGAAACACTGGCCCGATATGCCAGGCCTTCCTTCCAATCACATTCCTGTAGTGGTCGGCGTAGTCGGGCTCCAGCTCGTAGAAGCTGTTGACTACTGTGCCGTAGCTCCTCCCCTCGGCCTCCTTCATTTTCATGAACACGTCGGGGAAGTCTGGTCTCATCTTTTTCGCATCGAAGAGTTGGCTTCTGATTAGCTCTATTCGGTGAGGAATCCCGGGGATGACGATGCGATCGCCACTATCTGCGCTGCTCTCCTGGGTGTCGGTTGAGAGATTGATTTTGTCACTAAGGCAGAGGGTGAAGAAGCTGCTCCCATCGAAGACCAGCCTGGGGATGCCGACCTCCTCCGCCACCTCCGCCGTCCAGGGGTAGAACGAGTCGGTGACGATGGCAGCAGGGTGGTGGTCCTTAACGAGACGCTCGAATGAGGGGCGGAGTGCGGATGTCCTCATGAGGAAGTCCATGTGCATGTCCAGCGTCTTGACTGAGGACAAGCTGTCGGGTAGACCAATCGCGGAAGAGGACCATTCGACGAGGAGGGTCCTCACCCGGCGGCCAGCTTCGCTGGAACGGCAGAAGGAGGCCTCAATGGCCGGTTCTTCGCCTGCGGTGGTGATAATGGAGACCCTCACTCCTTTCTCGGCAAACAGTTTGGCTATGTCGACAGCAGGTAGCAGGTGCCCGGAAGCCATCAGGGGGAAGATGAAGATGTGGAGCTGCTGTCCTTCCGAACCCATGGCTCTCTCTCTCTCTCTCTCTCTCTCGGTGTTTCTCTCTCTATCCTGTTTCTCTCGTTCTATGTAGGCAGTGGGTTATAGGGGCGGGAAGTCCGTCATTCCGTCACCGCTGACGTAGGAGAACTCAATGCGTCTGCTATTTGTAGGCCACTTGTCGTCTCGGGGTTTGGGACGTCAGATTCTGGATTGGGTGATTTGAACAATCAATCTCGATACAGTCCCACCTTCGCGGCTCTTCTGCCACCACAGGCATTGCTGTCGTCACTGTTGAGGGATCATAATCAAAATATCAGGATTACTCTATACAAAATAAAATAAAATTACATATAGATATGAAAATACTCTCGAATGCCAACCAAATGGCAAAACCATAAAATTGGAACAAAAAAAGAAATGAGCACTGTTGACCCCAAAGATAAGTTTCATAATAAGAGTTGACAAGTACATCTTTGTATTTTGACCCTCTTTGTGCAGACTTCGAAATATGTGAATGTCATTCTGAAAACACATTCATCAAGACTCCACAAGAATTAGTCAATTGTTTCACAATGTAGATGTATTGAGAATCAAATTCAATTTGTGATGGGGACCACACCATAAGATAATGGAATATAGGTGCTCAATAGCATAATATAATCATTCATTAATAAATGACAAAGCTTCATTTCAAATTTCAGATCAATCTGACAACTATTCACGATAATTCACGATTTTAGTATCATCGTTCGTTTAGTTCTGAATTTCCGGTTTTTCCGTCATTTTTCTTGTCGGCTCCTTGCGTGACAGGAAGGCCAACGGTCAACCGATCTCTCCCCGCTGTTATTATTTTATTATTTTCATCATAATAAATTCACGAAGATTCAGAAAAAACATCTTAAAAATTCAGAAAATTTCCTTAGAATTCAAACTAAAATATCAAAAATTAAAGAAAATTTATAAAACATCTCAAGTCATTCCATAATTCTAAATATTAAAATTTCATATTTAACCAACATAATTCACAATCATAGTTAACCTTTTATTTTCAAATAAATATCAATAACTTAATTTAAATGTATGAAATTTTGTTTTTCTGAAAATATTATCAATGTGTATTTTTAACAAAATAAACCATAAACACATAAAAAATTATATCTTTAATCATATAATTCAAAGATTATCAGTTAACTATCCTCTTAAGGCCCTTGGTCTATTAAGGCTAGTGTAAAAAACTTCATAAAAAGATCAATAGCACAATTATATCAATTCTTAATCCTGTTTTTTTATTGTAAAGTTATTCTTACTAATCTTAATTCATTTATGAGTTTATTCAGCATGTTATGTAATGTGAATAACAAAAAATATTGATTTATGTGATGAAAATATGATGCTAACACACCCTACAACTTGAATTATTTCTAGTCTCCTAGCAATCAACTTAGAGAATTAAGTAAATAGTAATAGTGATTCAAAAACATCTTTCAAACAAAAAAAAAATTACTAAAGAGATTTAGTTTAGGAATGCATCATACTTCCTTTTCATCTCTACATAGACTTGACACATGGTTTGAAAACATTACGTAATAGACAATTGAGAATTCTTATTTAACACTTAAGATACTTCTCAATTCTATAGCTCTCAACCATTTTCTTTATATTTTTAAGGATTGATAGCCCCTTTTGCTTTCTTTCAAACCAACTTTGGAGCTTTCATTTTGTCCTTTTTTTTTTTTGGAAGACAAGTAACTTTTTCCCATATGAGATTTGCTTTGTTGTATATTTCTTTGTCAGAATTTCTCACTTTGGAGCTTCACACTGTTAGTCATTTCTAATAATTGAAGTAGTTTATTTCCTCCAGATTTTTTTTCTGGTTGAGAAAAATAGAACCTTATTTATGCTCAAGTGTTCAATGAGATTTGTGTTATCTATTGGATGTTCTCTACTAGATCATGAAATGCAGGTCTATCAAATTTGAAAATGAAAATTCTCATGTACCCAAGGAGTGATCTAACTTTAATTATTGCTTCCTCTCTTTTGAACTTGTCACATTTAGTTTAACATGTCATGAAATAAGTTAAATTAATTGAATTTTGTACTTGAATGCGACACAAAGTAGAAATGGTATAAAACTATTTGGTGATTTCAAAAACTTGTTTGCTCACTCATGCTTCACCCTTCAACTTGATATTGTCCTCGGTGGCATAAAACTAGTACAATTAAAATTGATGAGATTGAGTAGATAGAACTTGGTTTTGCTTATAGCCAAGCATCAATATTCTTATGAACTCTCTTTTGCTTAGTTATTACCTACTTTGGTTTCTCTTGTGAATACACAAAAGGAGACAAAAAAAAAAAGAGATTGACATAATATCTAGTGTGTTGCCTCTTGCTCTGTGCTAAGTTTAATATCGTCAACCAAACATTCTTTTGAGTTTTTACTATGAGTCAATCAAAGTTTGGCTAGGTTTAAATTTTTTTTCTCTCATTATCATATATGTTAAGGCATTATCCATTGACTGTTGAAATCTGCTCACTTTTTTGGCTCAAGGATCCTCACTATTCCATTATCAGAATACATTTAGCACATTGTATAAGCCATCTCATCTTGATTTCAATTTTCTCATAAACAGTTTGAGTCTTGGATTAAATAACAAGACTTTGTCTTTTAAAAATCGATTTCCTATGAATACTTATCACGTAGCGTCTTCAGCCATCTGCCCCAACATGAAGGGTACTACAATCATAGTAACCTTGCAGCTCCACGAGAAACAAACACAACAATAAAACAGTACAATAATTGCAAGAAGACATTAGGCCTAGATGTTAGAAGCAAAAAAAATGTTATTTAAAAAATTGGAAAAAGACAAATGTGAGACTATAAAAATGGTGCTGGATCTAATGAGGCCATGATTTGGAGTGGTTGGGTGAGGGTTGGACTTAATCTCTTGTAGAATATGTGAAGATAAAAGAAGAATATGAAAAAACAGATGGGGGATGCTATAAACTTATATGAGGTGCCATTGTATGAATGATTAAGAGGATTAAAAAAATTCACTGAAGGATGTTGATATGCCCTTCTAATCTACTTACTCATTATAGAGCTTTTTTAAGTTTTCCTATCAATGTATAGAAAACATTGAATAAGAGGGGTTAACTCATGTCTAATGGATTCACAACTTTAGGAACTTGGATGACTTGTCTTATTTCCTAATTCATGGTTTTACATAATGAGAAACTAGAGATTTTGTGCTAACAAGCACTTCCTGCTGGTGATAGACATTTATTGATGTAAATCAAACAACATCAAAAGGAAACAAATTTGTTGTGGTTTTTAAAGCCATACAAATTTTGATGTTGAAATCGTACATATTAAATTCTAATTTTAATTTTATGTCACCAATTTTTCCTTAGTAGATATTGAAATATTGCAAAAAATTCTAAGACCTATTAAAGGTTTTTGAGATTTTAGAGCTATTTATGAGCTCTTGTTTGTCTTTTCTTAATCAGTAATGGAAAGTTGACTCAATTAGAAAAAGAGTTGGTATACTCATGTGACAAATGCACCTCATAAAGGTTAATGAGAATCTTATACTATTAGAATGATTATCTATAAATATATTTTCAATATTCTAAATGAACCCATGGAAAATTTAATTTTGTATTAGGGTTTTCTTTTTCCTTTTAAAAATTATATCTTCATTTCCTATTAGAAATTTAATCAGTTGATAAATTTTCTATAAGGAAGACTTATGCGTCATCTTTGCTATTGCTATAACATAACAGGTAGAAAAGCTAGAATTGCTACACTCCAACCAACTAGCTATTGGCAACTTACATCTAGAGTGACCAATTGTTAAAATGCCCTTTTCTTATTTTCCATGTTATATGTTTTCAGAAAATTACTTTTCATAAAAGATTTAGTTAACAAGACAAAGCTTCCCAAACTTAAATTCTACATCAAAAATTGTCAAAACTCTATTTCGATTGCTAGAATGCTCCATTACGACAAGTTTCTAGAAAGGACTCGACTTGTAAATGAAACTAAATCTATTAAAATATTTGACAAGATGCATAACTAGATGAACAAAAAAATTGAGACACCTATGAGCTGGCCAATTAGTTAGCACTAGAATAATGATTTTATTATTTATCCTAACATTTATTAGCAAGATTACCCATACAAAGTTGTCTTATAATTACTTTTGTAACTATTCAAGAGAGCCAATGATGGATGTTCTTGGAGCAATGTATATGGGAAAGATATTGGGATCTTTTGATTATTTTATATCTTTATGGGACTTAGAATCTCTAGAAGTCAACGATAACCTCCTACATGAAGAGGGCTAATTCTCTATAGTGTCCACCATAGGCTCTGACCAATTGCTTGCCTGACAGCTCCTGTATCTTGCAACCCAGGTGGACGTAAGATGAGCCTCCCTCTTCAATTTCCCACCTCGCAGCCGCTTGGAGCTCCCTCGCCTTACCCCTCATCTCCTCTGCTTCTTGACTAATTCCCATAAGTCGACACACAATCGCCGCGATCTCCTCCACCTTCACTGCTGTCTGATTGTCTTTTTGAATAGAGAAAAACTTCAGCTCAATCCCTATGCCAATCTTCAGCACGTCCACCAGCAGCCTCACACTGTAGAATTAGTCTACCGCCATTGACCAGGTCGCCACTGATGGCCTGGTGGTGATGCTTATTAAATCTAAAGGATTTAGTGTTGACATAAATAGAGAATGGTAAAACATATTAACAATGGAATAAAATCAAACCTAAATTCATGAAGGTGCAAATATGAGGATGACCTTTTAGATTAGCACAAGAGAGTTGTCTAATGACTTTCTCTAGAGAGATGGGATGCTTTAAGAGTGACTCACAATGTGCAACCCAAGGACCATGACCCTTATTTAAGGACAAAAGAGGTTAGCCTCTTAGTGTCTTTTTCTAATTTTGCTCATCATAAAAGTAGAGTAAGACCTGGTCTCTATATATATTTATATATTTATGTCAATACTTATAAAATATCATAATCTTAAATACTTAAACTCCAATGAATCACTTTAAATAGAATTAACTGAATGATAGTCCCATAATATATAATACATATATATCATTGTCCACATTAGGATTATTTATAATAATCTATAACTTGGACAAAATATATATGATAACTTGATATTGTACATTATAATCTTATGAGTTCAAAATTTTACTATCATTGCCAAAGATATCTCTAATAAACTCGTCCATCATTATACTAATATAGAAGTAAAGGAGTTCTTATTCACATTTCTTACATGATTAAACTCAATAATAATCACATATATTGATATAATGAATGACATAGATTAAGTATAGATATGTAGTATAAAAAAATACATGAAATGTGACTTATATATGTATATTTTTAATTTAGTCCTTCTTATTTCAAATAGAGATCAAATAAACATATTCAAAGTGGAAATAATCATAAAATTTATTTATTCATGGAATAACCAAAGTATATGTCTATAAATGTATGAGCATTAAAGTACAAACTCCTACTAAAATTACATATCATCATGAGGTATTACACTCATATGAGAAGTATGCTTATGAAAGACTTTTGATGACAATCATTTAGTAAGTGGATTTACTACCATAGAGTTTATCTTAATATGTTTTATAGATATATAGTCATTCTAAACTCTTTTCTTTAACAATTAAGAACTTGATGTCTATATGTTTAGACTTCGTCTGACTCCTATTGTTATTAAAAAATATTTTTATGACTAATTTATTGTTACAAAATAACTTTAGTGATCTTTTTTCAATTTTATCCACTAAAAGTTATATCTATCTATTATGATTTCAAATTCCTAATGGATTGTCTACTATTAGTGTATCTAGTTAAATCATAATCTAAATACTCAATGATCCCTAAATAATCTGATTATTTATATGTGAGTATATAGTTCTTTGTCTTTTGTAAATATTATATAACTCGTTTTGTTGTTTCTCAATGATTCACACTAAGGTTGCTTAAATATCTACTTAGTACTCCAATTATGTATGCAATATCTAGATGCATATATACTTAAGTATACATAAATCTTCCAATGACTACTGCATAAAGAATCTCATACATCTCTTTAGTTTCATAATCATTATTAAGGTACTAACTAAGACTAAACTTGTCTCTTTTAGCAACATGGGTATCATAAGGTTTACATCCTTACATACTAAATCTCAAAAGGACTTTCTCGATATAATTTTTTATGACAACCTCAAGATATTTCGAAGGTGATTTCAATATATCTCCATACCAATGTAAAAGAGGCTTTACCAAAATCATTCATCTCAAAATTCTTTGATAAAAACTTTTTGGTGTCACATAATAAGCCTATATAATTACTAAAAAGTAATATGTCATCGACATATAAGATCAAAAATATATGTTTACTCTCACTGAACTTATGATACACACATTCATCACTTATATTCATCTCAAAATCAAATGAGATGATAACTTGATGAAATTTATGATATCATTGACGAGAAGCTTGTTTTAACCTATAGATATACTTTTTTAATCTGTATATAATTTTCTTTAGGTTTTCAGACGCAAAATTTCTAGTTATATTATATATATTATTTCATCAATGTCACTATTGAGAAATAGTCTTTACATCTGTTTGATATAACTCAAGATCAAAGTGAGTTATTAGTGTCGTTATTATTCTAACAGAGACTTTTGATGAAATCACAGAGAAAGTCTCTATACAATCAGTACCTTCTCTTTGAGTGAATTACTTAGCAACCAGATGAGTTTTACATTATCTTTTACAATTAATAGGCTTTACACCTTCAAATAATGGGATAAGATCCCAAATCTTATTGTCTTTTATGAATTTAATCTCTTTATTTAACATCAATTCACTTATAAAAATTAGAACTTTATGTGACTTGATGAAAATTGATAGGATCATCTTCCATCATCCAAATGTTGACCTTATATTCTAATAGAAATATGATATAATCCTCTGAAATCACATTCCTCCTCTCTAGTGGATCTTCTTAATGACACTAATTTTTCAATATGTTGAGTTTATTCTTCTGAAATAGAAAGCATGATGACATTACTTGAAATGACTTGACCTATATATGAAACTAAATCTATTAAAATAATTGACAATATACATAATTGGATGAATAAAAAAAATGAGACACTGATGGACTGGTAAAATAATTGGCACTGAAATAATGATTTTTTTATTTACTACAACTTTCATTTAACGAGTCCTCTTTACCTTTACTCTGGTAACTGTTCAAGAGAGCCAATGATGGATGTTTTCGGTAACCCTCCTCTTGACATGGAGGGTTCATGGTCTCGTTAGCGTCCGCCACGGGATCCGACCCCTTGCTTGTCCGACAGCTCCTGTATCAGGGGACCCACGTCTACGTAAGACGAACCTCCCTCTTCCATTGCCCGCCTCGCCGCCGCTTTGAACTCGCTCATATCCTCCGCGTCTGGACTGTCTCCCTTAAGTCGACCCACGGCCGCCGCGATTTCATCCGCCTTCACCGTTGGCCTACCTTCTTTCCGAATAGACCAGACCTTCACCCCGATCCCAGCGCCAATCTTCAGCACGTCCACCAGCAGCCTCTCGTTGTAGAATTGGTCGGCTTCCATCGGCCAGGTCACCACTGGCAGCCCGACGGCGATGCTCTCCAGGCTTGAGTTCCAGCCGCAGTGGGTCATAAACCCTCCCACGGCCACGCGGTTGAAGATAAGAACTTGAGGAGCCCATCCCCGGGTTATCATACCTTCATCTGATCCCACCACTCTCCTTGAAACGCTCCAGCTACCACTGACCGGAGGGTCATCTTCTCCGCCTCCGTGCGTAACCCAGATGAAGGGGTGACCGGAAGATTCCAATGCCGCCGCTATTTCTCGAAGTTTGGTTTCCGTGAACCGTGACAAGCGCCCGAAGCAAACGTACAGAACAGATCTCTCCGCCTTGAAGTCCAGCCATATCAAGCATCTAGCCTGGTCGACAGTGGCCTTGCCGCATCTTATCGCGCTGCCGGCGGCGGTCCCTGTTGCAGAGGGATACTGGCCCGGTATGCCAGACCTTCCCCATTACCTTCCTGCAGTGGTCGGCGTAGTCGGGCTCCAGCTCGTAGATGCTGTTCACCACCGCGTCGTGGTTCCTCCCCTCAGTCACCTTCATTTTCATTGACACGTCGGCGAAGTCTGGTTTCATTTTTTTGGTGTCGGAGACTTGCTTTAGCTGAGCTCTATACGGTGCGGAATCCCGGGGACGACAAAGCGATCGTCGCTATCCACGTGGCCCTCCTGGCTGCGGTTGAGAGATTGAGTTTGTCTTCAAGGCAGAGGGAGAAGAAGCAGGTCGCGTGGAAGACTAACCTCGGGATCCCGACCTCCTCAGCGACCCCCACTGTCCAGGGGTAGAACATGTCGGTAACGATGGCAGAGAGGTGATGATTCTTAACGAAGGAATCCAGGAGAAATTCTCGGGTAGGCCGGCCGCCGAGAAGGGCCATTCGATGAGGAGCATCCCTACGTTGGCGCCGGCTTTGGCCGACCGGCGGATAGAGGATTCAACTGCCGGCGCGTTGGCAGTGGCGGTGATGATGGATGTCCTCGCTCCTCTCGCGGCAAACATTTTGGCTGCGTCGACGATGGGTATCATGTGGCCGGGAGCCAAGTGGGAAGAAGAATATGTGCAGCTGCTCCCCCTTGGACTCCATGGCTCTCTCTCTCTCTCTCTCTCTCTCTCTCTCTCTCTCTCTCTCTCTCTCTCTCTGTCTTGTTATGTAAGCTCTTGCTATCACTTCTGAAAAATGGCCAATCCGACTGAACCCTTTCATCCATTCGCTGGAACGAAGACAGAAGGGAGAGTTAGGAATGTTTGGTTTGAAGAAAACTAAAGGTTTCTTATCAAAGGCTCATCGGGACGTTGCCGTCTGAGTTGGCTGGCTTCCGTATTTGCGTTGTGGGATAGTTTCTTTTCAGCGAGAAAATCCTTGACCGAACATTTGTTTGCACTTAAACGATGCTTCTGGCCCACGATGACAATGGAGGAGCAGCCCCAAAGCGACGCCTCTGTTCTCACGACCATTCGCAGCCTCCGGGCGCCGAACTGCTCTTGACTTTTCATATCGAGAAGTGAGGTGACAAGTTAGCTTATCCGTGTGTCCTCATAAAGTTCTTAATCGTATCTTGCTTAATCCCTTCGTCAAGTCTGATTTTGGCCTTGTTTTAACTTTTTCCATGACTTTAACACAGATATTATTGAAAGGACTCCCTTTCAATTAAAATTAAAATTGGACATTAAGAAAATTTCATCATGGTATCAAATGAATTCCCCAAAGTGAATTAAAATTCACAAGAACGTACTTAAGATATTGTCGGTTTTCTGACAAACATTAAAAAATAAAAATTATCATCTAAATATCATTTCTACTTAAACATCAGGTAAAGCATATATAACCCAACTATCCCTTGACATCAGTGTAAGATCAATTTTTTCTGTCACTCCCTTTCCATTTGTTGTTAGGGTAACTGAAAAACTCTTTTAAGAGACTTATCGCTAAGGACCATCACCCAAAGTGAGCTAAGTAAGAATCACAGGTCTCTTTCTTGTGGGTTGTCATAGTTTTAGTTCCTAGGTTTATATTAACGTCTCTACCTTCCCAGAACTAGAATTATCATCCTTATTTGAAGGTGATGCTCTAGATTCATCACTTTCCCTATTTTCTGGTAGTCGTCACCTAGAATACATGTACGCGTCTCGACAATGGCAAAATAAAATATTGTATCCACTTTCTATAAAACATAGATGTTATGGGCGCCTTTTCCATGTATGCAAAATAAAATTATATTTTCGAGAGATAGTAGCTAATGTGTTGGGCTATTGAGGGTATGGTGATTTTTCGCACAACTGTGAATCTATATCTCTGCGTACGTATGCATAATCTACCTTGATCTAGTCCAGTATAGACATGTTTCAGTGGACTCAAAGATTTCCACCATCCCAAATAAAATAAATAATCATTATGATGAATAGTAAACTCCAATTCAACAATAAATTTCTAGATGATTAAATTGGTAATTTACAAAATGTCAAAAACCATTCCAATTGCAAGAATGATCCATCACAACAAGACGTTTCAAGACAACTCTTGACTTCAGAAGGAAACTAACCTCCATTAAAGTAATTCTAAATATGCATGATGGATGAACGAAATCATGACACATCTATCAATTTGTCCAATAGTTGGCACTGGAACAATGATTTTATTATTTATCACAACATATAGTAGGGAGATTGCCCACAAGTCTTCAAAGTTACTCTTGTAACTATTCAAAGGATCCAAAGATGGGTGTTTTGGGAGCAGTGCATATGGAAGATACATTGGCATCTTTTCATTATTTATAAATTTATGGGTCTTAGAACCTCCAGAAGTCAACGAGAACCTACTCTTTACATGGAGGGTACTATTTCCCGGTGGCGTCAGACACGGGATCCGACCGCTTGCTTGTCCGACAGCTCCTGTATCAGGCGACCCACGTCCGCGTGAGACGAGCCTCCCTCTTCCATTGCCCGCCTCGCCGCCGCTTTGAGCTCCCTCGCCCTACCCCTCATCTCCTCCGCGTCTGGACTGGCTCCCATAAGCCGACCCACGGCCGCCACGATCTCCTCCGCCTTCACCGCTGACCTATGTTCTTTCCGAATAGACCAGACCTTCACCCCCATCCCAGCGCCAATCTTCAGCACGTCCACCAGCAGCCTCTCGTTGTAGAATTGGTCGGCCTCCAACGGCCAGGTCAGCACTGGCAGCCCGGCGGCGATGCTCTCCAGGCTTGAGTTCCAGCCGCAGTGGGTCATAAACCCTCCCACGGCCACGTGGTTGAGGATAAGAACCTGCGGAGCCCATCCCCGGATTATCATACCGCCACCAGATTCCACCACTCTCTCCTCGAAACCCTCCGGCAACCACTGACCGGAGGGGTTATCTTCTCCGCCCCCTTGCGTAACCCAGATGAAAGGGTAGCCGGTAGATTCCAACGCTCCCGCTATTTCTCGAAGCTGGGTCTTCGTGAACTGATACAGGCTCCCGAAGCAAACGTACAGAACAGATTTCTCCTCCTTGGAGTCCAGCCACATCAGGCATCTTGCCTGGTCGACAGTAGTCTTGCCGCCTCTTATCGCGCTGTCAGCGGGGTCCTTGTTGCAGAGGGACACTGGTCCGATATGCCAGGCCTTCCTCCCAATCACCTGCCTGTAGTGCTCGACGTAGTCGGGCTCCAGCTCGTAGAAGCTGTTCACCATCGCGCCGTAGTTCCTCCCCTGAGTCACCTTCATTTTCATTAACAGGTCGGCGAAGTCTGGTCTCATTTTTTTGGGGTCGAAGACTTGGGATTGGCTGAAGTCTATCCGGTGGGGAATCCCGGGGATGACGAAGCGATCGTCGCTATCCGCGTGGTTCTCCTGGCTGGCGGTTGAAGGAACGAGTATGTCTTCAAGGCAGAGGGAGAAGAAACTGGTCGCGTGGAAGACCAGCCTCGGGATCCCGACCTCCTCAGCGACCTCCACTGTCCAGGGGTAGAACATGTCGGTGACGATGGCGGAGGGGCGATGATTCTTAACGAGCCGCTCAAATGAGGGGCGAAGAGCCGGGGTGCCCACGAGAAAGTCCAGCCGCATGTCCGGCGAAGCAATCCAAGAGAAATTCTCGGGTTGGCCGGCCGCCGAAAAGGGCCATTCGATGAGGAGCGTCCCTACGTTGGCGCCGGATTTGGCCGACCGGCAGATAGAGGATTCAACTGCCGGCGCGTTGGCAGCGGTGGTGATGATGGATGCCCTCACTCCTCTTGCGGCAAACATTTTGGCTGCGTCAACGATGGGTATCATGTGGCCGGGAGCCATAAGGGGGAAGAAGAAGATGTGCAGTTGCTCCCCCTTGGACTCCATGGCTCTCTCTCTCTCTCTCTCTCTCTCTCTCTCTCTCTCTCTCTCTCTCTCGCTCTCTCTCTCTTTGCCCCTCCCTCGCTTTCTCTTGCCGTGTAAGCTTGATTTATCACTTCTGACGAATGGCATCGCACTGGGCCCTTTTATCCGTTCGCCGGAACGATGACAGAGGGAGAGTCAGGGATGTTTGGTTTGAAAAAAGTCAAAGGTTCCTTTTTAAAAGCTAATCGGCACGTTGCTCTGAGTTGGCTGGCTTCTGTGATTTGAACTGGGGGAAGATTTTCTTTTAGCAATTAGATTTGAGGTTGTTGACATAACACATATTTTGCATGTAAAACGATGCTTCTCGCCGCCGGCGACAACGAGGGAACATCTCCACAGCCGCCCCTCTCTAACCCCCCTCTGTCATCTGCCGACCATCCATTTTAGTTATCCTATCCCCTCCGCTGCATCCTCTACTGTTTATCCTACCGCATGATCTTTTTTCTCTCTTTTCAAATTAAATATATACGACGAATGTTCATAACATATTTCTTACATTTTTAATTACAGGAAAAAATCATTGATCTCATAGTTTCCAAATCTTTATTGGTAGAACTGTAGCAAAAAATTATTGATCTCATAGTCAGGAATGTTTGGTTTGAAGAAAGCGAAAGGTTTTTATCGAAGGCTCATCGGGACGTTGCCGTCTGAGTTGGCTGGCTTCCGTGATTTGCGCGTTGTAGGATAGTCTTCGTTTCAGCGAGAGGACCCCTGACCTAATATTTATTTGCATGTAAACGATGCTTCTGGCCCACGATGTCAATGGAGGAGCAACCCCAATGTGATCCTTCTCTTCTCACGAGCATCTTGTGGTCGCCATTCGCAGCCTAAGGCGCTCAACCGCAGTTGACATTTCATACCGAGAAGTCAGCTGACAAGTTCGTTTATCCGTGAGTCCTCATAAAGTTTTTAATCTTATCTTGCTTAGCCCCTTCGTCAAGTCTTATTTGGGCCTTGTTTGAGCTTTTGCCATGATTTTAAATATGACTACACCCCTACTTCTCTACGACATCCCATCCTCCCCCTTTGACGCTGCCGACCTTCCATTCTGTCTATACCAACCATCCTCTCTCTCCCCTGCATCCTCCTATGTTCATCCTCCCATAAGGGGTCTTTTCGCTTCTTTTCAAATCAAATAAAGTTTATCAAAGGAACGTTTATAACATATCTCTAACTTCTTTAATCATGGGACAAAGGTCAAGGATCTAATAATTTCAACTGATTAATGATAAAATTTGAGAAAATTAGGCTCAGCCATGGTTGTATTAAGAAATTAGGTCTTGTCAATCTAGCATCATGGTATAACTTTGTGTGTTCTGTCTTCGAAAACCACATCTTTTTTGTTTAATCAAACATATTTGGATTCTTAACTCCCTGATGGTCCCCAAAATCCCCCTCCTTAAAGTCATATTGTAACAACCGTGTGACAGTGATGATGAACTATAAATCTTTCATTGATAGAGCACATTATATGGAATAAAATCCTCATAACTAATTCCATTGAAAAGAGGGATTTAGACTCTCTTTTCAAAGCTTTATCCTTGGGGCAGTGGTAGGTATGATTTCCCCCTCTCGGATGGGATGGGTAAATCTAAAATGAAAGGGCAAGGGGTGTTCTCAATTGGTGAAGCCTCACTCCAACTACTTTGTTTGGCTCGGTTAGATGGCTCTATATGAATTAGTGGTTTTTTTATCCCTCGTATCCCATTCTAGATCCAATGTGGGGATAAGGTATTTATTTAATCCCTATTGATGGAGTGATTGTTTCCATAAGGGATCACTAATAATAATATATCATTATTAGAATGATGCACATTTTATTGTTTAAATAATATCTAATGTACTTCACCTATCACAACCCAATTAAATTTATTTTGGTTCCAATTTGGGTGGATTTTGTTCACGAGTTCTAGCTTGACAAATGAAAGTTTAAGAATATCATTATGCTTATCCCAACCATCTTTTCCAGAGTTTAATATATAATATTAAGAATAAAAAAATCCACTCTTTCAAAATAAGGTGACAGTTTTACATAGAAAGGGTAGTGAGAAGAATTCTACACAGTATGAGGTTGACAGGATGCAATATTTTTTGAAGTAAATATGTACAAATGTATATTTTTACCATGTCTGATCTTATTCACACTATATATTTGGGAATAAATTTTGGTATTAATCACTTTGTTTTGAGATGATCACCATTTCTAAAGTGAAAAGACAACAATCATTTCGACAAATCATAGACTACCAAAATGTATGTATTGCATTGTTGAATTTTGGTGAAATGATAATCTGAGAATTTACTAGGCATAGTCCACGAATTTGAGGCCTCACAGAATCATCAATTTTTCTAATTTCAGAAAAAACAGACAACTTAGGAGTTGTCTCCAGCTATGTGATGAGAGTTTCAATCATAATAAGATTACAGCCATGTAACAAAACATAGAAATTAGCAAAACTCTAGTAATTTCAGGAAGTCATTGAGCCCAGATTTTAGATGCTAACTCTTTATTATTTTAAGCTATGAAAAAATTCGACTGATATTGTATACAAGTTGGGTCCAATAAGGCCCTAGAGGCATGGCGGAAGGGGAAGAGACAAGATATTTTTTGATGGACTACGACAAAAAAAGAATGTGATAAAATGTGAACTTGTAAACTTAGTGTTGCAGAAGATGAGTGTCCTTGTTCCCTTTCTTGTACATTGGAAGAGACACTAACACGCCATGAGAGAGAGAATGATGGGGGGGGGTTCCTTGTTCCCTTTCTTTATCACGCATTTTATTTATTATATAAAATGTGTTGCGTCTACTCATGCCCTGAAGGTATGGGGGGAGGAGAGGAATAGATATTTTTGAATGGGCTATGAAAAAATGAGAATGTGATAAGATATGAGCGTAACTTAGAATTGGAGGAGATGAATTTCCATGTTCCCTTGCTCATACAACAGACGAGATGAAAACACACAATGGGAGAGAGAGAGAAAATTAGAGGAGAGAATAGAGGAACATATCATATTTAATGTGTTCTGAGGATCATATGAGGATCTTCTTTCAGAAAAGAATCATCTTAGAACCTTTGGCATGGCAACACATATTTCTCACATAGCACTTCTTCGTACTCCCTAATAGAGGGCTGAGCTCCCTAGACTCTTCTCAGGGGTTAGGGAAAACGTATGAGGGAAAATGAGAGTTACGCCCGTAAATAAACTTATGCTTTTGGGTGGCTCTGCCCCCCTTGAGATATCCCTCCAAGGGGTACTGCCCCCTTGGGCCCCCAATGTCAACTCACCACATTGAGTAGATTTGCATACACACGGAAGAGCCTATTAAAGTTCATTAAGGCCCAATAGATCATTCTTCACAAGCTTCAACACTTAGGTGAGTTGACATTGCATGAATGATTAAGAGGATTAAATAAAAAAGAAAAAAAATTGGTCCTTCTAGCCTTTGGCCCTTCTAGTTTTACATGTCTTTCTACCAACTAATAGCTCAACAATCAAATACAAGGAATTAACTCATATCTATAGGATTCACATATTTAGTAACTTAATGTACTAAATACTTAAGAACTAGGTTTTTATTTCAGCAAACTCAAGAGTTTAGTGTTAATAGCACTTACTGATGGTGATACACTTCCATTATTAGACATTAAAAACATCAAACAACATCAAACAAACTAAATTTGTTTTAGTTTTTAAAGCCCTTCTAGTTTTAATGGTAAAAAAATGTAAATTAAGTTAAAATGAAAATTTTATATTACCAATTTTATGCTTAGTATATATCAAAGTATTGAAAACTAATTTTCTAATACTTAGCAATGTCCTATGTGATTTCAGAACTATTTCCAAACTCTTGGTTGTCTTTCCTTATTTGCTAAAGGAGAGTAATCTCACTCAATAAAAGTGTTGGAACACTCAATGTGACCAAGATAACATAAAGGTTTGATTAGAATTTATATTAGTAGAATTATTACAGCTATAAATTCTCTACTATTTTTTTAGTATTTTGAAAGATTGTTGATGGAGATTCAACTTAGAGATGAAAACTTATTATTACTAAATTGAAAAGTTACTAATAGAAATATCTTTAGTTTAACTTTTATGTGATGAAATCTTAATCATGCAACTAACTGATCTGTGCTTTCTAGCATTTAAAACATCCTTTATCTTACTTCAAAAAAAATTATTAACAATTAAAAAAGGAAACCCTAGAACACATTGTACACATTAGAGGACTACTATGTATATATAAGGTCCTAATGGGCCCTAATGGGCTGGAAATTATAAAATAGTCCCCTTCAAGTTGGTCATATAAATCAAACATGTCTAACATGGTACACATAGTGTCGTAAGAGATTCCGACAAGACTTTTCATAAAGACATCCACAAGTTGATGAGATGATCTCACATGAGGAGTAGAGATGAAACTAGACATAATCTTGTCTTGAATGTAGTGATAATTGATCTCAATATACTTCATATACTCATGAAAAGTGTGATTGCTGATAATGAAGATAGCGACTTGATTGTCACAATGCATAAGTATTGGAGAAAGAGAAAAGATGCTAAAATCTTCAAGAAGTGATCAAAGTCATATCATCTCTCACATAGTCTCAACCATGACTCCATACTTGAACTCTGTGTTAGAACATGACACTACGTTTTGTTTTAGAGACTATTAGGTAACAAGGTTACCTCTAACATATCTAAAATAACCCGTAGTAGACTTCTAGTCATTCTTGTCACTTGCATATCCAACATCAGAATAGACTTCGACACAAAGGTGACCATGTCATTGATAGATGAGTCCTTCCCCTAAGGATCACTTAATGTATGCTAAAACTCGTAGAGCTCCTTCTCAATGAATTCGTCATGATTCCTACATGAATTGATTCAAAACACTAACCATATACATGACGTCAAGATAAGTGATGATGAGAAATATTAATTTGCCTAATAATTGCCTATACTGATTAGCATGTTCAAGGAGTGGAGAGGAAGTATCTTAGAATAAGGGATTAGCTTCTATGGGTGAAGTCTCTGACTTATACCTAAGGAGTCCAATCTCTTGAAGTATGTTGAGAGTATACTTTTGTTGGGTCATGATGAGCTTTCTATCTTATAATTCAAACTTGATTCAAATAAAATACCTTAGAGTTCTCAAGTCACAAATGCTGAGGTGTTGCTACAAATAAACTTTGGCAAAATAAATGTTGGCCTCATCACTCTCAATCACAAGAGTATTATCAACATAGATTGCAAGAATGACTAAGCCACCCTCAATCTTCTTTGTGAATTTAGTGAGATTTGTAGCCTATGATGAGAAGCCAAATGTGATGAGAAGACCATTGAACTTAGCAAACTAAGCACATGGACTCTGCTTGAGCTCACAAATCACCTTCCATAAAAAAACACACATTAAACAACTCTCCTTGAGCAACATACCTTAAAGGTTGCTCCATAAAGACTTACTCCTCAAGATCACCATAGATAAAGATATTAGAAACATCAAATTAGTAAAGAAACTAGTAAAGAGACTATGTTTGATTTATGACAAGAAAGAAGAACACTCGAATAGAAATAAGTCAGACAACAGGGATAACGTCTTAGTGTAGTCAATGTCCATACACCTGAGTAAAGCCATGAATAACTAAACAAACTTTGTATTGAATATAATGATAGTTGATCTCAATATACTTTGTATGCTTATGAAAGATATATATAAGAGAAAATCTTATAATACATCATACACATTAGAGGACTAATGTGTATATATAAGGCCCTAATGGGGCCTAATAGGTTGGACACTATCGAACATTCCTATTTATTTCAGAATATTTTTATTTACTTTATTTCTAATAGCATGCAAAGATTTTGGTTTGCTTAAATAAAACAATAATCTATAGGTATCATAGTTGGTCCCATGTAGGTTTTCTTTGGTATTCCAAGAGGAATCTATGATATAGTAAAACTAATACATTTTTCAACACTCCTTTTCATTGTGAAATCTATGTTACCTTTATGTGTTACTTTTCTGAACTTATATAGTAAAAATTACTTTTATTAAATTAATGTGGCATGACTTTTTCTCATTACATTTCTTTTTAATTTTGAAAATTATTTAGTGTTATAAAATTAATGAAAAGATTAACTACACGATTTATCATTTACTATAAGTTGGAGAGTACAAAAAAAAGTGCTTGCAATGGACTCCCGTGCAATGTTTTAAAATACTCTAATATTAGACATATGACGTACTATTTACAATTTTGATTTTTATAAAAGTTTCCTAGCGTTGATGGATACTTTTAGATACGAGTACTAATCATATTGAGACTAAGATATAGCGGAAACAAGTGATGGTATACTTAATCTTACTAAGAGCCATAAATCATGAAAAGGTGACCTGGAAACCTGATGCTGAGCTTCTGACCTAGAAGAGGAGAGTAAGCGGTATCTAACAACCATAAATTTTTCGTGTTATTTTCCTCCTGAGGAGGTCAATTTACTTGAATTGTGTAATCCATACTAAATTTTGAAAAGAAAAATGCACCTAAAATTCATCCATCCTATGCCGCCACCAGCTGCGGGATGCAGTTCCTCCCCGAGACGGATGGAGAATAAGCCGGTCCCGTGGAAGACCAGCCTCGGCATCCTGGCCTCCTCGGCGATGTCCGGCCTTAAGGGGAGGAGCATGTCGGAGATGAGGGTGTCAGCACACCAGTCTCTGACGATCCTCTGTCCTCTCCCAGAAAACAGCTTCGCCATATCCACCATTTGCAGCAGGTGCCCAGAAGATGATCTCCATCTCCTCTCTCTCTCTCTCTCTCTCTCTCTCTCTCTCTCTCTCTCTCTCTCTCTCTCTCTCTCTCTCTCTCTCTCTCTCTCTCTCCCCGGACCAGTTGAAGATGCTAGAGAAAATTTATGGCGCGGCTAAGAAACGTGACCGGATTCTCCTCTGACCCTCGAGAGTTTTAGAATTTATAACCTTTTAAGTGATTAGATCCTACTATTAATTATCCGACCTTGAAAGGAGAAGGATTAGTTCCCACAAGATATGAGATCTTGAGGTATGACACAAGGCAATTTAAACTAATTACAATAAGTAAATTCCTGTGAAAAGATATTGTTAGAAAAAAAATCCCCATTTTTGTCAATATTTTCCTAAGAGACCCCAAAGACCTTTTTGATTGAATAGACATTTTATCAATGATTTTTTACCAGAAAAATATTTTATCTTTTTTTATTTACTGATCAGAAAAAAAATGTCGGTCCTTTTCTGGAAGATGGAAAAATGATTTCCTCTTACTATTATATATGCGATTTTTCTACCCAAATCAAGTTAATAAATAAAAAAGGTGAGAATTTCTAGTCTTTTATTTCAAAATTCCAGTTAAGATGGGAGAATTACCCTAGTTCATGAAATTTCAAGGGTTTAAATTAAAATTAAAATAATTATTATATTTTACTTGACGAAGGATAATTATGAATATCCAGTATTTTCTTTAATTTGCCTCACCAACAAATGTCACGTAAAATGGCCTTTCTTGTTCGTTGACTGCATGGCCTGTCGGCAGTGGTACGCAAGGAATGTTGAACGGTGCGATGGTAAATAAGTGAAATAGAAAGGGTAGTCTAATACATCCCAAGAGTTCGGATGCTCATCAAGAGAAGATGGAAACGGTTAGCCGCCCACCGGCAGATTATATACAACGGGCGAGAAACCATGAGGCGGTTGAGGCCGCTGTTGTTTCGGGCTTGCTTGCGGAGGAATTCTCTACCCCTCTTTTGCCCTCGTTCACGCCACCCTCCCTCGCCATTGCAGCACAGGTGGTCTCTCGGGCGTCTCGTCCTCCAATTTTCCCGCCGCGAAGCTGAGAAAGGATCCATTACGACTCTCGGAGACGAGTGGAGTTTGAAGGCTTCTGCTTCTCAGGCCAAGGTAATGCTGCTTCGGTCTCATGCTTCACTCCTGCTGGTTTTCGGCGTGATCCTGTGGAACAAGTTCATCATTTTTTTTTGTCTGTTTTTGTTCACCGGTTTTCGTTTTGATGTGCTTTCCGGCGAGCGCCAACGGATTTCCGCATGACAAGTTCTCTTCTCTCGTTTGGGGATGGCCTATTACGTTGGATTTTTTGAGGTTGGCTTTATGTGAGAATTTTTTTTATTGATTTTTTGATAGTTTCTCAAATGAATTATCTTCGAATTAATGCAAATAGTTCCATTGTTCGATGAAGCCGGAGGATTTTTTTTTCTTTTTCGATGCTTACTAAGTTCGAAGACCATGTTCGGACATCGCGGGTGACATCAATTTTTTTAACTTTCACGGACGACGCTGGTACATTAAAGAGAAGGCTTGATTCAGGCTAAATCTTCTTTTATTTTACGTCGAGGATATTTATGTGAAATGTGGCGTTCGTGAGTATGGAATACTGTTATAATGTGTTCATTGAGCTTCTTTTATGTGAATGAGTACGAGTTGCTTCCTCAATTTTTGATAATTTTCTAGTTCCTTTTTTACACAGTTCAGTATGTCGACATCTACCAGTTAAATCCATCCGAGTCTCTTCCTGTCCGGAACAGCGGGTTGGATATAAAATATGTCTGCTGTGTGTTTAGGTTTTGTGCGACTTTTTACTTCAATATTATGTTCTAACTTTCATAATTATCATTGTGGTTCTATCCAAGTGCAGGAATGGATGGAAGCGGGGATGATGAATCATCTAGTTGTGAAAGCTGCATTTCCGTCTCTGAAACGGTCATGACTAGTAGAGCATACGTGAACCCTTGCTCTAGTGGAAAATTGTTGAAGAAACTCGAGGAGTCAGATGACGAGCTTATTGAGGTGAAGCACCGATTTTATTCGAGTCTCGGAAAGACTACTGCTGATTTCCCTGTGCTAGCAGTTTACAAGAATTTGCACGCTGCCGGCTCTTCAAAGGCCCGTTTGGATGCCTTTCAACTCTGCTCAGAAGCCATGAAGCAGAAACGAGGCAATGCCAATGTCAGGAATGCTTGGTACGGTAGCTCCAAGAGTGAAGCTCTTCGAATCCTTCTACATGGTTTCGAATCCTGCGGTGCCTTGGAAGACAGCAAGCCACATGGTCTAGGAGCATATCTTTCCCCTCTAACCAATGCTATCGACAGGTATGATTATCTCAATCCCTCTTTAGCCCGATTTTTCCATAATTTGATGTATTCCAGTTATTCAAAAAGTTTTCAGAAAGTTCAGAACCCCATAGAAGGAATTCTTATCTCGGGAGAAGAAATGAAATCATGCTTTTTTTTTTTGGGTCTCTCTGCAGTGTGGTATCCTCTGTTCCTGACGGCAATGGGATACGGTACTTGCTTCTTTGTTGTGTAATCTTGGGAAACACGGAGGAGATTCACCCTCCCTCGCATCAGCTTTCTCCCAGTACTGACGAGTGTGATTCTGGAGTGGATAACCAAGAGGCTCCTAGGAAGTACATAATCTGGCCCGCCCAGGTGAAGACACATATTTCCCCCTTGTACGTCCTCAGTATCAAGGCGAATTTCCAACGGGGAGGTAATTAATTCGATTACCCATTTATAATATCTATATATATATATATATATAACCGTGAGGATTCATCAGAAGTTTTTCTAAGAGGTTGCGTTTCCTATGGCCGACTCAGAATCGCATAACCCTCGAGTATGGACTCCTACTTCACCTTGGATACCGTTTTCAAGACTAATACCGATGCTATCTGCTTCCCTACCTGCGCACAAAGTCTGCTTGATCAAGAGAATTCACGTTGCTTTTCTGGTGCTTCCTGAGGCTCACTCATCCTTTCTCATTTCGTCATGGGAATGATTTCTTGAGGGTTTTTTTTCTTTCCCCCATCGATTATCTAAACCAGCATGAAAATCTGTGACCCAGGAGAGGAAAATTACGCGCCAGCAGCTGATATCTCGGGTTAGGGCGTTGTCAGGAGACGAGTTGCTATATGTAGCAATCAGAGTCTTCGGTTCTAAGGTACGGGCTCCTGTCAGGACAGCTATTCGTTGTTTCACCTGCTCTGTTTCTATAAATTGCGATGAAATCAGATATATTTACAGAGGATTCAACTGAGCAAGAAAACTAATGGGATCATTATAATTATTCAAATGGAATGATTGAATTAATATGGGCCAAACTACTCCGGAATTTCCACCTGATGTTCCAGAAATCGGAGTATTCCTCTCTGGAGGGCATTCTCATTCCTCCTTTCCACCTACCCCGCTAGATCACGATTAACTGTCTCTAATCTTCTCGGTTCTTTCTCTGTGTGGAGATCTACGGTTCATATTTTCTCAGTTTTATGGAGTGGAGCCATCTCTCACCGGGATCATAGCTGAAAGATTATCTCTCAATTATTTCTTTATGCTTTTACATATGATGGAATCTTTTTCTATAATAGAAAGAATTTGTGGTACTTCCCAATACACATAACTCGATTAAACACCAGATCTTTCCATCTTTTGCTATGGGAATCTTACGGCTCCCATGTTGACTTCCTGCAGAAAGCGAGAACGGGGATCATTTCTTCCCTGAAGTAGTTCGAAGGCATCTCCCCGCGCAGAGACTCTTCTGAATCAACGCACTCGACCAGTTGCAGAGAACTGTGAATGGAAGTTCAATGGAGGAAAAAGAAAACCTCTTGACCGAATAATCCGGCCTTCTTCCAAGAGGCCCTGTTCTTCCTCTCACATCCAGTTTAACAGCTGACTTTAATCTTCGCTGGTTGTTGACCGAGAAACTGCGATGGCCAGATCAGGGCTGGGTCAACGCCACTTCCACAGGACATTTTTGATGTATTATCTCTTCCTCAGGGATTCACAACACGGACACTTTGACTGTTTTTTTCTCTCGGTGACTTGATTCTTTGATTCCTTCTGGGGGTCTATAGAGCCTAGATTACTGAATTTATGTGTTCTGAGTATATAATTCTTCTATTTTTCGAGCTTGATTTTATGACCCGAAAACGGAGAAAGATCCTAGATGTATTTTATTTTATTTTTTTCGAAAAAGTCCTCGTCAAGTTATGCTTGTTTTACTGTCCCCCTCTTGTGGTCCTCTCAACCGCGGTTTCCGTTCACGCGGGTTAGCCAACGCACGGTTGGACAGAATCGATGCTCTGCGGGGGTACAAATGCAAAACCGCGTGCTTCGCACAGGTCTGCCAAAAGACCGAGGACAATGGAGCCCACCGTAGTGGACCATTCCCGCGTTATCCCTCCTACGACAACAAGGCTACAACGCCCTATATAATCTGAGAGAGACGGAGAGGGAGAAGAATGCACGGCAGCAGCAGGGAGCGGAGGAAGAGGCTGTGCGGATGGTGACGGCCTCCCAGATGATATCGAATGAGAAGCAATCGGAGGAGATCGGGATCGAAGCCATCAGGTCTTCCTGTGGGACTGCGGCGGCTCGAGATCGTCTCTCTGGAGTGGGCGACGGCGAACCAGGGCGGCGGCCTGAGGGAGACGAGGAGGACGAGGCCGGCGGTGAGGACTTCGAGTTCCCCGCCATCTCCGGTAACTCCGACGAGATCTTCTCCAACGGCCAGATCCGTCCGATTTACCCCCTCTTCACCCGCGTACCCCGCTTCGACGGCTGCGGATTCCAGAATCGGGGCGCCGCCGACGCCGGTGCTGTCGCTGAGGCGGTGAAGAAGCCGGTCCGGCGGCCCCTCCGATGGCTCATGATGGAGGACGGCTGCACGCTGCCGCCGACGTCGTCGTCGGAACGGGACGCGCCGCTGGACGATATCCCGGTCGATAGCTATTGCCTGTGGAAACCGGACATCCACAGGAAGGGCCCCTCCGCAGAGTACTCCTCGAAGAAATGGCTCCTCCGCAACGCCTCTGCCGAGGCGAAGAAGGAGACGAAGAAGAGAGGGGAATCTCGCGGCGAAGGAATCGCCGGTCCCAAATCGAAGCCCTCCCCCTCGGCGGCGACTGGGGAGGAGCAACACGAGAAAGGGAACATGATCGGAGATACGGCGACGGGATGCCGGCGGCGGCGGCGCCCTCTGGCGGGATTCTTTCCCTACGTGCGAGGGCCGACCAGTCTCTTTCCGACCCTTCTAGAGTCGTTGCCGGAGCCGCAACTCAATGGTTCACACTAGACTCGACCGGAATTTTTGAACTCTCGAACGCGTTAATGGCCGTCTTTCTCTCTCTCTCTCTCTCAAGAAACGTGGATTCATAAACTACTAGTCTTATTGATAAGCTCTCTACTTTTCATTTAATCTCAAGTCCCCCTCCAAAGTAAATAACTATTTGTTTTCAGCCCCTCGATTAACTTCAGTTAAAAAAAGTAGAAAACCGTAACTGAGATTATCTGGCATCTAATCAAATTAGAAAAAAAGACTAATTTACCCAAAAGTGACCTCTCTCTCTCGCTTGCGCCTAGCCAACGAAGGCCAAAAGCGTAATACTTGGAAAATACAGGGTATTACTGCTTTTATAAAAAAATGACAGAAATAATCACGTAGTAATGACACATATACTGATTATAAAGAGAGAGACAGAGAGAGAGAGGGGTCTTTTATAATTTAATCATTATTTTAAATTGATAACAGAAAGTTTGTGCTAATTCCGATAGGAGGAATTGGGCGTCTTTCGGTTTTGTGGGCTTGGGCGTGGCCGTTGGTATCAGAAATCCAGAAGAAATGATTGCTCCGAGTAGCGCGAATTGGAATCTGGGAAGCTGACGAGTGTGGAGGGACTGTTGGGGGTGGGAAGGGGGGCCTCGGCTCCGCAAGATCTCCGACTCCATCTGGTTTTCTTCTGGTATCTCCTCTTCCTCGTCTACAGGTTTGATTCTTGTTGCGGAGCAAAGGGAGAGGCGGCGTGCGGGGAAGAGCAATGCAGTGGTACTTCGTGGCTGCGCTCCTCACGCTTCTGACCAGCTCGCAGGTATGGAGACGCTGGCAGGTTTAAGTGGATATTTCGTCCCTAGAATTCTAGTGCAGTGAGGATCCGCCTGATCCGTCTGTTATCCATTGTCGTCAGCTATGCTGCGCGTTAATCCTAGATCTGCATTTATCTTTCGTGTGTTTTTGCTTCTTCAACGGGAGAAACTGGCTACGTTCCTGGACCTGCATTTCGAAGGTCGGGGCATGCTGCTTTCTCCGTGAAGACTGCATCCGATAAGGAGATCTAACCAAGCATTAGTATGGTTCCGGAAGCTGGAATAAGAAACTTGGATTGTAATCCCGATTGTTCTAATCCTAGCCAGTGTTTTGATTTGCGTGCTTTGCTTTGGGGTTGCGTATATTTAGCTCCCAGTGGAATTATATAAGCGTTGATTTGATAATAGGGCACTGGGCAGGTGCATTTGTGTTCTAGAGCAAGCCATGTGCCCACGTGAATGTGATCTGATGCAGGAACTTATGCAGTGTCCCTAAACACACGCATTCTCTTATTTCCCCAAGTTTCGCAATGATTTATGCTGGTTAGATGTTGAAGGTAATTTCAAAAAAAAAGTTATCAAAGGGAACTGCGTTGAATAATATCTCTTCTTTTATTGATTCAGGGAATTTTGACAACGCTCTCCCAAAGTAACGGAGGTTATAAATATGACTATGCAACTGTTCCATTCCTTGCAGAAGTCTTCAAGGTACTTCTCCCGATGCAATTTACTTGCAACTCTTTTGTAATGATACCAATTAAGTCAGGAATTAAATGTGACTGTGCATAGTTCGATTGCTTTATGTCCATTATTGTCGGGTTGTGGCGTTGACTTGTGTTATCTTTTCCTCTTGAATCTCAGCTTCTTATATCCAGTTTGCTCCTCTGGAAAGAGTGTCAGTCTTCATCCCCCCCAAGTATGACTACAGAGTGGAAGAGCATTCGTTTGTTTCCAATTCCTTCTGTCATCTACCTTATCCACAACAACGTTCAGTTTGCAACTTTGACATATGTGGATACTTCAACATACCAGATAATGGGAAATCTGAAAATTGTAACAACTGGGATCTTATTCAGGTGCTCCTCATCATGATCCATCTAGAACTCATTTTTTCTTACCTTGTTTTATTAGTGCTTTTTGTCTATTGGGTGATCTGATCTGAGATGAATCTGGTTTAGATTCACCTTTTCCACTTTAGGATGATTTTCCTCAGTTAATTTTTTCTTTTCAAATCTTAGGCTATTCCTTAGGCGGAAGCTGTCAAATCTTCAGTGGATGGCAATCATTCTGTTGACTGTTGGGACAACAACAAGCCAGGTCATTTTCCAAAGCTTTCCTCTTGTCTTTTCCTTACACAATGAGTATTTGTCATAGTTATTTTTATTATATTCATAGTAGCAACCGGAAGTATGGTCTCGTTTACTGCTTCTGGAGTAGTGACTTTGTAGCTCATATTTTTGTGGTTTAAAATTTCAAATGAGAAAAGAACGAATTCTATAATGCTTTTTCTATTTTGGACGTCCAAAGCATCGTATTCAACTGTTCTGAAGTTTCAATGGTTGCAGAAAATGCTGGTTGATTGATGTTTTATCCCTTAGTGGCCTTATTAAGTACTTTGCCATAAGTTCTCTTTTGCTGGAGGTTTCTGTTGTGGCTTAGTTTCTTTCAAATGCACATAAGAAGATTCTTCTGTGTGGTAACTTTCACTGGCCTGCTTTTCCATTGGCAGCTACCTTTTTCTTTATATATATGCTGCATTTTCCATTTTCTGTTAAAGGTGTGGTTCTACTTGCATTAACAGACAGAACTGCCGAGTAAATCAGCTGACCTAAAAGAAAGAATGTACTGTAATACAGGTTCCTTGATCGAGTACTATTTCCTCTATGGAACGGAAGTTATTCATTTTTGGCCTCTTGATTTCAGGTGAAAAGCTGTGGGGAGGCATCATGTGAATCCCTTTTCTCAGCACCTGTACGAGGTTACATGCTGGGAATCCTATCTGCTTGTCTTTCAGCACTGGCAGGAGTTTACACTGAGTTTCTGATGAAGAAAAACAATGACAGCTTGTACTGGCAGAATGTACAATTATATATGTACGCATCCTTACAGCCCCACTTAAATATGCTTCCATTCCCTTAAGTGAGGCATGCTTCGAATCAGTAAGATTGATGAAGTCGCAATTAAAGCAAAAATAGCCAATTGGAAAGTAATAGTCATGCTTGTAATCCTCCAAGCTACCAACAAATAAGCTAAACCATTTGATCCCTAGCAATTTTCATTGCAGTCAATTGATAAAACTGTATATGCGCCATCCGTTGTTTCTTCAAAAGGGCCACAATGAGTAACGTGTTTCTTTCTTTCTCTGTTCACTGAATGCTCTTTTCCAGGTTCGGTGCAATCTTTAACATGCTACGACTTCTCTTAGATGATTTTAGAGTTGGATTTGAAAGAGGACCATGGTGGGAACGACTTGTTGATGGGTACTCCATCACCACATGGTTGGTTGTACTTAATTTGGGATCCACTGGATTACTGGTTTCATGGTTGATGAAATATGCAGATAACATCGTCAAGGTGATTTTTTATCGAGTTGTCTTTTACTTCTACATTAGAGCTATGTCATCTATTCCAGTTTATATAGTGGAAATTGTTTACTGGTTTGTTCCCATTTTAAGATCTCTTTTTTTCTTCCGTCTCTTAATCAAAATCATGATCATGGACGATGGAATTGAGTGTCAATGTTCACTGCAGTGAACATGAAATGCATTTGCAACTCTGTCACTATAAATTTCCTGTAGATCAGTTCTAATGAGTCAAACAATCATCTTTCCTTTGTGTCACTTTGTTATTTGAATGTTAATCTATAAATTCTTCCTGAATCAAAGATGTTTTAGTTATCTCTTATGTATAAAACGTCTCAACAACCTTTTTGAGTAATCTCTGTAGTCTACATATTTTTCTTCCCTTCCTTCAGATATGTTCATTTTCATTTTTAACAACAAAAACTTACAGAAATTAATTTACATCTGAACTAACCAGCTCTGGGTGCAACATTAACTGCGCATCTATGCCTAATATCATATCCATCAGTAAACACTTGGTTCATACTCATGTCATGTTTAGAAACCTATTCATGGTTTTGAGGCATGTCTGAGCATGCAGATGAGGCAAAGGTGCTTATCGACAAACCAAACTTCTATAGAGGTACACTCATTGCTGCAGATTGTTGAGCTTACCTAGCAGTTGTCAGAGGTGTTTTGACCTTTATACACCAGCGATCCACTGCGTGATCTCTTAATATACAAATGCAGCCAGTGATTTCCGTGATTAAAAGATTTGGGATACCAACTTGGGTATGTGGAGGTGGGTTTTTGAGTTCAAAGTCGTAGACCAAGTACGATCGAGGTGGATTTTAAGTAATGTCGGCAGTCTGGAGTAAAGACCAAGTACGATTGTGTAGATATGAAATATCTCAGTTCTTTGAGCAGGTTTCGGTTTAGATCTGGAGTATCTCATTTCCGTTACAGATAAGCGGCTGGGCAGTTTTCTTTTGTAAAATTAATTAATTAATATTTTACTTTGAATTTCACATTTCATTAAATATTTTGAAAAATAGACCTATTTTAGTTTCTGTAGTCTTTCTTTTTCTTTTCCTGGTTGAATGCATATTTCCTTTTGATGGGACTGAACAACTTGGAGACAATCCTATTCTGTAGTCCATGTGACGAAATGTGGATGGGAATGGGCATTGAAACGAGAAGTTTTGAAACCATGTTTCACATATAATCGCATTCTACTTTCCTGCTGTTTAGAGTAATAAGAGGTACCAAGAATATTCATGTTCATCCTCATAAGCTTTTATAAAAAAATTCTTATTAGTGTTTTTATGTGGGCATCCGGATGATTGACCAAGTACTGATAGATTCCAATAGAAGCAAAATCATTTTATCTAAGAGTGGAAAGAATGATTCCAGTACCTAAGCCAAGGTGAGAGGGTCTGGATAAGAGAAGGGAGAATAGTAAACTTGTCACATATACTTCTTTCATTCAACGATTAACACTTTTGAGAGATACCCATATCTGGTCAATTGGCACCACTCTACCATTCTCTCACCTCTCCTTCTCTTTTTTTTTATCTCCCTCTCTCTCTTCTCTCTCTCTCTCTCTCTCTTCAGGTTTATTCAACATCAATGGCGATGCTGCTGACAATGGTCCTGTCTATATTCCTTTTCAACTTCAGGCCCACTCTGCAGGTGAAAAGTCCCGTTTATGTGCCGTCTGCTTGTTTTTCATTTCAGGGTCATTATTCATGCGCTCCTCACCCCCCTCGCAGCTTTTCCTGGGCATCATTATCTGCATGATGTCACTCCACATGTACTTCGCCCCGGCCAGGATGCTCATTGATCTGCTGCCCGCCTCGAAAGCTCCGCCCGAGCCTCTAAACGAAGTTGCCATCACAAAAACGGATGAATCGTGAGGCACCATGCCACTGCAAGAGGTAACCAGCAATCCTGAACCGCGTTATAAATATCCCCGGGATTTATGTATCTCATGTTTGATGATTTGAGGGTTATACTTACTAGATTTGGTAAGTTCTAACAGATCGCCCAAGACCCTGGGACTCTTGTGCGTAATCCTGCTTCTTTCTGTGAAGAATAGCGAGGGAGGGATCTCCACCGACTGAATGATAGTGTATGCACCAGGGAATTGTCCTGCTGGGCACATTCCTTGACCAGGGCAGAGATTCCAACTCCGAGAACGCCATCACCCCTGCTTGAGGTTGCCTCGTTTCTTGAGGAATTCCTTTTATGCCATGCCAGGTATATTTTCTTTATGCGTGGCTCTCATGAGAAACTGACACTTGGCAGTTCTGCGCCAGTATCAGTTTTGGTTCCTCAATAAATATTTTCATTTCTTCTTTGCTTAAACCTCAAAGGTACTGATGCCAATTAACGCCCCTCTCCCTACCCGCTAGAAGTGAAGACTTGAAATCCACTTTGAAGGTTATTTTGGGTTGTATAGTGGAGTCCAAAAATTGTCTCCTTGGATCAAAGTAGTTTAGCTGAATATTAGTATCTGAAGGTACGATTATCTGTGGTTAATTAGCCAAGGATGGGAATGGTGACCTCTTTCGGTGCCTTTATCTATCAATAGGTGGGATGTTTTTTTTTTATGCACAAGAACTCTTGAGGGATCTCAAATCAGCCAGCATAAGTCAATTATTTGTCTCTACCCTACTACTGAATAGGGATCCATGTTAATTTATTGGGCTTTACACTTTTACAATGTCGATCAAGTCAACAATGGTTCTAAGCATTATTGTATGTCTTGGAAGATCATGTGTGTGTGTGTGTGTGTGTGTGTGTGTGTGAGAGAGAGAGAGAGAGAGAGAGAGAGAGAGGGAGAGAGAGAGAGATTGTTATCTAGGATGTGAATCAATTTCATTATGAAAGTCTGAGTGTCAGATAATGATGAGACATGAACTGATAACAGATCTTGATAATTTATCCATTGAGAAAAGTTTAGATTACTACTTAATGAAAGAGTTTATATCATCAGAGTGAAGGAGTCCTCACAATTACAAGATTGAACAGGAAAGTGTTAAAGCCAAGCAACTTTTGCGATAGATAGGTTGATTATTGGATTTCCAAGTTAAGAGCTATTTCACAATCATCATTAGAATTTGTAGCAGAAGTTGATGAAGAGAAAAGATAGCAAAAAAGGTGTGGGTCCATGCATGCATTGCTAAATTTATTGACCTCAAAACAAAGGCTATTACCTTGACCTAGGTTAATCATGTTGTGAATAAAATTTATGTGCCACTTTAATTCAGCCTACATGGTACAAGATATTTCATAGAGATTTGGTCTAGTCATAAATCTAATATCTCCCTCAAATATCCCCCTGAGTATTTCTATTAGGCTGATCTTAAATCCACTAAAGGTTAGGCTTTATCAAGATATTGACCAAACCTTTTATTAGTATTATGTCTTGTTTAAGAACATGATTAAAGAATGTTGCTGGAGATTCAAAGATCACTTGAGATGTTGGTAGAGCTTTTGAAAAATTTGAAAGCTTTAAGAAACTGCTTTATAGGATTTGGAAACTTCAAATTCGATATTATTTTCTAATTTTTAGGAGCTTAGTTAGTCTTACATTTGAAGGGCTCCTAGAATTTGACAAGCCCTAGAATGCAGTACAAAATGTATGTCACTCAATGGTTAACGTTTTTCCTTGTTTATTTGGATCTTGAGCAATGGAGTTGTTGCAACTCAGTGGAATATGCTAGCACCTTGGTTGTGTGGCTAACCCTTTTAGTTTTTAGCTTTTAGTTTTATTGACAATTGACGCTCATGTCTCCTGTTTCAACCCTTGATACATCCTTCAGTTTTGGTTCAGTTTTTACATCAAAATTACTCATTTTATATATACTTTACCCTATATAACTATGAAAGTGTAACACTTAATTTTTTGGCTTCACTTTTAACATAAATCAACTTTAAAACACTCACTTCTTGCCCTAAAAATGAAACAAAAGAATTTTAAATGTAGGCAAAAAGTAATTAATCACTAAAATGAGTTTATTGATTGTCAAAAAGTGTTGATAAAAATCTTGCAAGATGTGGAATGCAATTTACATTTGCACTTGTAATGTTACATCATTCACATAAGGAAATGCTCTTGATGATGGTGTCAAAAGAGATTACATTTTCGTTCTTAGTTAAACCACAAGTAATGAAAATAGAGCATGTTGGGTGAGGACAACCATGTACATGTGAGGTTTAGGTGATTGAGATGGTGAGTGAATAGAGGATGATGGAATATCTTGATAAGGATAGGGTAAGTGTATGATATCTATGAATTCTTACATAAGGTAAAGTTATGTAGTATAAAAAAATTATGATTTTTTTCATGCTTTTAGATTAATTGGCATGAATCACCTCTTCTAAGATTATGTGCTATAATAGAAAGTTGTTTCTCACATATTTGGTTAAAAATCTAGATTGGGATAAGGGGATGTCAAATTTGTGGAAGATTATGTAACTATAGTGGTTTGATAGTGTCAAGAGAAAGGTTTAGTAATTTAGTAAAACTATGAAGGCAGCCAACAACGTCAAAAGTACTTCTAATTTTGATCTGGTCTTGAAAACATCTAGACTGTCAGCTGCTTGGTTTTCATTAAGACATTATCTTCCCTTTGAGAAAGATTCACATGTCATGCATGTGGAGATCGTTTGTTTGAAATAGTCGTGTGAGATAGGGAACATGAAAGCAGAATATTTTTCAAGACTGACGATTCCTAGAGGCCATTGAAATAACCTAATGAGGTATTGCTTTCATTGTAGCATGTATGCAACAAGCCTAAGTTAGTTGGTTCCCTTGACTATCCTAGTAGGTCAACTTAGCCATTCATTCTAGATCACACCATATTAAAATTTATCAAAATTGGAATAATAAATGTGTTGTAAAGGTATATTATGTTATATTATATTATATTATCTATATTTTTTGGCTTCAAGAGCCTTAATTATCTTAGAAGGTTTGATGATGAAAAACATATATAAAAATATATTGATAAAAAATAATACAATCATAATGATAAAACATGTCTTTATATGTAAACACAATTATTTAATTAATTAGGAGCACATGATTGAATTATATTAATTAAGAATATATTGACAAAAAAAATTACTAATGTCATGTTCAGATATTGGTTCAATGATTTTGGCTGACATTCACAACTTGAATCCCCTAATAATAATTAAAAATACACTTGAAATCATTAATTTCCATAGTACCTTTACACCTAAAAATATGAAATTTTCATTATTTAGAAGTAATGATTTTGTCATTGAAAAATTTTCAAAGGTTTGAAATAAAATATTGAGATGAAAGTTTAAGAGTTATACTATGTTCGTTTGAAAAAAATACTTTCAGTCAATTCAACTCATGAACTTATCAATTATACATATACTATATAAATGCTAATTCAAATATTAATTGAATAGTAAATTGAATTATCTGAAGTCTGTAAAATATTGGTGCTGAATGTTGATATAGAAAATTAGCGAGTATGCTTCAAATTTATGTTTCATTTGATGTCATTTAGATTTAAATTTAAATGTTTAATTTACCTTGAGTTGTATATAAAGATATGTTTTAACCATGTTGGATTCTTATCAAGAATGCTAGAATTGATGACTTCAGTTATATACACTAATTGTTTAACAATTATGTTATTGTTGAAACATATGATATATCAAAATCCTACTTGATAAAACAATAATGGATGTGACATATTGGATTTTCTATAACTATTTTCTAATAACTAAAATTTTGATTATTTGCTTGTCATACTATGGGAGTAGATTCTTTTAGCTAGATTTTGGTCTACATAGAGCCATGAACTAGGTAAAGTTTCAATTGAAACTCTATAAGAGTTGAGCCCTTGAAATGAGCAAGTGTACACTCAAGGGTTTGTTGAGGTCAAGAATAAGTGTTCTTGGTAAAGTGGAGTATGCAAGGAGCAGTTCATTATGAAATTCTAGGTATCCTCAAGATCTAGATCTAAGAAATCATAAAGAATATATGATTAAAAAGGGGAAAAAAGATTATGAGAGTTAGGCTAGAGTCAAAATTAATCCAATCAATTCAATCCCCAGTTGTTGATCTTAATGCACCCTTAAATTCAACATACCTCACTATTTTGATATATTTGAACATTTCTCCTAATAAAATTAAACGTTTATAATTATGACTTGCTAAACATATGTGGATATTTTATGTCATTATGCTAACTAATAGGATGACTCATTAATTTGTTAACTAATTTGATGATATTAGATGTTTGGATAAATTTAGTCTTCCTATATTTTGTTTACAACTAGGAATTGCAAAGCAAAATCTTTTTAATTTTAAAATCAATAAATAAAACTATTCGTTTTAAGGATGCTATAAGAGGAACCAATAAGATTCAGTAAAATCTTGAAGACTACCTCCATCAAGTCAAAATATGCCCAGTAAGAGGATCAAGAAAGTGTATTGGAGAGATTAAGGTACCTCATCGACTAAGTATAGGAGCATGAAACACTATGCTCTTTCATGTAACATTATTGAGACATACTGCCATCTAAATGAGAAGGTAACAACATCAGCGGTGGAAAAAATAATAACGATATCTCTTTCCAACCGATGATGCCATTAATTTAATATGCCTAATGGCATTTATATCGCTTTCAACGTGGTTAGTGCAGAAGTTACGCCCACCTAGTGTGATATTTTCTTCGATCGAATGCAGATGCTGCTAAATGGGCAATCTTGGTCGTCGGAGAAAGATATTTAAGTCACGGCACGTGGCGGTGAGGTGGACGATGCCCCGACTGTCCTGAGTCAAAATGACCCGTCGACAGCGACCGGGAACGCCGGTCGCCGGGCCCTGAAAATGGCGACATCGCCTCGTCATTACACCCTAATTGGAGCCACGCGGAAGCGTTTCTCCACATCTTGGACATGGCCCATGCATAGTCAGCTGCTCCACTCGGCCTCCTCCTCTCGGAGATGTCGAAACCATGACTACATTGCCTCTTCTTCCTCCTCCTCCTCTCTACATAACCCAACAACTCCTCCCCGTTCTTCTCCACCCTCCCCTCTTCTCCTCTACGAAGCCACCGTTTCTCCTTTGCGGCGGGGCCACCGGAGGCTCCGAGTTCGCGGCGCCATCACCGCCGTCTCCATGCAGCCGGAGCCGTCGCGCATGCATGGCGGAGACAGAAGGAGACTGGCGGTGCCGCCGGGTTTCCTCTCCGGCGAGTGGACGCGGCCATGGTGGCGGCGGAGGGCTCCCTCCGGCTGCCCCGTAAGGTATGCAGACGGGCCCGAATAGGCCTCGTCATTGTAGGGTATCGGATCCAATACGGGGATCCGATTATCGATCTTTGGATACACCACGAGTCGTCCCGCTGACTTTCATGTTGGATCGATCGTTCTGTTATCTTCCCCTGGGGATCCTCCGAGTAGCACGATTTCTTAGGAAAGATAGGATTTTTTTTAATCTGAGTCTGGGGGGAAAATGCCGATTTTTCAATGATTCTTTAATGTTCCGTATGATGATCTCCTATTATTTTGATTCTAGTTTAGTGATTAGGGTTTTTTTAGTTCAAACGTACACCAAAATTCTGAGTTTGGTCTTCTCCGTCGGGAAATTAGCATCAAATTATCCCATGACTTATCGTTGTTCTTGTAAACTACCTCCTGATTCTTAAAAACTACAGTTTCTCAATCTCTGAATCCCTTCCTCCAGCCACCAGCTCATTCCCCTCTCGATTCAACGGTGCATGATACCGCCAGAAGATAGAGAGAGAGAAAGAGAGAGAGAAGAAGAGGGTGAGGGAAAGAGAGAGAGAGAGAGAGAGGGAGAGGGAGAGAGAGAGGGAGAGAGAGAGGAAGAGAGTGAGGGAGAGACAGAGGGAGAGAGAGAGAAGCTGAGTCAGTTGCGGGTAGTGGGCATTCTACGGCCACAGCGTCAGTGTGTGGTGCATAGAGCGAGCTCGTGTGGTCTTGAGGAAGATAGGCTCTCCATTAGAGGCGCTCCCACCGACCGGAACGAGGAATCCTTATCTTCTCCATTTCTTCGGGCAATTTGTTTTCAAGGTCTATTATCCTCTCCCCTGGGGATCCTCCGAGTTGCACGATTTATGAGGAAAGATTGGATTTTTCTGATCTGGGTCTTGGGTAAAATGCCGATTCTTCGACGATTCTCTGATGCTCCGTAAAATGATCACCTTTTTTTTTAATTCTAGTTTCGTGATTAGGGTTTTTTTAAGTTCAAATATGCACCAAAATTCCGAGTTCGATCGTCTCTGTCGGGAAATTAGCATCAAATTATCCCATGATTTATCTTCGTTCTCACAAACTACCTCCTGATTCTTTTGACCCGCCGGCTACAGTCTCTCAATCTCTCAATCCCTCCCTCCAGCCACCAGTTCATTCCCCACTCGATTCAACGCTGCATGATACGGGCCAGAAGATAGATAGGTAGATAGATGGATAGATAGAGGGAAGGGGAGAGAGAGAGAGAGAGAAGCTGAGCCAGTAGCGGGTAGTGGGCATTCTACCGCCACAGCGCCGGCGTGTGGTGCAGGTGCAGAGAGCGGAACTCGTGTGGCCCCCAGGAAGATAGGTCTCGAACGGAAGCGCTGCCACCTTATCCTCTCCATACCTTGGGACAAAAAAGTTTAAGGAAGATGATGTGACAGTGATTACCTTCGGATCCTTCTCTCTCCCCCCCCCATTCTCTCTCCAAAATCCTTGTTCCACACTGTTATCAGTCTCTCCATTTATATCAGGACGGCATTAGCGTCCACGTCCGATCACCGCCACAATTATCTCTGTTTCAAGTCATGCACAGTGCACCGTTACATATGGTGAGAGTGATAGAGAGAGTGAGTGAGAGAGAGAGAGGAAGAAGAAGAAGAAGCCATGGTTGGCCGAGCTTTCCTTTTCCTTATCCTTGCTACCTCGAGGGTGGGATCTATAAATGGCCCTCAGAATGGCTCCCTGCCAAGGTGCAGGAGAGAGGACGAGTGAATGTCGACCACGGCGGTTATTCCTTCTCTCTCCTTGACGACCGTCAAGAGACCCGCCGCCGTCTGCAGCCTCAACCCAAACACTTCCTCCTCCTCCGCCTCCTCTCCCGCTTTCAACCTCCCTCGCCTCATCAGGAACGCCCCCGTCTTCGCCTCGCCTGCTGTTGCATCCACCGCGGTAACTTTCAGTTCTCCCTCACTCCCCTCCACTATCTCTCTATGTGCTCTCTCTCTCTTCCTCCGTCCACGCCGGTCGGCGAGATCGGACCGTCAGATTGAAAAGGAACGGCTCAGATTAGGGTGTAGAATCTGATCCAATAAAAGGAAGGGAGAGAGAACAAAAACAAAAGGTTGAAACCGTAGAGCTAATCACTCTCTCTCTGACGCGCATGCGTAGCGATGCGTAGGATAGTGGCTCCATTTTTCTAGGAGAGAGACGCATCTGGGCGCTACATCGTTCTTGGTCAAAGGGGCGCCATGTCTCGCCACATCATCAAGTGGTGACGAAACATCCGCTGGCCCTCTTGGATGTGGTCCCCACCATCCGCGATCTCACCCTCGATTCATTTTAGCTACGATTATTCGCGAGGCACGGGAACGCGGGGGGAGATGTTGCCATACAAATGGAGGGACAGAGGAGCTTCTCCGTTCACAGCCTGCGAATTAGAACAGTGTAGAAGAGGAAGAAGAAGAAGAAGAAGAGAAAGAAGGGGAGTCGGAGGAGGAAGAAGAGGAAGAGAACGGAGACGGGGAAGGTCGGTGTTGCAGAAATACACGGGGATCGGATGATGACTCCATGATTCTCCTGCTCGCCCTCTTCTCATTGTTTCTTTTGTGCGCAATCATGGTCGACCGATGTGAATCTCCACTCCGATTTGATTGCGGCCGCCTGCCCGTTCTCCTTGCGGCCATCAGAAAATCGTGGTTATTTATGCCTTTCATTGTTCGTCGCATTCTCCATCAGGGAGGTCAGATGATTCGCGATTTGCCTCGTTAATTACGTCGCTTTCCCCGCTTCCCTTTCGCCGATCTGCCGGAGGGACTGAGTTCTTCGTTTGGGAGAGGATTCCGACACAAACTCTCGTAGAATCCCATTTCGATCATGTTTTCTTTGCTTATCCGTCGGAATTTTTGCATCTTGGTTCGCGGTCTTTGCAATTGCCTGCTGGTTGAGCGTATATTCTTCGTTTCTCCGTGACAGGTTGAAAGCATGGATGCTATTCAGGCGTTGCAATCCCGCTTCAGCAAGTTCAAGGAGGATCTCTACGTGTAATTCTCTCCTCTCTCTCTCTCTCTTTCTCTCTCTCCTCTGCCCTATCCCCTTCCCCCACCACGAGGTCTGGGGGGGAACATTCCGCAATGAGAATCTCCCCCTTTGCCCTCAATAATGGAATCCCTTTCGGAATCGCATCCGTAAATCCACTGTTCTCCAAGACGAACTCGATCTCTTTGTAATTGACTCCGGAATCTGGTCAACATATGTGGGATTCTCACTTGATTTCGCTCCATTATTCGTCGCAGGAAGAAGCCGGAGCTGTTCAAGGAGCTCGCCGAGGGCCAGTCACCGGAGGTACCACTCCTGTGCATTCAATGCTTTGGAATTTTCCCCCTTCCTTCCTCCCTGCTGGACATTCAAGCTGGAGCAGACCCTGATCTTGACCTATTCGCCACCGAAAATTTTCCCTGTTGTCGAGCCGTTGACCGGGGATCATTGCCATTCGATTTTCACGCGCGTTCTGATTTCTTTTTTTCTTAAACTATTGACCAAAAAGACTAACAAGTCTGACGGTTTAGACTTAATTCGGGTATCGATTCCTCCCATGGCAGTTCATGGTGTTCGCCTGTGCCGACTCGCGCGTGTGCCCCTCGCACGTGCTCGGCTTCCAACCCGGGGAGGCCTTCACGATCCGAAACATCGCTAACATGGTCCCCGCCTGGGATCCGGTGCGTCCCCCCAACTCTCTCTCTCTCTCTCTCTGGAGAATGCGGGTCCAGTCACCATCTGCGACCCGCACGTTGATCGGTCAGAGTCGCACGCGCTAAGCCGACCCATGTCTTCCTCCACTGTGCAGACGAGGTACTCCGGAGTTGGCGCCGCCATCGAGTACGCCGTCATCCACCTCAAGGTCAGCGCCATTCCGACATATTCTCACTCACTACGCCGCTATTAATCCACAACGTCATATTTATAACTGAGAAACTAAATTTCGCTAAGGAATTTAAGACGTAAATAATAGGCTACTTTCTCGTAATTATGACTATCTAATAGCTAAGTCAACTCTAGATATCGTATACGGTAGCGGTTGCGCCAGCTGGCGTGCCATGAGTCGTAGGTGATCTGACCGTCGGCTCAACGAACCGGATGGGAGGTTGGTGGGGAGGATGGAAATCCAGTGGGTCCCCCGATCTATGTGTGGTCAGTAGTGGCCGGCTAAACTGTTCCCGAGGCACAAATTATGCTCTCGTGGAATCGGGAGAGAGCTGAAAAAACTCTCCCTCGCCTGCGTAGGTGAATAAACTGCTGACGCGTGTTTTGGATGTGGTGGGCCCCAGGTGAAGAGCATCCTCGTCATTGGCCACAGCCGCTGCGGAGGAATCAAGGGCCTCATGTCCCTGCCCGACGACTACAGCACTAGCACGTGAGTTGGTTCCAGAAGCATATGGACAACTCTCCCTCACTTTCTCTCTCCTCTAGTGATCCGCTCACTGCTGTCCTCCGTCGCCCACGCAGGGCCTTCATCGAGGACTGGGTCAAGATCTGCCTGCCGGCGAGGGAGAGGGTGAAGGAGGCCCACGCCCATCTTCCGTTCGCTGAGCAGTGCACCGAGTGTGAGAAGGTGAGAAAGCGAGCCGCTTCTTCTTCTTCTTCTCCTTCTTCTCCTTCTTCTTTATCATCGTCATCGTCGTCGTCATCATGATTTCTTCTTCTTCTTCTTTCTCTCAGGTGGCGGTGGACGTCTCCCTCGAGAACCTCCTCACGTACCCTTTCGTGAAGGACGGAATCCAAAACAAGACCCTGTCTATCCTCGGAGGGTACTACGACTTTGTCTCCGGCAATTTCGAGAGCTGGACCCCCAAGACCAACTGAGAGAGCATGGCGGCGCCGCCACCGCCACCGCCACCGCTGCTGCCCTTTCCGTGCTTCCAATAACGGAGTGTCCTAACTCTCGGTCTTCGTTTCCCTCCTGTCGTCCTCCCTACCTTTTCTTCCTCCCACCCGGAGACCGTGGAGAAGTTGTAACGGTTCTCCTGTCCCGGGCGGTATGTTCACTGCCATCGTCCCAGACCACGGACGGCCGCGGTCGGTCTTTAATATAAAAGTCTCCAGTGTTTATCTCTCCGCGTTAGTACGACTGGACCGCGCCATGAAACGTGGCGGCAGCTCCACCTTCCACGTCCTGGCTTCTCCTTTGGCTGGCAAGAACAAAAAAATAACTGAAAACTGGCCCCACGGGCCGGGCTGACGAACGTATGGGCCGATGTGAGCCATCAATGGGCCCGTAAACCGGAGCTTCCGCTGGCCCAGGTTATTTTCCAAATCTGGGCCTCGAATTCACTCATCCCGGCCCAAGTATGGTTTCAGCTAAAGCCCGCTATCCCTCTCTCTCTCTCTCTCTCTCTCTCTTTCTCTCTCTCTCTCATCAGTGTTTTTTCTGATTCTGGGGCGGGCCCGGGCCCGAGCCTAACGAACCCGGGTTTTTATATTCAATTTAGTTTATAGAGTTTAATCAGTCTAATATATTTCAATTTGCGGCATCAGTTGACATACCCGCCTCGTCGTCTCCGTCGCCTCCTGCGGAGGAGGCGGAGCCACCTACCGCGGGAAGAAGGAGAGGAAGAGGAAGGAAGACGGCGGCGGGGAGCGGGCCCCCCCGTCGCTCCTCACCGCCACAAATAATTCCGCCCTCCCAGTGGATGTGGCGGCGGCAGAGGCTCTCCAGACCACTCGATCGGGTCGCTTGTCGGCACTCGGAAGCCGCCTGGGAGGAAGGGAGGAAGGAAGCTCGGCAGAAAAGTGGAGGGGGAGGGGGTGGAGCGTTCAACCCTACGGAAAGTGGCTCGCGGTCGCCATCGCCTGGCGAGGTGGGAGCTAGGGTATGATTTCTTTCTTGGTCTTTGCTTCAAAAGTAATCGGGAGGGAGGATGGTCCACCCCCCTCTGCAGGTGTGCGATCCTCCTTTTTTATTAGTATTATCGGCAATGATGGAATCCGACAAGCGGAGCCCTGGCCCAGGATGACGAGAATGGTGAGGTCAGGAGGAATGGGGGGGGGAGGGGGGGGACACCGGCTGCGGATTCTGGAAGGAGATAAAACAATCTGTCGGCGCCGCTCGTCCATCCCCTTCGATGATCGGCGCGAGATCAGATGTGGCGCCTCGGAAATTCCTTGGAATCATGTCATATTAGGAACGCAACTGTGATCGTAGTTACAAACGTCCACTCATGGTCTTCGTCTCCGATTCGTCCTCTCTCTCCCTCCCGTCTCCGTCTCCGTCTCTCTCTACCCTCTCGGTTACGTGGTTTGACGTCTTCCTCTCTCTCTCTCTGGCTCTGGGACCCTTTTTCCTGCGAGCTCCGCCCACCGGAGCGAGTCCTCGGCCTTTCGTTGTTCAGCCCGCCAACGAGTAACCGTCAATCCTTGTGTTCCTCTGCCCTTAACTAAACGCTTGGCTCTTGTTCGAGTGCAACTTGTGCCTCTACGTGCGCCTCGTCATTCTGGGCGCCTGATCATACACTTTTTGAAGGACTGGGTCGTCCGCCATTTCTCTTCCTGGTAGCTAGGAAGGAGGAAAGGAGACCTCTCCTCTGATCGGAGTTTGGTTTCCGGTTGGTCTCAGCCCTCGCTCTCCGCTGTTTCCTAGAATTCTCACGTTATTTCCTGTTGATTACGTCCTGTTAGTCGCCAAATCTTCCTCTTGTTCAGTCTGTTTGCGAGCTGCTCTTCTTCTTCTTCTTCTTCCCGTTTTTCAAAAGTCCTTTTTCCTTTTTCTGGGGAGGTAGGAACATGGGAACTCCATTTTAGTCTCCACAAATACATCACTAGAACTGCCTGCGCGCCACGAGTTCATGTCCAAAAGTGGAGCTCTTATTATTTATGAGGGCCACCTGGAGCTAGCTAGCTGTTTTCTGTGGTTGCTTTTTACATCTCTGTTGCCTTCTCTGTGAAAATATTAATAGTTCCTCTCCTCCGTGTGGTTTATAGTCCTTATATTTTTGTTTTCTCTGCAGTGCAGACTAACGTGAGATGACCACCAGCATAGCTGCAGCCCATGCCAACCTTCACTGCAGAGCTAAGCCTTCCGACGGAAAGGCCCACTGGAAGGCTTCTTCCCCATCTGATTTGTCCTTCATGACAACTTTGCAAGGAGACTCGATGAGGTAGCCTTTGAATTGTTGTCTCTGTTGATGGAATGAAGAAACTCTTTACTGAAAATAATTCGTTTTGCTTCTTCATAGTCTTTATTTTTCTCTCATCTTTGCCTCTTGAATTCTTCAGGTTGTGCTCGTCGCATGGGAGATGGCCTCAAGCCCACCTCTGTCACAAGTATGTTTCCAACCGAGCCGTTGTGGTGTCGAGTGCGAGAGCAGGCACCACCAAGTTCTTCGACTTCGTCATCATTGGCAGCGGCGTTGCTGGACTGAGATACGCCTTGGAAGTCTCCAAACATGGATCTGTGGCTATTATTACCAAGGCCGAGCCTCATGAGAGCAACACAAACTATGCCCAGGGAGGGGTGAGTGCCGTCCTGTGTCCTTCGGACTCTGTAGAGAACCACATGCGGGACACGATGGTTGCCGGTGCGTACTTATGCGAAGAAGAAACTGTCAGGGTGAGTTGCCAGCGTGTTCCATATTTTAATCTATCCCTGTGGCTTTTGTACCTCGAACTCCTGATCTCAGTTTACCTGTTCTTGCTTCTTCCCCTTTTGCGATTTCTACATTTTAGTGGTCAACTCCGAGGGAAGTTTTTGTTAGATTGATCGTTTATATTAAACATATTTACGTAGATTTGCAATGTGGTTGTTTCCCGCTGAATGTAATTAACTATTTCCTAGAACCTGACGAATTGTTGGATATATACTCATTGTTTAATGAAAAAAATTGTGGCCATACCCGATTTCAGTCTGATATTTTAATGTATCTTAAAAATATCCTGATGTTGAAAGATTTTTTCTCCTGGTTTAAGATGTTGGGAGAAAAAAAATCCAGAAAGAATGAAATAATGTGAAGCTGGCATGGTATTGAGATAGTGAGAGTAAATAAATGATGACCTTCTTGACAGGATATGAACAGAATCCGGAGCTCAAACTGAAGAAAACGCCAACAATCCGTTATGACCGCAACCTTGTTCTCTGCTTGGCTTGCTCTGTTGTGGTTCATCTCCTCACGCTGATGCCTGTGGAACACTTGGAGCATACTTTTTTTCTATAAATATCCATTCATATATTCACTGGTATACGTATAATTCCAAGATTTGTTCGATATCGGCAGAAACCATGCAATGGTCAAACAGTCAACGAGGTGTTCTCGCCATCATCATCATCATCATCATTCTCATCTGGGTCGTATTTTATCTGGATGCTGCAGTCCATTTTATCTCTTCTTAACTGCGGTCAGTGCCCTGCAGGTGGTGTGCACAGAAGGCCCCGACCGTGTGAAAGAGCTGATTGACTTCGGTGCATCATTTGACCATGGAAATGATGGGAAGCTGCATCTGGCTAGAGAAGGAGGCCATTCCCATCACCGTATCGTCCATGCCGCTGATATGACGGGCAGAGAGATAGAGCGAGCACTGCTTAAGGCCGTCAGCGACGATCCAAACATATTTATGTTTGGCCACCACTTCGCGATTGATCTGCTGACTTCTCAGGTTCTCATTCCCACGGCCACCATCCCCCCCGTCCCCTCTCCCCTTGCGCCGGATTTAGAGATTGTTTTGCTGTTGGAATGCGTGAAGAGTCCCTTAAAATGTGTCTGCTGCGGATTTGCAGGATGGCTCGGAAACAAGCTGCCACGGAGTAGATACTCTGAACACTGAAACCTGCCAGGTTAGCTGAGGCCCTGGCTCTTCCCTGCTTGCTGGTTTTCCCACTTTTCAGCGAAATGTCCTCGCGGTTATAGTATCAGCTGACGTTTCTTCAATCAGGTGGTTCGTTTCATCTCGAAGGTGACTCTTCTCGCGTCCGGAGGAGCAGGGCACATCTACCCATCAACAACCAACCCTCTGGTAGAGTTGCAGCCTCTCTCACATTCTCTCTCTTTCCTAATCGGCTTCTGCTCCTGTTTCCTGTGATCCTTCCCGAGGTGTAGTCATGGTTAGCTTGCTCTGTTTTCTTCTGAACGAACAGGTGGCTACTGGGGACGGGGTGGCCATGGCGCACCGCGCCAAGGCCGTGATCTCCAACATGGAGTAAGAAGCAGGAACCTTTTCCCCTTTAGCAGATGTAGGTAGCTGGGCAGATGGGTGGGTCTTCCTCACCGATCTTGCATTGTCTCTGCAAACAGGTTCGTCCAGTTCCACCCGACGGCGCTGGCCGACGAGGGCCTGCCGGTGAAGCCGGCGACCAAGAGGGAGAACGCGTTCCTGATCACGGAGGCGGTGAGAGGCGACGGTGGAATCCTGTACAACCAGTCGATGGAGCGGTTCATGCCGGCGTACGACGAGCGCGCGGAGCTGGCGCCGAGGGACATCGTGGCCCGCAGCATCGACGACCAGCTCAAGCGCCGTGGCGAGCGCTACGTGCTGCTCGACATCAGCCACCGGCCGAGGGAGAAGATCCTCGCCCACTTCCCCAACATAGCCGCCGAGTGCCTCCGTCACGGCCTCGACATCACCAGCTCTCCCATCCCCGTCGTGCCGGCCGCGCACTACATGTGCGGCGGCGTGCGGTCGGGCCTGCACGGGGAGACCAACGTTCGGGGGCTCTTCGTCGCCGGCGAGGTGGCCTGCACGGGCCTGCACGGCGCCAACCGCCTCGCCAGCAACTCCCTCCTGGAGGCGCTGGTCTTCGCCCGCCGCGCGGTGCAGCCCTCTGTCGAATACAAGGCGGGCGCCGGCGCCGGCGTGGACCTCGCCGCGGCGGGCGGCATGTGGGAGCGCCCGGCCACGCCGGCGCCGCTCGGCGGCGACGTGGTGGGCGCCATCGAGAGGCGGACGAGGGAGATCCGGGCGGAGCTGCAGGCCGCCATGTGGGAGTACGTGGGCATCGTGCGGTCCACGGGGCGGCTCAAGGCCGCCGAGTGGAAGATCGGGGAGCTGGAGATGGAGTGGGAGACCTTCCTATTCAGGAAGGGATGGAAGCCGAACATGGTGGCGCTGGAGGCCTGCGAGATGAGGAACCTCTTCTGCTGCGCCAAGCTGGTGCTGAGCAGCGCCCTCAGCCGGCAGGAGAGCCGCGGCCTACACTTCACCGTCGACTTCCCATTCGAGCTCAGCCGCCGGATCCCCACCCTCATCCTCCCCAGCTCCCCCTCCACCAAGCTCACCTGGAGCTCCCAGCAGCTCCACCGCCAGATCCACCACCGCTGAACATTATTATTCGAATTTTGCGGGATACACCATTTTTCGGATCTCTCTCTCTCTCTCTCTCTCTCTCTCTCTCTCTCTCTCTACTAGGTATTAAAAGAATGTGAGCTTGAAGATGGCCAAAGATTTCTCCTTTTGTGCTGGATTTAAGCTCCAAGATGGCCTCAGCTGAGAGTATGTTTATGGGCTTGGACCTTTTTATTGAAAGTGGCCCAACTACGCTCCTGGGCCCCACTGCCGCAGCCCAATCCGCTTTAATTGGACCGTTGTCGCCGCCACGTAATGGAGCTTTTACTTACTCTCTGATGTGATAGAGACGTGCCAGCTAAGCCAGTGAGGGCCAATTGTTGGGCCATCCAAGCTGTCAGTCGGAGTTACAGCTTGTCAATCGACGAATGTGGGGCCCGCTGGGTCCACTGGGTCAGGCGTGTATGCGTCAGAGTTCTGCGGAGAGAGAAACCCATGGTTGACTTTTATATGTCGGTGACGTCATCGTGTGGAGGAGGTAGAACGTCTCTCTACCCGCGCCGTTATCTTCAGATCGGGACTTCCCGCCTAACTCCGAAAAGAATTCAACCGCCAATTACTGCCCGGTCGATCTTGACCGTCGGAAACGGCAGCCGGATCGCCACCGTCCAAATGTCAGGGGGAGACTTCTACGGGAAGGGAAGTTTAGGGGTATTTTCGTCCTTCCGAGTCTGCGCCGGCGGGGAATTGGGGAGGGGGAGTGAAGTAAAGAAGTAACGAAGAAGATACAACAGAGGGCCAGCGGCGGTTGTGGACGGTGGGAGAGAGGTAGCTTTCCGTCCTCCTCGCCGCTGTCACCTCTCTCCTACCGACCGCCCTTCGCACCGCCTCTCCACCGCCACCGAGGGTTATTAATCTAGTCGGGAGGTCAATTCTGTAGGCCATGGGGGGACAGAATGATGAAGATAACGCGGCGGGGCTCATCATTTGTACTGCTGGATCGAGGTTTTGGATGTTGTTCGCGCCCGTGCCGGCCTCGCTGTCCACCACCACCACCACCACCGCCACCGCAGCATAGGTGAAGATCCACGCTGCCTCGATCTTGGGCCTCGCATCTTCCTCGAGTTGTCCTTCGGTTCGGGGGAGCGTCGGTGTTTGTGAGAGATTATCTTTTTATCTCTCTCTCTCTCTCTCTTGCTCAGTCTCGGCGCACTCTGGTTAGGAGAAGTGGCAGAGTTTCCGGGATCGTCAACACATGGGGCCGAATTAAGGTACATTTGACAACTTCCGCGTGATTTTTGAAATCTCGCTTGTTCACACCACTTTCTGATTGTTGGGAGACTAGGAACGTGCACGGAGTCTGAAGCGGATCTCCGTTAGATCTGGTCGAAATTTGCGGGTCGCAGAGGGTTTCTGTGACGATCGTGGCCTTGTGTTGAGCGGATGCTCCTTTTTGTGCGCTTTTTGGTGGTTTTTTTTTCTTGATTCTACGGAAACCTTGCTATTTGCCAATTTATTCTCTGGTTTTAAAGAGTCACCCATTTTTTTTTCTTGATTTGGCGTGTATGCTTTTAACGTCGATAACCTTTTGAGGTGGTGCAATTTGGCGTGTTTAAATTGCTGTCTTTCGTTTTGATCCATCGGTTTCGGGTTGTGTTCCCCGAATCAAATCAATTTTGCACATAGTATTGATATTTTTTTGACAAAAAAATAATGTGCAGGAACTTTAAATTTTTGGCTTCAATCTGTTGAATTCCTCACACATCAAAATGCCGGGGATTGTCGTGGAAGGAGATGGTGGGCCTATTACGGAGCACAACACGGTAACGAATAAATCTCCAAAGGCTCCTTTGGAGTCCAAGAGAGTAGTGGGTGAGATGGTTGAATTACCTTCGGTGGATATATCTATTGAGCGCTTGTATGATAATGTATGTGAGATGGAGAGCTCTTGTGATGGGTCCCTGTCAAGGCAGAGCTTCGGATCTGAAGGTGAAGAATCAAGGATTGACTCAGAGTTGCGCCATCTTGTTGGTGGGGAGGCAAGTACAGTAGAGATTATGGAAGAGGAAGAAAGCGTAAAAAATGTTGCTATAGAGAAAGAAACGGTGCTATCTATCAGGAAAACAGACAAAACAGACAAAGCTCGCTACCGCAGTACAGAGTCTTCTGCTTCATCAAAGCCATCAAAAAACCCCTCCCAGTCACGTTTGGAATCTGATCTATCCTCGAAATCTGCTCTAGAAAACAAAGTTTCTCCTGAGAAGAGGGACAAGAGTGTAAAGAAACCAAGCCCTGATCTTAACAACGTTAAGAAGAGGAGGAATGCTCCTGGTGGTCGTGAAGAAAAGATCCAGAACGGACCTTCTGGAGATCCCTCAGAAGCCGGCATAGATAACCCAGATCTTGGTCCTTTTCTGCTTAAGCATGCAAGAGATTTGGTCGCAGGGGACAATCATAGGAGGGCTCTTGATTATGCACTCCGGGCAGCCAAATCATTTGAAAAATGTGCCAGTGGGAAACCTAGCTTGGACTTGGTGATGTGTCTTCATGTTCTTGGTGCAATTTACTGCAGCTTAGAACAGTATGAGCAGGCAATACCAGTCTTAGAGCATTCAATTGAAATCCCTGATGTAATAGGGAACCTAGACCATGCACTGGCAAAGTTCTCTGGGTGCATGCAACTGGGAGATGCATATTGCTTGCTAGGCCAGGTTGAACAGTCAATACGCTGTTATTCAGCCGGTCTTGAAATTCAGAAGCAGGCCCTTGGATCCAATGACCCCAGAGTTGGCGAAACATGCCGATATTTGTCAGAAGCCCATCTGCAGGCACTGCAGTTTGATGAGGCCGAGAGGCTGTGCCAAATGGCTCTTGACATCCACAAAGTAAGTGGTGAAGATCCCCTTCTAGAGGAGATTGCCGACAGGAGGCTCATGGCCCTCATATGTGAGACTAAGGGCGACTACGAAGCAGCACTTGAACATTTGGTTATGGCAAGCATGGCCATGGTCTCCAATGGCCAGGAGATGGAGGTAGCCCCTGTTGATTGCAGCATTGGAGATGCATATTTGTCTTTATCTCGATATGATGAGGCAGTTTTTGCATACCAGAAGGCCTTGACGGCTTACAAATTAACTAAAGGGGAGAACCATCCGACAGTGGCCAATGTCTTTGTTCGTCTGGCTGTTCTTTACAACCGGACTGGGAAGCTAAGGGAATCTCGCACGTACTGTGAAAATGCGCTGAGAATATACACCAAGCCACTCCCAGGGACACCGACTGAGGACATTGCTAGTGGTTTGACTGATATTTCTGCAATCTATGAGTCGATGAACGAACAAGAGCAAGCAATTAAATTGCTTAAAAAGGCATTGAAGATTTATGATGATGCCCCTGGGCATCAGAGCACAGTTGCCGGGATCGAAGCCCAGATGGGGGTGTTGTATTATAGAACAGGGAATTATTCTGAATCGTATAACTCCTTTAAGAGTGGTGTCACAAAGCTTCGTGCGTGTGGAGAGAAGAAGTCTGTTTTCTTTGGTATTGTTCTAAATCAGATGGGCCTGGCCTGTGTGCAGCTCTATTCAATAAACGAGGCAGCAGAACTTTTCGAGGAAGCCAAGAGTATTCTAGACCAGGAGTATGGTCCATATCACCCGGAGACACTTGGGGTCTGCAGCAATCTTGCAGGAATCTATGATGCAATGGGCAGGTATGGTTCTGACCACCCACGCTTTATTCGCTTACATCCTTCTTGTTTGCTCTTTCGATTTCTATGGAAACTTTATTTAACAGTTGCAGCAGTGATCTACAAACCCGTCTATGATTCAGAAGAGAAATAAGTTGTCTTTTAAAGTTAAATATGCACCAATTATCTTGCCATTTACAGTTCTTTCTTCGTGTCTTTCCAGACTTGACGATGCCATTCAGATGTTGGAGGACGTCGTTGCCATAAGGGAGGAGAAGCTTGGGACGGCCAACCCTGACGTAGATGAGGAAAAGAGGCGTCTGGCAGAGCTACTGAAGGAAGCAGGCCGTGTCAGGAGCAGGAAGACCAGGTCACTGGATTCCCTCCTCGATAGCAACTCTCGTGATGCAAAGGACTCACCCATGGTATGATTCCTCTCCCACCTTCCACTTGTACGGAAACTACTGGGGAACGGGGGTGCAGGGGCAGGCCTATAATTATTTCTATAAAGTGCCACACCACTGCTTGCCAATTTGTTTGGATAATAAATCCAATTATCTTGGAAGATTACCCATTGTATAACCATCATTCTGGATTCATGCTTAGATTGGCTCTAAGAAATATAGAAATAACAGTTGCACTGACTCTTCTCCTCTTTCTAGACTAACAGAAGTCATGAAATAAAAATAACAGCAAAAGCTTAGATAATTGATGTAAAGGTGTTCATAGAATCTTGTGCTATCATTGAATTTCTTCTGAACTATATAGATTGATAATAATAGATTATGATCAAATATAATAATTTTGTTGACTGGAAAAGAAATGCAATTTGCGCTAGTTAGATTGTAGTCACGTTATTTAGTATTTTTGGTGATTAATTATTAACCAAGGGTAGACTAGTATCTGAAAAATGTTGGATATTTAATTATAATCTTTTCATTCAATTTAGTAGTTTGTTTATTCTAAAAATAGAATAAGTTTACTCATATTATGAGAAAATTAGCGCATTATTTTACCATGAATAGGTTGTTATTATATATTTGATAATAAAATGAATAATATATATAATATAATTTTTGACCATCACTTTTATAATGATTTATATCAAGATTAAGCATTATTTTAGGAAAATTTTGAAAAAATATCAAATGAGTCAATCATATTGATAAAATGGTGTTCGATAGGTGTCATGAGTTTGTTAGCTAGTAGCTAGTTTAACCCCAAGACAGCGAAGGACCAGTAAATGAACTATTATCCATGCTATTATATTACTTGATATAAATGAGTTACTTGGTTTTTGTTCTTCCTAAACCACTTGGATAAAGTATAGGTCTATTTATTTTTAGTAGAGTTTTTAGACCTTCACAAATTTTTAGTAGAGTTCTTCCTAAGCTTTTTATTAATTATGAAGTGCATAGTTTGAGTATTCTATTCCGATGCACATTGTTGAACATATAGTGGTATCGTCTTATTCATAAAAAAGAAACATACACATTCAATACAATAATTTAAAAGGTAATTTAAATGTAGGATGTGATCGTTAGATTGTAGTCACGGTATTCAGCCTAATTTTTTTCACCTAGCCTTTTAGGCCTTCACAAATTATATCTTTAGTCATTTTCTAAGATTTTTTTTAATTATGTTAGATATTTTGAGTATTCTATTTTGGTGTCCACTCTCTTGAACATACAACACTATCATCTCATTCATAAAACCAAAACATATGCATTAAATTCAATAAATTAAAAGGTAATTTATTAGTTATTAGTAACCTTATCAATTGGGTTTATACCAATAATATATCATATTTTAAGGTAACTAATTAGGTCTAGGCCGATTATATTGCATGAATAATACCAATAAAATATTTTTCTTGTGGAAATTCCAATAAAAGATATAATATTCTTACCTATTATCATTTTTCCATTTCAAATCACAAAATATGTAATGTAAAAATAATAATTTTCTATTATATAATATCAACTAAAATAAGAAATGTAGATAATATCTGAAAATCTTTGACACATCAATTTCCAAGAAACATAAATAATTTTTACTTTTTCGAGACTGCATACATGAACCAAAACGATTGGAACACATGTTCTCTAATAAATAGTGTTGATAAACTATTTTTCTATTTTTAAATTGTATATACATAAAAAATTATGTAAATGATAATTGCTAACCATGAATACACCCTATTATTTGAAAAGACTCTAAGATATACCATTTTATAAACCTTTTCAATTCTCATAGTAAAAAGTTCAAATGTGATTGACAGACACTCATTATTAGGCCTTTTGATATATAAAAAGTTAATTGCTAGTCTGAGGGTTAAGCATACATGATATCAGTTATAATAATTTCATTTACTAATAGTCTGCTCATCATAAGAGTAGTTTTTTGTCATAGAATATACCATATCTTAGAAAAAAATACAAAGCCAGTAATTGCTAACTAAAAACTAATTAATGGTTGAAATATATAGTAAGCACAACTACCAACATTTATAGTAGTGAAATTCACATATTTGTACTAAGTCACATGGTAATTAGCTGTATGAATGCCATTGAAGGAACTTTCAATACTCGTGCGCCTATTTAAAATCAATAATCACCTGAAGAGTATTAAAAGTAATTGAGTTATATTGTATATTTAATCTTGTAACACTATTGAAACCTAATATGTTTTAAAAGGTATTATGATTGCATTTTGGAGACCTTATATGTTGTTTTGTGATAATTGGAATCATTAACTCCTGCACAATGATTGCTCCAACATATTCTCAAAAAGGTTTGAGTGTTTGTCTATATTTATTTTCTATGAATGCCTTAATAACACTCTTTTGTGTAATTTTTACTAAAGAAATATTGGCAGAGGATCTAAAAAATTGTTATCAGGAATGGGTGCATCACTAAGTTTGAGTATAAAAATTTTATAATGAAGTAATAGTATTCGACAAAATTAAGAATCACATCATTCTATACATTTGCCATAAGACTTGCTTCATTTTATCAAGGCAAATATATCAAATATCATTTTTAACATGTTCAGGATCTCACATCTATTCTCACATATAATGTTAATTTGAAAAATTATAAGGGATGATAAAATAAACATGAGGGGATGAATAGGCTCTTTAAAAGTCTGCAAAACATATTGATGATTTTTTTTGAAACACTTGACATTGATCAATCAACTAGGGTGCTGACCCTTAGGTGAACATTTTAGTGTCTAGTACATTACTTCAATAGAAAGAATCTAAACGCATGTCTTAAAAACATTGATCATATCAAGTCAAATAAGAATTATCATTAAGGTGTAAAATTGACAATCAAATCACTAAGAATATATTTAATAAGTCCCACCTATTCAATTCACACAAGATTTTTATCATAGAATTGAGGACATCAAATACAATGAGTCTAGTTTATGATTGATATAATAATTGTGCCTCTTTTAGGTAAATGAGATAAGTCAAAGCAAAAGTTCTTGACATAGAAAAATTTGGGTAAAATGATTCAATATTGCCAAAAATAATTATCCTACAGAAGTCTCCTAGCCCACTCTTAATAATTGCCCATGCACATACTCCATGCACATATAGAAGGGATACTAGGGAGGGATGAAGGAAGGTGAGGGTTGAGATACAATCCCCTAGCTTGCACTTGGTGGCTGCCTACCAATACATAATAGAGAGTAGAACACAATCATGGAGAGAGAGAGGAGCCAGCGAGAGAAATTAGGGTTTCTACAAATAGTGCAAGTAAGCCTCCTTTTAATGAGTTAATAATAACTAATATCCACCAAGGTTAACCTAACTATGTCAACGTACTCTAATAAAGGTATTAAATTTATGAATTTTGGTACATTTTATAATAACCCTATAGAAAACTAAAATAGAGAATGGTTCATCCTTTATTAAAATGGCTTATAGGGATGTAAAAAAAATAAATCCTATAATCATTATATTGTAGTTCTTTCTAGATGTTATAATATTTTTTTGTCGATTAGATATGAATAAGAGCAATGTGAATTGGTCATTTTATGTTAGTTGGGGTTTTTTGTGAATATTTATCAAGTCAAATATGTTGGTTATCATTTTGCAAATAGTTACAAGTCTTGGATGAGCTGACTATTTGAGTTGGTGCAATTTAGGAGAGGATCCTATTTGAGGAAAGAAAAGGTGGACATTGAGATTCCTCTAGTAGTTCAGCTCCTAGCTTACACCATTTTTCTGATGGTACCTCTCTTAGATTCTATTACTCCTCAATACAATAGTTGAACCCATTTTACGTCATATTGCACCTACACATTTATATTGGAATTAATCTTACAAACTTATGATGACATAGTTACAAATTCTTGTACACATTTGGTTGACATTTAAGAAAAAATAATAAGGGAACAAAATTACTATCAAGTGATCTCATATTTCTTTGAGTTACTTGAATGGTTAGGATTCATCCCAAGAATTTTTAAAAAATAAAAAAAATGTTGTAAAAAATGACCATTTCATTATCGCATACCTTTTTTTAATACTAATACACTATTGACAAAACATCCCAAGATTTTTTTTAAAAAGAGAACAATGTCTTTTAAATTTTCTTTATTACCAACAAAGACATACAACAACAATTTAGTGTATAAATAGGTATGGATGAGAGAAATTTAGTATTTGACTAAACATTGCTTGATCTAATTGAATTGATATGCCTTGACTGGTCATATTGATAAAAATAATATGGATATAAATTAGTAAGTCATTGAACTTTATAACAATATTTTGATCCTTTGGAAGATATAACATCCTACAACAACTATTACTAATCCATTTATAATTATTAGTTTAACTTGGGTTATTACCATTTTTGGGCCACTTACTAATTTCACTGCCAATAATGTCTAAATTAACGTATTATTGTATATATATGTTTTTTGATGGCAAAGTATATTTTTTGTGTAAATTTAGCTCACTAAAGTTACTAGACTTCTTCCCTCATAAATAGATTTCCTCTTTTGTGCAAAAAACAAGATCATATTATAGAAAAAAAAATATTAAGTTAAATCAACAACATTTTTCTAAGAAGTATCGACACCGAAAATATTTCATAGATCATTGTCCTCTTTAAAACTCTATGCATAGGTGATAATGAGGAACTATGCCTCAAGAGAACTGTGGACACAATGGGCTCAAGACTGAACTACTAAAAAAGGCTTGAGCTTGAAAGCAGAAACTCAGATGGCCCGCCATTACCGACTGAGGGAGGGCCGCCGGAGAGAAAAGGCACGTGCTATGCACGTGACATCGTCCACCGAGAACAAGCCCCTTGATTTAAGGGCGCCAGGGTTCTGGGTTCTATTGAACTCCGTTGGTCTCTTTCTGTACCTCTTCTCCTGCCTCCCCGCATAGCGCAGACAGAACCCTCTGGAGTCGGAGGAGAAACGGGGCCAGTAGGGTGGAGGCCGTTGGAGCCGGGGGTCATCTCTTTTCTCGGAAGAGGATAGGGTAGAGGGGGCATTTGAAGCTTTCTTTCTGCCTGCGTCTCCTTTCACTCGGCAACCATGCACGCGCCTGTTCTCGTCCTGAGTGAGCCTCCCTGTTCCTTGTACCTTCTCCAGAATGTTTTCGTACCCTCCACCCCCAGGATCTCTGGTTTTATGTATATTGTGCCACTTTTCCTCATGTCACGTGCAAAACCTTTGTCGTGTTGATCCTGGAAAGCCCAGAATGATGTTGTAATCACCTAAAGCGGCATTTTCGGTTTGTAATGGAGTGCATGGAGAGGGTGTCGAAGTAACAGATCATTCCTGGATTTGCTCTCTTCAAAGCCAGAGTTTTTATTTTTTTAAATAGACGGGGGATTCGCTCCAGTATTTTTGATCTTTTTCACATAGAGTTTCCTTCTCTGGTTATTTGGCATCAATGAAGCATTTTTTTTCTATTATATGGTGTTAGCAGCCGATTTCTTTAGGATGGGCTTTGTTTTGCTCTGAATCATTCTGCCCCTTGTCTGCTTCTTTTGTTATCTGCTTTTCGTTGAATGTGTTAATTGCTATTAGATTATAACATTTGTTTGGCTGTCTCTATTTTTTAACGAAATGTGCAGAGGACTCTTTGAAACGAGAATCTGGGGCTAAGGTGCACCGCGCCAATATCCAAGCCTCAAAGGTGAGATGCTTTTCTCCCTCTCCTCATCTCCTCAATATGATTGAGAGAAGAAATGGGCTTGGAGTCCTTTTTCCTCCGGTTTATTATTGATTTTACGATTGTGTTTAGTTACAGTGTCACAAATGAATTTTTTTCTGACGAACTGCAAGATAGGATTGTCAATTTTTTTTTAATGTTTTATTTGATGTTATTCAATTAAAGATCAAATTGCTCTGAGTTTTCACTATACATGACACGATTGATCAGACATGTTTTGCTTGGTAAGCCTGAATCTCTTTTTCTACATATGCTGAACACTTGTGGTCGTTTTATGATCTTATTTGAGGATGGTGATCGTGATGATCTGTAAGAGAATTAGTCAGTTGAGACGGTGATCACGATTATTTGTGGGAAAGTTGGGTATGATGTTTTGCACCAAGGAACACCAGTCCTCTTGAATGTTGGGGGTTTAGCATAGTGCTCACCATTTTTGCGTAGATGTTGTAAATATTGTCCTAAACTGCTTCGGAAGCATGGTGAAACAACATTACAAATTGTCCTTTCTCTGGACTTCAGTATTTACTCGAATCATTCTATTTTGGTGCTAAGTTACGGGCAGCGTGTAGAAAATGATAACAACTATCATATCCATCCCTGTCAGTAACTTAAAACCTGGACTAAGATCAAACAATACTTTGGAAGAAGAGGATAAATGACCTTTCACTAAGCAGTCCAATGCAATTTAATTCGGTTTCATTTGGTCTTTAACTCGTATAGTGGTAATGATGGTAATGATTTTTTCATGTATGGTTATATAGGGCTAGGGAGGTTGGGTTTCTCATTATTGCACCGAGCAAAAAAAATATTTTGCTGTATGGTTATGTGCAGTGACACATATATGTACATATGCACGCATATAGGTTGATATTCATAGATAGGGATAGAGCAAGGGAGGTTGGGGTTCTCATTATTGCACCGAACAATTTTTTTTTTAAATGTATGGTTATGTACAGTATTCTTTTTTTTTGGGTGCCTGTGTCTTGAGGCTGTTGTACACCGGCGTATGTACTTAAATTTGCACTCATATATATATATATGTATTTAGCAATACGTATGCATCTGTACCTTTATGGATATATGCGCATAGAATTGTGCATCCCGTTGAAATGTGTAGCTAGTTAGGAAGATGGAGTCACTTCCCATTCTTCGTTGCTATATCACAGATCTAATGCTCGTTTCAGACATGAGATTTTTGCCTGTTTATGTTGGATTTTAGTTTGCCGTTCTCTTTATCATCTTACATGCCTATTTCTTCTTACAGCCTTTGAGCATGAACATCATTGCTGGTTGTCACAACCGCTATTTGAATTATGTAATCCTAAAACATTGTGTAGCATGTTTTCTATCAGTGTATATGATTTTTGACTCTGTACTCTGTTGCCTCTTGCAGGCAGTGGCTGACATAATACGTACTACGCTGGGTCCTCGGTCTATGCTGAAGATGCTGCTTGATGCTGCTGGAGGTACTGCCACCTCTTGTCCCATTCTGTGTGAAAAGAAAAGAATTCTTGGGCTAGAGATGCATATTTCCTCTTGTTTTAATGAACATGATCTTATTGGATTCGTTGGCCAAAGTTTGTTTCAACCATTTGCCTTGGTGAAAAATATAAATGATCATTAGGTTGACCTGTCGAAAAGGGAATGAAGATATGGCTTACGCAGGTTCGAACCATGACTTCAGATCCCTTTGGGGATTGTGTAGGGGGGGTAAATACTGAGTGTTTTTTCTTTCCTTTCATGGAAGCATAAGATGTGGGAGATGGATGGCGCTCAGGTGTTGTAGGGATCTATGGTAGAAGCTTCGATGTTAAGGAGTCTTATTATTGCAGTTGCATACTGATCAGGCTTATGGAGGACTATTGATCCCTTTGTTGAGACAAACTGGATTAGGCTTTCATTTGTTGACTTCTCCATTTGTGTGATATTATGACTGCTATTAAATGAAATGGATAAAACGGTAGTGATAGAAATAAGGAAGGGAATGGTTGACGGTTGTAGCTTGGTGTGAAAGGTAGAGGCGGGGTCAAAAGTGTCAGTTAAATGTCAACTCTGGCATCACAGTGGGAGTACACAGAAAAAGAGTCCATCGTACACCTAAAGAAGAGAATCGTGTGTCTTGGTTTTATTCATATGATTCATACTAATTCAATACATTCCAAGTTGACTCAGTTATCAAGGATTGGATTGATAGCCTTGTTTGATCAGGCCAACTTTCATTCACACCACAAAGTACTGGAAGAAAAGGAGAGATTAAAAATGTTTGAAGGTGTTGTAACTTAATGTACAAAAACACGGAAAGACACTGCCCAAGGAGATGTAGATGGCATTAAACTACTTTGGCTTCAGACCATACTTTGAAGAAAGAACCATATGCAGTAGGGCTTTGTGTCTTCCGTTATCTGTTATGAACTGGTTCATAGTTGCTTTAAAATTTCGATTTCCTAGATTGATACTTGTCAAATTTTTGGTTTAAAAGACCCGTCATCTGCCTTCGTCAGTACTGGAACATGTTAATTGGAACATTTCCCCTAGCGAGCTAACAAAATTACTTTGAAAGTTCAAAGGTAGTTGTATACTCGTACTACATTAATTTATTTTGATTGTCATTTTATGCTTGTGCAAACCATTATCATTTATCTTGGATTTTTATTTTTCTTCATAATGGGGGGTAATCATCTGCCTGTTTTTAAAATATAAGACGTTTTTTCTAAAGTGGACAACACCACAAATGCATTGAACACAAAGAGAGAGGAACATGAAATCACATGATTAGTGATATCTGAAAGTAGCATTATTTACGCAAACATCACTGGTCTAAAGTTGATTTGTTGCGTTTTGCATATTTATCTGAGTTCTGATAATAGATATTGATGCACATTTTGTTGTGGTTGATAGGTATTGTTGTTACTAATGATGGAAATGCCATTTTACGTGAGCTAGATCTGGCCCATCCTGCTGCTAAGGTAGGAATTTTGTGTTCTATGTTTTCTTACTCTTTGCATCACGCAGAGACCTTGATTTACGTTGATGTGGCCTTAATCGTAATGTTGGACTCCCTTCCCATGCCAAAAATGTTAAAAAATGAGTTTCAAGGAAACATTGAGGACTTTATATCCATACTCCTGAAATTTTTCGCCTTACATGAGAATTGAATTATTTATATTATGCCACCCCAAGTGTTGAGGTAAATTATGAGATGCTCCACCTGATTGAATAAAGTGTTATAGCATAGCACAGAAATTATCTGTTTATCTCTTGGTGAAGCGTTGTTTGCAAGGAGTTTCCACTGTCATGAAATACGACTTCATGTTTGCTAAGATAGTACAACATATGGTCTTAAGCTTGTGCATTCCTTATCTATGTAGGATGAAAATATACACAGGTGCTGTAGAATAACGTCAGTTCACTCAGTTTTTGGTGCAGACTTGAGCATATCTGACATTTTCATTTAAGTTGGTTTTGGGTTTGTTTTTGATAGTCTATGATCGAACTAAGTCGCACCCAGGATGAAGAAGTTGGGGATGGAACAACTTCTGTCATTATTCTTGGTATGTTGGCTTCTCTCTCTCTCTCTCTCTCTCTCTCTCACACACACACACACACACGCAGACAGCGCCCCCCCCCCGGTAAGAAGCTGCTGGGTCTATTCTTTACGAGAACAAAGGAATGTAGAGCAGGAATGCTAACTTTCTTTTTGAGTGAATAATGACATCTCATAATTAAGAATACCTTTTTAATTTGTGACCCAATTGAGTGCTCTTTTGTTCAAATTTTATTGCAGCTGGTGAGTTGCTACATGTTGCAGAAGCTTTTATTGACAAGCACTATCATCCTACTGTTATTTGCCGAGGTAAAACCTGGTTGTATCTTGTTCGTTGTTCGTCTTAAGTTCCATATCATTTTTGGGTTTTGATCGTGCTTGTTGTACACCTGATCTATATCTTCAGCGTACACTAAGGCTCTCGAAGACTCTATTGCGGTGCTTGACAAAATTGCCATTCCAATTGACGTGAATAATCGTAAGCACACACTGTTTTCTATTCCCTTGATACCCTCTCTATACTTTTTGAAAATTGATGCTACTATCTCCTCCAGTGTGCACATGAATTCATTGATGCAGAGGCAATTCTCATGCTTCTCCACATTATTATTCTATTTTCAACTTATCCTTATTGGGATGAGATATTCACTGCGTTACTAGTTAATGGATTTCTTACTTGTTTACTTTCTGTATTGATGAATTTTATCGTTTCAGGTGCCTCAATGCTTGGTCTGGTCAAAAGTTGTATTGGTACAAAGTTTACCAGTCAGTTTGGTAACTTAATTGCTGTAAGTTCTCTATTGCAATCATCTATGGGCACCGAGTTTCGTTTCTTCCCTTTGTTGGGATCTTTATTCGCAACAATTTGTCTTATCAATAGTGCTGCTTAGGGAACATCTGCTTCGTGCTTTTTTAATTAGATTTTCTACGGGCCTGTTTTTTCTTAGAGAATATGTGAACCAAATGCAACATAATGGAGTAATTCAGAACAGTTGGTTGGAACCGAATGTCAGGCATTTTGATCTGTTTGAAAGTTTAATGTTATTTTTTTACAGGTTTTCATTTTTTTTTATTTTTTTAATCGTTAAGTATGAGATGCCTCAAGGTTTGAGCCTAAAAACAATCACATTTCTTTCCCATGTGTGTATGAAAAAAATGTGCTATAATCCGTGGAATAAGCATGACTCAGACTTAATTTCTGTGGTTTTTTTTTATTGCAATATCTTTACATGAATTTCTCCTTATCTGTTGTTTTTAATTTTGATTTCAATAACGACCAGACAAAGATTTGATTTTTTGTAGGATCTTGCAATTGATGCTACTACTACAGTGGGAGTGGATCTTGGTCAAGGTTTGAGAGAGGTGGATATTAAGAAGTACATCAAAGTTGAGAAGATTCCTGGAGGCCAATTGGAGGACTCAAGGGTTCTAAGGGGAGTTATGTTCAACAAGGACGTGGTTGCCCCTGGGAAAATGAGGAGAAGGATACTGAACCCCCGCATCATCCTTCTTGATTGCCCTCTCGAGTACAAAAAGGGTGAAAACCAAACGAATGCAGAGTTGGTCAGAGAGGAAGATTGGTAAGCACAGAGGAAACTGGCAAAATAATTTTCCTTTTAGATTATAGATTTATGGTACTGCCATCCTTTTTTCTAGGGTTAATGAACTGCCTATTGCTCCATAAACGGGTAACTGCCTTACAAGCTGTACTGTTTTTTTTTTTTTTTTACATTCAAAATGAAAATAGTTGCAGTCATAAGAGTAGTCTGATAATCCTTATGGAACTCTAAGAATTAGACATATGATGTCTTTTTGTACTTTATATGCTGTAGATGGGTATATGGTTAGGGTTTCCTTTGAGCAGCTGACATGAGTAGTTATAGATCCTCTTATATTGAAGATGAATATATTCCACTCAACTTTTCCAATCTGTGGCTTTTTATCACATAAATCCTAACATTAAAAAGGCATTAGAGTTGGCAATCATACACACATAGATGATAGTAGGCCAATGCTGGGGATCTTCTTTAGCTTGAAGAAAAGCATGTCCTTTCTATCAGTCTAATATTGAACAGATATTATGAAGATACATTCTTATGAAGAAATTGTTGCCAGGGCGATCTTGCTGAAGATGGAGGAAGAATATATTGAAAACATCTGCGTGCAGATACTGAAGTTCAAGCCCGACTTGGTTATTACAGAAAAGGGACTGAGTGATCTTGCCTGCCATTATCTGAGCAAGGCTGGAGTCAGTGCTATCAGGCGTCTGAGGAAGACTGACAACAATAGGATCGCAAGGGCTTGTGGGGCTGTTGTTGTTAATAGGCCTGATGAACTGCAAGAATCTGATGTTGGAACTGGGGCAGGTCTTTTCGAGGTCAAGAAGATCGGAGATGAGTTCTTTACATTTATTGTTGACTGCAAGGATCCAAAGGCATGCAGTGTTCTCCTGAGAGGTGCAAGTAAGGACCTTCTTAATGAAGTCGAAAGGAATCTGCAGGTACACGCTTCTTCTTTCGTGTGCATGATATATATACTAGGCGATCTTCTTTCTCTGAAGCCGATACGCTTTGTCAACAGGATGCCATGTCTGTAGCGAGGAACATCTTGAAGAACCCTAAGCTACTTCCAGGGGGTGGTGCCACAGAATTGACTGTATCAGCATCGCTAAAGCAGAAGAGTTCTTCAATAGAAGGTGTTGAAAAGGTGCAATCTTCCCCTTTTCTTCTTGGGTTTTGTTTTTTTTCCTTTCGATTGAGTGAAAAACATATTTTAAATTTAAATAAGGATTTTTTTTATCATATTATCCTCTGGTTTCATCCAATGTGATTAATTTTTCTTGCTTTGTAATGAATTTAGTGGCCGTATGAAGCTGCTGCTGTGGCTTTTGAGGCTATCCCACGGACATTGGCACAAAATTGTGGAGTGAATGTGATTCGGACGATGACTGCTCTCCAAGGGAAGGTAAAAAAAAAAAAAGGTCAACAGATTTTCTTCAACATTTGAGTTTCAAAGTTGGGATTTTCGATAATCATCATCAATGATGCGAAGACCCATCAGCATGAGGGAACCTGGTTGACCGTGCCTCAACATTAAGATCTTGATTTGCCCATTTGGAGGAAAAGTCAAACTTATGTGGCCTTCTGTGATGCCTTCCGCTCCCTAGGATCCATCAATATATTTATACATGATTTGAACCCTTTGTTGCAGCATGCGAGTGAGGAGAACGCATGGGTCGGCATCGACGGGAACACTGGCGCGATTGTCGACATGAGAGAGCAGCAGGTACGCGTGCCCATCTGGCCCTCCCAGCTCTCAGACTTGCTTCCTTCCTTTCCCCTCCCTCTGTGGCTGGGCCCGGAGTGGATGTTCTAACCATTCTTTTCCTTCATCCTCCCCAAACTACCCCCCGAAGATCTGGGACTCGTTCAATGTCAAGGCGCAGACTTTCAAGACCGCCATCGAGGCTGCCTGCATGATCCTGCGGATTGACGACATCGTCAGTGGGATCAAGAAGAAGCAAGCTCCTGGCGCTGGCCCGGCCCCATCAAAGCCGAAGATCGAAGAAGAAGGCGATGCAGACGGCGAGCAGATACTTCCCGACTAGATCATCTTCCCTGTTTCTGCGTGGAAACAGGGGGGGATCTATTTGGCCGTAGAAGTGTCTACCTGGATATCGGTTTTGTTCCCTTTTTTGGCTCTCCTGTGCACTCTGGTTTTCTTCACTGCGAATCCATGGTGACCTTTCCTTGCTGGTTTTTTTGTTTTCCCTTTGTAGAATTAGACTGGTGTTGGTGTTACTAATCTCTCTTAGTGAGTTTATGGGGGGGGTCTTATGGCTCTCACCCGTCATGTGCTACATACAGTGTGATTAATTGACTGGGTTCAGATTAATTAGACTGCCCCATTCAATGGATAATGATGTCTAGAGACTAGGATAGATTAATGATGGGTAATCGCACCCTTAAAGCTTTGAAGACGAGAATTAACATGATGGGTTTGAATCCTTGAGACGATACTAATGACAACCCCCAACTTATATTGTAACCATGCTCTGAAGAAAGAAAGGTTCTAGTCATTGATAAGAACAGCAAGATCTCTAAGGGGGAAGAAAACAACTGGTTGATGCCCAACCTCACCAGTTCTTCAGGGAAACGCCAGGTTGGCGAGTCTTAGCCTCTTCTCAAATGGCAGGTGATGTTTAAGCGAGAGGCAGGTCTCCCGCATTGGATGGCCCAGCAGGAGTGAGCGGCTGTTTTCGCTTCTGTCGATGTCGTCCTGTCCAGCACGCGCGTTTCCAGCGTGCAATCGTGTGGCCCAGTTGCAGATTCGCTTGGTTGATTCCCACAGCGTATCTACCAGTTTTTCTGCAATGAAGCTCCAGCTGCTGCTCGAGAGGAGAGAAGGGAGAGTCACTGGTAGGTCGCTCAAGACGGCTTCTGGGCTGAGAATCAGAAGCGGCATGTAATCACAGCATCGACCTGACAGGATCCCTACAAACTGCAGAGCCTGCAAAACAGGGAGAAAAGGAGAAAGGAGAGGAGCACTGTGCTCAGAGGAGAAGAGAAATAAGAAAAAAGCAAAGGGTTATATGGGTTGTTCTGGATTTATATTTATTTCTTTCCTGAAAGAAAATAAGACTGAGGATATGATGCTCCTCATGAGCACCATTTGATAAGAGGCTGAGGTTATTACATCTGTTGTTCACATAGTTCACATTTAATAGAAAGATTACTACATGTGTTCACATAGTTTTCAAAACTTTCGCGCATAAGATCTTGAGATGGTCATGTTATTGAGCTGGACAGCAGTATGAACTGGGTAAAGTACTAACCGTGGTTGGATGTCGTGAAATGCAGCTGATTTCTATAGCATCCAGGAGCCATTGTCCCTTTATAGAGCTGTCGGCGCCATATAATGCTCCGACAACTTCCAAGAGGACGATCCAAATACCTGCAGACCAGAGATTAAACAATATAAATCGAAAAAGTAATGGTACTATGCCATTTTTCATGAACAATTTTAATGCATCATCATATCCTAATCTCGTAGAACTTTGCAGGAAGCTGAGAGAGACACCTTCGGATTCGGAACTCAATATAAAAGTCTTCAGCTTTCCTAGCTCAGATGCTGGGAGGCAACCCTTCTTTACAAGCCTAGCTGTAATTATCACCTTTTTCACCGCTTCAGCATCATGGTTTCCTTCACCAATGGCATTGATCTTACGCACCTGTAGGTGGGTAGAAGCATTAGTGAAGAAAATTCCCCGATTTGGAAAATATTTCTAAGCTCTGGATCACGTGAGCTTCCATAATGGGAAAGGGAGATGGAAACAAGAGAAATCTGAAGAAAAAGCTGTAGGCTGCCTGTGCCACTCGCAAAATATGCGATTCATAGTTTACCTGAAGCACATTCATCAGCCAGTCTTGTGGAGCCACAGATAGGCAACTAACAGCCTCGGTTAACTCTTGGGAATGAACCCGCCCCTCTACTGAACCATGATCGGAGATGGAGACAGGCAGCAAACTGAATAGTAACTCGATGCATTTCTCTACTTGTAAGGCACCGGCTGACTTATCAGAAGCTTTGACAAGGCATTGATGAAGACCTTTCCAGAATGAGATCCGTAGCAAGGATTTCTCATAGGCGCTATAAAGCAAATAAGTGGCTGAAGAGCTCAACCACTCGACCAAGTCGCCATACAATTTCTCGAACCTTGAAGCGGAGAAGACCCCCATAATTTCTGATAGCTGAGATAGAAGCAAGCATTGGAGATTCAGTTCTAGTGTGCTGAAGCGAGACCCAATGGCGAGCTCATCGACAAAGAGCATGAGAGAGCTGTCACTACTTGCATGGGCTAATGACAAGCGTATGCATTCTTCCCGTATTGTATTGGGCTCCTGGGCGGTCATCTTTGACTTAGCAGATGATTGGGCCCCATATCTCATGCAACGCTTAATAATAGCTCCCCAATCAGCTGAACCTGGCAATCTGGGTGCCTGTGAAAGACACCTTAAGACGCTTGCAACTGTTTTTACATTTGGGAAATCATTCATCTGTTTCAAGAAGAAAAAAAAAGATTGATTAGAAACTAATAATATATATCTTTAATAAAATCAATAGCATCATATAAGTCCAGGATTATCAGATGAAATTATAAACTCCGAACCACCTCAGTATCCATTCAGATTAGATTCATGTTACTTTCTTGTTATTAACCCCTACAAGCTGACTAACAATTTAAAGCCTTTTTTTTTTCTGGTTTGAAAAAAAATCCATATCGTTTAAATTTGAACAAGAGCATAACCGAGCATCGGAAAATAGCTGGGCATCAAGGTGAACAGTGGATATGGGTGTGTGAGTGGGTCCTCATATAGTAACATTGATCTGGAGAGAACTGGTAATGTTTAATCCATGACCCCACAAGGAATAACTCTACAAAAGAAAAGGAATGTGAAGTACATCGAGCCTCTCGTTGTGACTCTGTTCTCTGGGAATAAGTGGCCATTTTGACATGAGGAGCCCACATCTCACTTGTGCCAAAGATTATTCAATGAAAACCGCAAGCTTATGCTGATTATTTTACGGAAGAAAAATGAATAAGAGACTGATTATACAAATAAAAAAGACCACTAGAATATAATTAAGCATCATATAATGTTTAACTGAGATTCTTCTGGGAAAGATAAATGAACCTCTGTTCTATTTAACCAAGAGTAGAGACCCCAAACCAAAGTATTCTCTGAAACACTTCTTGATTCTTGAACACTTTGAGAGTCCAGTGACAACCACCAGTGCCTAAGAAATGAAACAGACCATGCGGCATAACTGCGTATTTGCTTATCCGTGGATTCTTTCGCTATTACAAACATTTCTTGAATCAGTGATGTAGACAAGGGCTCAAGAGCAGGATTGGCAGATATAGGTCCCCTAATATATAACGAATCCTGTTATGATAGACAAAGACAAAGGTTAGAAAGAGAAAAAAAATTCCCAACAGGAACAAAAAAAACATTCCCAACCTTTGAAACATCATCAATTCCCAAAGAAGGCCGGAGAAATGTTTCAGTCAGAGTCACAGCTCCCGCACCAAAAGCATTAACGACCCCAAGCATCCCTCCCAGCTGGACAATGGGAGGGTATGACTGAGTATATAAACTTCTCATGTTTTCCAGCAGACATCTTATGTCATCAAACTTCAGAGAATGCACCCCTTCATTCAAGATGTATGAGAGGAGGGATCCAGCCCCAATTGAGGATGCCATCAATAGATTTCGATGTGCTGCCCCAGAATCCTCTGTAGCTGTAAGTGTAGGGATTAAAGATCTATAAACCTCGAGAAGACCAGGAAGGTCTATATCTGTCATCTCAGCTCTTTCACAGAAGTGAACTACAGTCGGAAGTACAAGACATGAGCCTATAGATAATGGGATCTCAAACACTTCGTCCTGAGAACCTTGAGAAGAAAAATCGCAATATGTGATCCATGAGAGAAGGATATTTTTTATGCTTTTGATGCCATCAAAGGCACCAAGCCTATATAAGGCAACAACAGTATTCCCCAGCCCAAGGACGAGGCCTGTAGCACCCCAAGAGTCGCTCACGTCCTCATAGCTATAACTCAGAAGGTCGGTTAAGACATCTGCCTGTGCTTCATCCTCATCCAGCGGAAAGCTTCTACGTAGATGCATCATTGAATCAGATGAAGATGGACACATCTGCCTTATCGTTAAAGATAAGGAGTGGATGATTTTTCCAAGCAATTTTGCTTCAGTTACCCTTCCTTCTGAATCATCATTGACTTGGGTAAAGAGGTTCTGACAAGTGAAACCCAGCCCTGCACCGCATGCTCCTTTGACAAGACAGCTTCTGCTATTTTGACTGACCTGAAGGTAGCAAAACAAGCACAGTAGTAGTCAAACTCTTTTTTTCATAACACAGACGTTATATATGGAAATGATCGAAGTCACACATTATTCATGAGCGAATTGAAACATTTTTTAAAACAAATTGATAAAGAAATCCAAATTCTCATAATAGCAACATAAATGTTTAAACAAGTCACACGAATGCCAACCACAACATCTCTGATGTCTGACTTCAGAAAACTAAAGGAACAAAAGCAAACGAAGTTAAATACTCACACAGGAAGTATTTATTCATGAAGATTCTGATCAGGAGATAAGATGACTCCAACCTCATCATCTGTGTTGCAAAGATGATGAGTGCTACATCAAAGGTTTTCGTAACTCCAATCTGATTTTCAGAACTAGATCAAAAATTTAGTGCTAGGAAAAGAGAATAAGGCAAGACTCAATTTGGAGTAATAATAGTCATTACTGGCCAATTGAATTAGATCAATCTGGAGTCGGTGATTCCGTGAATTCACTAGGTGCTGCCTTGACAATTATGTGGAATGAGTTACTACCCGCAAATGATAGTTAAAACATATAGCTACGGATAAGGGAGCTCCGATATCTTCCTAATCCTCCACAGTAATAAACCAGGATTACATTCACATCCCTGAAAATCGAGCCTTTCATGGAAGCGATAACTTTATTGACGTGATTTGCTGATCACGTTCATGGAATTTATACATTGTTCATTCATCCATCTAGACAAAATTGGTTGCCGTTCGACCTAGTTAAAGGGTTTTTACACTTGAGAAATCTCCAAGTTATTCTTCACCATAAACTTTTCTTCTCCAGAAAAAATTGCCTTCACAGCAGAAAAAATTACCTTCACACACATTCCATGATTGTGTGTGACTGTGAAATTCTTTTGATTGCAGAAGACTTTGGCAGCAATCCAATTTTAAGAGCTAGAGACAAAATCAAGTGAGATAAAGCTGAATAAGACTGAGTCCGCTCAAAAAGCGACCTGGAAGTACTGGAAGCCACTTTCCGAGCCCAGTTATTTGGGAGGAATCGAATGTTTTTAAATGATCATTTGTTTTTGTGAGAGGATGATATATCCGTCCTTCACCTGAGTTTCATTCTTATCACATTCCTTTTTCATAAGAAAATAAAGGATTTCTTTTTCTATACTGAATTATGACATGAACAGTAAACAAGCAAGAATGTATACGATATGCATCCACAAAATAAATCACATGTACTCGTACCTCAAGGAGTCCATGGATGATATCAACTTTTCGTGACTTATCTGTTATATGCAGAGAATTTGACACCAGTCCCAAAGATATTGCAGCAGACCATTGTTGGTGTTCATGCTCATACTGAAACAACCATTTCAAAAGAAAACTTGATGCATCTGATAGAACCGTATATTCTGATGGCGGCAAAACCTGACAGAGATCAACACAGGAAAAAAAAAAAGAGTACACGAAGTAAGAAAGACATCCACTTTGCTCCCGAAAAGAGTAAAAGTAGAGATTCTCATGTAGGTTGAACAGAATGCCAGTATTCATTATAAAATTCTCTTCAACTTTTTTTCTTCAGTATCAATAGAGGGACTGCAGAAAATATATGTTTGCATTTTTTATTCTGCTAAGTTTTTGCTTTTGACTTGGTACAATGCTAACTCTCTGCACGCAAAATTAGCTTGTAGAAGGAACAGGGTAAACTCTTGTCATCTTCTGTGGCAGTAGCACTCGTTCGATAATTTAACTATACTTGATCTAACACAGTATGTTGACATAGCATACCAAAGTAGTACAAATTGTCACCGTCCGTTCATGTCAGTGTTTCCAATACCTACAGGGAATGTTGCCACTCCTTTCTCCAAGATCAAGAAAACTGAACCAAATGAATGGTCCAGGTATCCTTCCTTTCCATGAGGTAGCATTGTACGAATGCCAATATACTTTCTTGAGCCGTCATACATTATGACATATTTTAACCATTCTATTAAAATGTCCCGGCTGAATCTACCAAAAAAGACCATATGCTAGCAATTATGTTCTCTAGTTTTCCCTTGCATTAATACTAGTAACGACCCATAAGTCTAAATGAGATGTCATCAGACTGTTTTCCTGTAAATCTAGTTTTTGACAAGAATGAATGTAGGACAACAGGAATTTCTGTGATCCACCAATGCTACAATCCCAATGGAAAGTTCATCTACTTGGAACTGAATGAGGCTCCATTACCTCTAGGACAATCTTCATCAATCCCCACAAACACCCTCCATGGCATTTTAAAATACTCCCAGGGGCTCACAATTCCAGGGAGGAGGGCTCCCTGTGTTCTTACAGTGAGGGAAAATATACGTTCTCAGTGGAATAAATAAAACTGAGCCTCTACCAGAGATGTGGAATTCAATTATTACTGTTGTAATAAATCCTTCCAGAAAATTTTCTGGAATCAACTATGCAAGAAACAAAACTTAAATCAAGATAGTCCTCAGAACTTAATCAAGTGCACACTTGGGATTCATCTTTCATATCGCCTTTGTCTTTAAAATCACATTTGAGAAAAACATCCGAAACATTACAGCGGTGTTTGATCTAAGGTTATTTGACTAGCATTTGCCATTCTTCAAGACGAAATCATTTGAAAACATGAAATTATTTTAGTGACGGTTCCCTACTTGCTTTTTATTGACGTTTAATTTAAAGAGCTTGTCACACAGTGCACCAGTCTTTGAAATCAATTTGATATCAAAAACCATGGCATGTAAAAAATGGGATAAAGCTCTCATCTTTGAAGGGGAAAAATTTAACAAGGAAAATTAAGAGACAGAACTGCATAAAAAATGCTATTTCCCATCTCGCATTCTAGACATATAGTATCTAATGCCACAAGAAACGAAAAGTATTTGTTGAATTGTATGCGTACATATGGCTACGGATTGCAGAGATTAGTTAAAAGTATCAAGATAGATGCAATGCATTGCATATAAGCTTACCACACATAAAGCACCAATGGCAAGTGCAATATTTTCCGCAACACGAGGAATAGATTTTTCAGCTAACCTCAGCAAGATCTAGATATCAAACATTGTAAGTTAGAACAAACTTAAAAATAAAGATATTTAAGAAACATATGCACTTGACAGTCTTCCAGAAAATCAGACTAATCTGCAACAATCACCCAGCGATGAATACCTGCAAGAAGCTATGAACAACATAGTTATGAACAAAGCTGAAGTACATTAAAAAATCACCTTCAGAACCATGGAGGCTGACTTAGAGCTTTCATCCGATGCATTCGGTGATGCCCCCGTAACTGTAACTGCGCTTAACCAACAATTTATAAAGGATTTCCATGATTGGAATGCAAGCAATGCTACACAGATATTTCTTGCTAGTTGTAAGGATTCAGCAACTTCCAATAGCATAGCTTCATATTTCCCATGAAGTTTAGAAATATCCTACAGAAAAAGGTGGCAGTTGTCCAAAAATTTTAAACTAAAAATGACTTCTAAAATCCCAAATCCCAGGGAACAAATATAATGTCAAATAAGGGCAATCATAGTGCCAAAAAATCATACCTTTGACATAAGTGGACCTTGCAGGTCTTTTGAGGTGAAAGAAACAGACAGTAGAGCCGCACCAGGTAGTTCTCCAACACTAATTTTTTGTTTCCCACCTGGACAGAAGCAGCAAATGAAAGAATTCCATAGAGAAATGTTATGGCAGAAAATGATCAAGGGAAAGGCAATCTGAAAAAGAATAATAAACATTAAGCCAAATTAGGATAGAATAAAGCATTGGCAATGTAGAACTTTAAACAATCTTAAACAACCAGAATGAGTTCCACGGGGGTAATAAAAGTTTTCAAATCAAGATGCAAAATAAGAGACTCTTTCAAAAGGTACATACTCCAAAGCTACAAATGGCAGCCTATTTCTTTTAGTATGGAAGTTCACATGCTTTTTTTTCTATTTGACAAATTTGCTGTCGATAATTAATTTACTACAATTTCTTTATAAATATACCGGGCACATAGCTGAAGTTTTCTATATGCCTAATGTCATAACTGTAAAGGTTCAAGGTGTAATCAGACTGTTAACACAACATGCCGATGGAATCCCCCAGGATACTGCAGTAAATGGTTATAGCATATCAGGTACACGAATAGAACGTAGCCGGTAAACATAGGTTTTGGTTTTGTTCGGTATCCTATACTGCAATGCTTTAAACACTCTGGGAGAAAAGATAATGGAGTGTTAAGATTTCAGAGTTCAGCTGATATCATTAATTACTGTTTGACATACCTAAATAAGACAGCCAATGACTGCCATTTATAGGCCTTCTTTACAACAGAGAAACCCATGTATATCAGAATCTTCAATCTGATTGGATTTTGGGCATCCCAGCATAAAAAGAGTAACCTACCCCTGGCCTTAATGCAAGCAGTGACCAGGGTGAAGACGAATCTTAAGATTTGGTCACTATTACTGAGTGATTTTACAGCATAAGTGACAGGAGATATTCTTGGCTGACTTGCTGCTTCATTTGAAGCATCCACTAAAGTCACCGAACCTCCGGCAGGATATCATGGTTGAAAATAAGAAAACACCATTCATCGACTCCACGTAAGTGGCTGACAGAACGTGTGGTTTTATAATATGAAAGAAAATCAACATTCATATGGGAAGGAGGTGGGGCTTACAATATTTGCCAGGTTAATTAGGAATCTACTCCACATCCTAAAGTAATTATGTACAACTTGGATATAACTCATAACAGATTCTGTGGTTCCAACCTCGGCGTCAGAGTGCTACTTTTTTGCTACGTCTTGGAGGGTTTTCTAGTTGGAGACACACAAATTAGTCAAAGAACGTACTTGAAGACACATCATTCTTTCCCTGGACATTTGCCCTGGCAAACATTAGACAGTCGTACAACCATATAGGCAAACACAAGAATAAAACGGGGAAAAAGAAATATGTCCCGCTCACCACCTTCAGGAAGGGAAGAGGACTAAAGGCCTGTGTGATGAGGTGAGAAAACCTGTAAACTGGATGCCGTCACATGTAAGCCATTGGTTGGACCGATTGTCCAAGAATTGTTTCAAGGGCTATCAACGTCCTACGTCTGTGCAAGGACGCGAGAATATTTTCCCAAATTTCGAAGCCTTAAGATGCTTCAGTGCTTACAAAAGCTGTTTGGACATGTCGGTTATCGGATGAAATATTAAAATGATGCGAGGGTATATGAGAAGGTTATTGAAGTGGATAGAGGAATGTTAGCGCAGGGGATGCATAGAAATTTTTGAACGTTTAGCGGGATCTGTGCTTTAAATTGACAAACGTGATTCTAAACTAATTGCATCGTTTGCGCACATTTAGTCTAATCTGCATGCCTCTAGAAGAGTCTCCTAAAATGTGAAACGTAAACCCTGAACTAAAGCCCTTAGCTAGTGACTGCTTGTCAGAACATCCACCGGACATCCAAAGGTGTTTGAACATCTTGGGATGCAAACATTGAAAGAACTCGAAACTGGAAGAGATGCACGTTAAACTCCATAGAAATGTTATTCATTTACACGTGATGAAGATAGAGAGGGACCCAAGAGGTTCTTCAATATTCTTAGGACTATCCTAAACCTACAATGAGCTAAAGAGGGATGCTGAACAAGATGGTCCATAGCCTCTGAGACGTCTGCACATGCAGATGTATTAATTAATATGAGCAGCTAAGTGATGTTAATAATATGTGCATAAACATACAGATTTTTACTTCAATGTTTGCAAAAAACCATTTACATGGTGTTCTGCGTTTCTTCACAAAAAATTCCCAATCGCCTGTAATATCAACATAGAGGTACTTTCTCTTGAATGTTGACAATATCATACTAAAAGCAAAGGGATAAATAAGTGTATTCCCATCGTGACATGTAACATCATAAAACAAACATGGACCCAACTAGAATCCATAACTTCAGTTGTATAGGCCCTATGATTTCCTGCTACACTGCATAAATAATTATAATGAAGTTTCGTATAAAAATGATGACAATTTCCTCGAAATTTCTTACAATGTTTTCCAAGAATTAACAAGGACAACCCTGGTATATGCATGATCTGTCAGGAGTTAGTTGATAGGGCATCTCAATTTGTAATCTTGGAGAGGGCCCTGCGATCCCTCATAGAGAGCCTATGAGTGCAAGTTGAATGAATCGTTCAACATAAAGATACAATTTTAGATCTAAAATGGCCAATAATCAGATAAGAGTCTCCAATGACTTTTTCAGTGATTTTTATTTGATGCCATTTCACTCTGACGCCAAGAGGCCTGTTAATTATATATACTTCGGTTAGACCAAAACCAACTGGAATTGTATCAGCCATCATTGAAGGATTTATGATAACTGATATTTTGACAGGAAAGCCAGATGAGCCATGAATAAGGGAAAGGATTGGATGCAAGACTTACCCGAAGAAAACATAGCACGAGGAAAGATGTCTAATAGCTTTTCAACCTTGTGCGTCATTGCTTTTCTTTCCTTTACAGCTCTACGTCGATTTCTGAAGCCAAAAGCACTACTATATAAGATTTCATCTTTATCGCTCGAAATAAAATAAACATCAAAGGTTAGCATCCTTCACATATGCTCAAAATTGATGATCCTGACTACCAGGTCTTCCATTGCCTTCCGGATTTCAGGATTATCTTCAGAAACAAGAAACTCCAAGCTCCTTTTCAGAAAATCAGGGATTGCTTTGAGTATATGTTCAATCTTCAAAAGAAATGTATTAGTTGTACAGAGGAAAAAAACGTGTCTGTTTCACAAGGTAACAAGACAAAGAAAGAGAAAAGATGGACAAAAGGCAGAAATAACACTTGCCTCAAAACAGTTCAAGGATCTTAAGGCAGTCACTCGTGCTTTTAGCCATTGACAAGAATGGGAATTATTACATATACCAATTTGCCATGAAACCAGAATAACCTTCATTGCAGCTTCAGGGTTGGCCTCTGCATCCATTGCCCCCCAGCGTACGAGAGTACACAAGCTGTAATAGAAAAATGGAAAAAGAGTTCTAAAAATTGGAGAAAAAGACATGAACATAATTTAATGATCTGATATCTAAAGGAACAATAGGAATTTTCAGATAGTAAACCCATCAGCCGACAGTCATAATGTTGTCATTAAAAGTTAACAAGGCAGAATGTGCTAGTGGAGAATCTAACTGATAAAACTCAATCATTTTCTCTGGAATTTTTTTCTGCAGTCTCCTGTGAGTAAATAATGGTATTTGTCATCAGCAACCAGAAAATGCATCATAGAAGCCTGGTGTTAGTGATAACTGGCTAATTTAAAGTGCGATCATTGAAACGATTCAGCACAGTGCAAGTGAATGCTCAGGAGAACAGAGAGGGAACTGTTTGACATAGGGAACTAGGATGGTTGGGGAGAGAACCGCAGCAGTGGGAAGGTATCTGATACGACCCCACTACGGACCTATAGAAAGCATAAGGAGTCACTTGCTTGTCACGTGACAGGGGGTATAAATAAAGCACGAGAAGGGGGGGTCGGGGCGGCAAAGTTGGTATTCTGGAGAGGCGGGGAACCCTCTCGAAATTGTTCCCTACTTTACTCTTCTTCTCTCTCTTTCGTCTCTGTGCCCAGGAAGGTCGTCCTTCCCATTGCTTTGTCTCTCGTCGCTGGCGAGAGTCCGTGAGTTCAATACGAAGTATTTTGTCTCTACTGCTTGCTCAGATTCGATCCTATCATCAGAGGATCGTACCAATATCCAAGAGAAGGGAGAACAACTAGGGAAAGAGTGAGAAACCAGGGAGAAAGTGACCCAGACGGAGGGAGCAGCCAGATTGAGGAATAGACGGCAGTGAGTTAGAGGACAAGGGCATGGGGAGGACGTACTGGGAGGAAACCACAACAAAAGGCTGCCAGATCGGGTAAGGACCCACTTTCGTGTGGAGACAGGAGGTCACATGTGAATTTAGGCCACAAATTTATGCGAGTGAGATATCGAGGGTACTCAGATCATTTTCACATGAGTAATTAACCCAGGCATTAATCCTATTTAAACTAATAGATACTAATCAAAGGGGTAATATCTAAAAATTAGAATGTTTTGATGGACATGCATTATTGAAAAAAAAAGGAAGTTATAGATAGTTTGAGATATTAAGAGGGAGCTAAAACTAGAAAACCCATAAAAAAGGTTTCTTCTTACCCAAGTGCAACAACAGGATCTTCAGAATAGTCCAGCATATGTTTCTCAATGATGCTCCATGCAGTATAGAAATCTGAGGGGAAAATATAGATAACTAGAGTGACGATTGGTAACTTAACACAAATGAATAGCCACAAAGCTCATAGATAACTTAGCCGTGGAGAGCAAAACACTCTCATGCAATGCAATTATTTCCTCTCATGATCTATACATACGAAACGAACATATACGAAATGATGATCTATACATATAGAAAAAAATCATTCGATGACCATTATGTGGATATCTTTAAGACATGTAATACACCTAGACAATTCCTTCTTCAGAACTGGAATTCTCCTCCAAGGATGTACTGGCGACAATAGCAAAGAATGGAGGCAAAACTTATAATCTATAAAGGAAGGGAGGGTGAAATTCCCATCCATTACCTTAATATATTTTCAGACCTCAAAGGCAAGACGAATGCGTCGCTAGATATTTGCCTGAATTAATGAAATTTTATTTTCGTGACCAATCAACAATGAAACATTTCATATTAATTCTTTCAAATGAACTTTAACAGTTAGGCAGTCCTTTAATGCGTTACACACTAGTAAATGCCTCATCAAGGACGACGTTGGTAACAGACTCCCCTTTAGTGTCATTTGGCCTAAAATTATCATTGTCGATAAAGATACCCCATTATGAAGAAGACGATATCCCCTTTAATATTGATTGAATTCCACAAAGACGACATGACATTTACAACTTCACATTGAACTTGAAGCCTCCTTTGCTCGTAATTTTGGCAATCTAAAGAGTTATCAAGTCTAATAAACGGAAAGCAATACAGAATAAATTAGACACGCCAATAAATCCACCACAGCTAATTCTGAAGGAATTCTGAAAGCTCGTAAGATGGACATGCAAAAACACTGTCGTCATCAACAAAAACATGTTCTTTCAGGGTGGGTATCGTACTACTCCAGAATTCTAGGTGACAAGAAAAAGTGAAAAAAAGGACGGTGAAAAATAAGGCAAGAAGGATTACCAATGACATCAGCTTCAGACAAGTAAGAAATAGCTTCAAAACCAAGAGCTTGGACAGATGAATCTCTACTTTCAATGCATGACTGGGAATGCAGAAAGAACAACCTTTAGCAAAACTCTAATTAAAATGTAAAATAAATAATTAGAGTTATCAAGCTACCCCACCGAAACAGACAAAATGAGATCAACACCCCTATCAGGATTGTGCCTGCAGACATCTCGTATGGAAGCAGCAATGCTCAAGCAAATATCTCTCTGGGTGGCAAAGATAGAAAATGCTTTTGGATCCAAAACTCCCTGTCTCATCATCAAGAAAAATCAATTCCCGCTTAACATTTCTGAGATGCGAGTGGGGCATAAGAACAAATAAATATGCAGTATCTGAGGACAGAAAAGTGCCAGTTCAAAGATCCAAATGATATCTGGATAAAGTATAAATCAGTTGATCCAAGGATATTTATGTTTACTAAGATAAAAGCAAGCATATTCTATTGGAATCATCACAGGAGTTTTACATAGTCTCTTTCTCAAAAGCCACCATTAATGCTGAATAATTTAATAATTCTTCCGTCAAAAGTTCTAAAATCTTAGTGACATATCCTTGAACAAATCTTTGACAATGTTATCTGGAAGTAGCGAGATCAACTTTAATTCCTACTTAAGAGATTGATCTTCATCTAAGAGTGATGAAAATCGTTGGGATCATTATGAAGTGTGATTTACAATACTTCACTTCCATATTAAGGAGAGGAGTAAGAGTAACCACATTAATGAAAAACCTCAAACACTCGAATGAGGATTGCCGGAGACATGTTACGCAAGAGCTGGATGATGGTGTTGTTGTAACGGCGATTTTAGGTTCAATTAGTGGCGGATTCAACATCCTATTTTACAGAAAGTGACAAAAAGAGATGTAGGTACTTATGAGGAAATGTAAGGACAATATTTCTCAATTCACTCAATTCAGAAGTCATAAACACTAGTGCAATCAATCCATGATTGGTATCCCAAACCTTTTCGTTCCAACATGAAGAGTGGATGTCAATATCAAGGAGTATGAATAGAAAAGGTTCATGAGATTCCGAACCTTTATGTCCCTAAATATTTGGTATACATCTATTTTTAGTCAAACAAGTCATAATTTCCTTGAATATTATGTCTTATAAGTATCTAAACATTGTTATACTTTATACTTTACTCACTTTTTCTTACACTAAAAGTATGTTTATTTTATGCTGTCCATTCTAATGTATGGGGACCCTTTTTCACCCTCTATGGATGGATGCAAATATTTTGTAAACCTTATTGATGACTATTATTTAACCACACAGATTTTCTAATGAAAACTAGAGATAGTTCCTCACATTATTTAGATTTTCTGCAAAATGATTCAAACTCAATATGGTTGTAGTGTTAAAAGGCTTCAATTTGGCAATGCAATATGTTTAGTACTACTTTTACGTATACTTAAGCTTCCTTCTCTCTTCCTAGCTCTTTTGTAGGGGCCATAAAATATTCAAAATAACTACACGTAATGGGTGAAACAGTGAAAGCCTTTAAAAGGAAACTGAATATCATAATCTTAAAACCTCTAATAGGAAAGAAGATTATAGGCAATATTAGTAGCAAAGTCTCTACATAAACTTATAACTTCGTCTACCAAGAAACCTTTGCATTATGTAGAAGCTTAAATTAGTAAAGATAAACTTATCACAAAATGCCTTAAACCAATGAAATCTCCTCCAACCTGATGTTAAAATGTTTTCTTAAATAAGGACTTTTAATAGGAAATCTATATGAATACCCACAGTACATTACAAAAGAAACGTGTGGAAACTAAAGAAAGTTCTATGCAGGTTTAAGCTATCACCATGAGTCTGATTTGATATGTTCAGAAAAATCTTGTTCACCTTGGACTTTAAGCAGAACAATTTTAATCATACCTTATTTACAAAGTTGCAAGAAATAAATTATTGCATTTTAATTGCATATGTTGACTGTAAAGTACTCAACAGTGAGGATAGTAAGGAGATTACATGTAAGGACCAAACTTCTTGAAAAATTTGAAATCAAAGATGTAAATAACCTCGAGCCCTTGGTATCAAGCGGAAAGATCTAAAAGTATTTACATATGTCAAGGAAAATATGCATTAGATCTTTCATGAGATATCAGCGAGCAAGTATAAATCAATTGAGACTCTAATTGACGTGAATCAATTAGAAGTGATAAGAAAGCCCACTTATCTCTCATGCTAACAAAGGATTATATGAAAGGTTAGTCAGTAAACTTTTAGTTTTAGCCTACTTAGAATAGGCACCACTATTAGCTGATACTGGTGAAGATAGGAGTGCCGCCTTTCCTTTGTTTCCTGGCTAAATTTTGTTTTAATCTTTTGTTTATTAACTAATCTTCGATATAATCCTTGGTTTACTGGCTAACTCAGACCCAAGTAGGAGTGCCGCCTAGCTATAGTCAACTTCCCCTTGATTCTACAAACAGAAGGTAGGGGAAGCTCGGAGAAAGAATAGATGATCCATGACCACCCAAAAAATCCAATTTCCCAATAGTGGTAAAGATCTTAGAGGTGGCTCTAGATCTTAGAGGTGAGATTCAAGTCAAGATGTCAAACAACAAGGCCATGTCATCAGCTAGCAAGCCGGAGTGAAAAAACCTTCCTAAAACGGAGGACAGACATTATGTCTTGTGGGCAGCTCATAAAGTGGACAATGGAAACAACCCAAGCATCATGACTGGAGAAGGGTTACAGCTTTTGAATCCTTACGAGTTTAAACAGGAGGGCTGAAAAGCTGTTAAATTAGAGAAGATTGCTTCCAAACTCAGGCATAGAGCCAGAAGTCTACAAATACTTGACATCTATATGAAAGATTGGTTCATGCTGGGCAAGATTGCTAGATCCAGAACATTTCAATGTGAAAATGGAAAACTTATCATAAACTGGGCTCGCCTACAAGGCTTTTTATAAAAACATTTGTAAGCATTGTTGAGCAAGGTGAGGAGCTCAACCTAAGTATATCTATTTCTGCAACTAAGATCAATGGTGAACTATTATAAGAAAAAAGAGGTGAAGTTTTACTAGATATATTTCCTCAATGATAAGAAATCGCACATGAAATTTTATTTTTTTGGTTCAATATTTGGAAAGAAGTTAATCAGTAAGACGAATAAAACAAGTATTTCTGGTACACAATAGTCAACTAACAAGAGAATGACTTAATGTTAACCAGTTGGGAGAAATACAAGTGACATTGAAACGAAAAAATTGATGCCAAAAGATTACTTTAATCGTTGAATCTTGACATTACAAGCCATCACAAATGTTTAGCTCTGTTTGTGTCTGTGCGTATAAATCAAATAGTTTCTGATGCTGTTAAGTAAACAACAAGAACGACATCGCTTGGCTTACCTGTAAGGTTCCAAAAACACGATCTGTAACAATCCATGTCTTACATAGCAAACGAACAGCCATGGCGTATAGCACTCTGGAATAAATAAAAAATAATATCAGAACATCCGGATCAAATACATTATCAAAATCGAAATGATATTGTAGAGGGCTATATTGTAAAGGGGTAGTATTGTAAAGGACTAAGCATATTATGGGAAGATGTATGTAGGGTTCGTCCCTATTTAAGGGACGTTAAAGGTAAATGGAGAGTGGCGGTTTCCACCGTTCCTCCCCTCTGTCCTCTGTGACAGAGGAAGTTTCTCCTCCCATGTAAGTGTTCTCAATGCATCCAGATTTCTCAACACACTTTAGGATAAATAAAAAATACATCAGAACCTTAGGATCAAATGCATTATCAAAACTGAAATTATGAGAAAAAAAGGACCTGAACAGGAAACGGATCTACAAATCAATTCCAGATGATCAAATAACAATTGAGAACTGCGAAATTTATCAGCTCAAATGAAAGTGGCACACTACACACAAGGTAAAGAAAAGAAAATAAAATGTAAAAAAATAAAAAACGCATCTTCAATTTCTTCTTATCTAGTGTCTACTGTAGCGAATTTCAGATTAGTGTCTGGTTCACCCATTCAAAGCTTTCTTAAACTGTCTGGTTGGCCACTTGGACCAACTGGACCAGTTCAGAACAGTTGGAAATCTGTTGATTTATAGAGAAATTTTCCTGAATTGTACGATTTCAGAATAAGTCAAACCCTAAATCACCCAAGTCCATGATGAACAAGCCCCACAAAACAAACCTGATTTTGGGGAACTGTCCCCCTACCATATTGACCGAATACTATTGATACTGACCTGGAAGGGTGTCAGTCAATTTTAAGTACCTTGCAATGGATTTATTGACCCCCGAAGTACTGTTGCACCCCCTGCCTCCCTGGTATGATCAGACAATCAGACCTTTCTGAGTTTCCTTTGTCCTAAAGGTGGCAGGGACAAGGTGATTTATCCATATTCCAAGCCCTATCTCTCTCCCCCAACACCCACTTAAAAGTGGTTTTTCCCAACCCAGAACACTCAAATCACGCCAATCAGGCACTCCTGAAGCTTATTTGGCATCACATGATATTCCAGTCAAAACTGTGCAACGAATGGCCCTTATATGAAATGAGCTTCATAACTAGACACAACTAGATTGTCACACAAAATCCATATTAAATAACAATAAAATAAGAGTATCCTTCAGGAAACCCACGTCTTTTTTCAAACCCATAACTCGACACAGGTATCCCGTTTTAGTTCTTTAATGTTTCTGGAAGAAAAAAAGACTACTTCCTCTAGTATTTGATATTTTTCTACACAACTAGCGCCACAAAATGAGTTTGAAAGAAAAAAATATATATTTACCCATGCATGGTGTCTCCAAGAGAGATGGAACACCTACCGATCAATTAGAATAGTAATTCATCACAAGAAATGAACTCAATGAAAATTTCAACCGAAAAGCACTCCAGGACAATAATGTTGGATTTCTCATGTTCATCTCTTTTAAACTAATGATCGAGTTGATGCAACAGACCAGCTTTTAAATTGTTTTGAAAAACCTATGCTGAAATTATTCAACTTTTTAGGCTTACACCGAGGCTTAGCCAAAGCTTCCTACGGTCCAAGGGACATCGTACATTTTAACAATGCTGATCCAGATTGGCTTTAAGTTTCGGTGATATTCAAAAACACAGAACACACCAAATGAGAAGTCAGATAAATAATTAGAATGAGTGAGATAGATGCCATACGGTTTTGCATCCTCCTGCAGCATTGGCATAAGAATCTGGAGAATCAGTGGTACCATAGCAGAAGATGAGGCCAGCAGTGGAAGCATTTCCAAAATTTTAAGCTGCAATCAAATGAATTTATGCACCAAAAATGTGTTATCACAGATTAACTATGGAAATACTTAACCAAAGAGCAGCAAAATGCTAACTGCATACCAATTTTTTTGCTGAGTTATCTCTTGAAGCGCTGAATATTTTAAGGTAAAACAAAATTCCAAGTAATAAGGTCATGCTGAACTTCGGATCCATGGAAGCAAGAGAAGACAAAGAATCAACGGCCAAAGACATAAGCTGGGGATGAAAGATGAAGATCGAAGCAACAGCACTTAGTAACAAAGACATCCCTGAAAATGATTCAAGTTTTTTTCATGTGATGTGAGCACTAATCAATAAATTAACAAGGTATAATAGATTTATAAAAGTAGTAGTGAACTGATAAAGTGAACTCAACCTGTGAACATTCTGTCCTGAGGATGGAAAGATGGGATGAGTTTTGATTGTTGAACGCTTAATAAACAGTAGTCTCTTAGTTTCAATAACCACTGTGCTTTTATATTGGGCCTCTCCTCCAAACTATCCTTGAAAGCAAATTCTAGAAAGCATGAACTACAAAAGGAATCGTTTTCCTGCAGTAGAACAATTATGGTCATGAGTGCACAAATTTAAACTTTCTAACTAGTAATAGTAGTGTTCATAGGCAACCACAGCCATACAATCTCCAGATGGGTTTTAAAAATAAGGGACCGCTTCTCATAATGGCATAATGAACGTGGCAAAAAAAAACGAAAAACTGGTTTCGGATCTTGCCTGAAAAGGTGTCGTTACATAAAATCCGATGTGAATATCCTGGCATGAAGCCATGTTTTAAGGCAATCCGAAATCATCTTTTATATTAAAGGCAATACCTCTGGTCCCATACTGCAACTAGGTTCTCCACGCACTAGAACCAGGCTTAAAGTAATGACATGCATGTCAAACTAGAACATCTCTTGTAGCATGGGCAATCCAACCCTCCTCCAAGAAGAATGGAGTTAGTTATATTCTCTCACTTTTGTACTTTGTTAGACTGTGTATTTTCAGTGAGTTTGGGTCGGATCGCCCCATCTAGCAGTCTGGGCCGAACTAGCCCACCTAAATACGTTTAAACTCTGGTATAAATATCAGAGTCCGTAGATTAGGTTTCTTTGATTAATCTTTCTCAAGTTGTAACATGGTATCAGAGCTGTCGAGATGTAAACCCTAGTCATCGAAGAAGGTTCTTCCTCATTGGCGACCTCTTCTATTGTGGGCCAGCAGCTTCTTTCTCATCCACCTACCTTGTTCGAAGATTCGCCAATGACGTCTCGCACTACATGCTGTGCCATAGTCTGTCCCATGCCATCCGTGACTAACATCTCCGCCCTGTGCTGTCTGAGACCAGGGTCTCCACCTCGTGCCACCATGGTCTGTTCAGTTTCGTGTCGTCTGAGACTGGAGACTGTCTGTGTCGCCTTCTTCCCATCTGCCGTGGTCTGCTGCACCATGGTCTACACCACCGCAGTATCCGCCATCTTTCTCCACCTGAACATTAGAGTTGTTCAGCAGATGACATTTCTTCCTCAGTCCAAGAAAAGAGTCCCACACCAGTAAGTAGTCAATGGTCAACTCTGATTGATATTAATTATTTTCACAATATAAGTGATGAATCAAAATCTCTTCGATCCCACATTCAGCAGAGCCATATCGTCACTGCTCAAAGACCAAATGAGAAGAAAGCGTAAACAGTGGAGTAGATTCGTCGAGATCAACTTCAAAAGTCAAGAAAAGATCAAGCACCTCACGAATGAAGCACCCTCTAACACTGTCAAATTGGAGCAATGAGAGCAGCAAGATGCAAACCTCCTTAGTCTATTGTGAAATTCCATGGAGTCTAGTATTAATGGTTTCAGATCATCTCGATCTTTGTAATGCTGCGTGAGATCATCTCGATCTCTATTTGAAGAATGTGACCCAACTTAGTGTGACGTTCATGTCTTACTTCCTATCTCCAGTGATGCTCAGGTGATGCAAAAGCAGCATGATCAGATGGTCGTTCTTAAGCTTCTTGATAGTCTTCGTGAAAAATATAGAGCTCATAGACAAATTTTGTATGGAGCTCAATTACCCTCACCAGCTGTGACCTACCACCATATCTCTCGAACTTTTCTAGACCAGCAGGGCGTGTAAACTACAACACCTGGAGAGAACACTAACTTGATGCCTACTCAGTCTGTCACAAAGACCTCTTGTGGTTATGACCATGGTGGTTGTGCAGATTGAGGGAGAGGTGGAGGCAGAAATGCTATAGTTTGTCAAAGACTTGAGTGTAATCATTATGGTAGAAAGAATCATACCAAGCAATGTTGAATCAAAATACAGGACAATAGTACACACTATATGTGAACTTATATGGATCAAACGTCTTCTTGAAGAACTTGGCTTACCTTGTCCAGGTGCTAAGGAACTCAAATGTGACGACCAAGCAGTGATCCATTGCCTCAAATCATGTGGTCCATGAGGTGACAAAATATATTGAAGTTGATAGACACTTTGTCAAAGAGAAGCTCTAGGCATAACTTACGACTACTGTGAATGTTAACAGTATAGATTGACTAGCTAATATGTTCACCAAGTCCTTGAATAGTCACAGGATAGAATTTCTACGTAACAAGCTTAGAGCATATGATATATATGGAGGCTTTTAGATTATATATTTTAGTAAGTCTAGGCCAGATCACCCCATCCAGCAGTCTGGACCAAACTTGCCCACCAAGTCCATCTAGGCTCTGGTATAAATACCAGGGTCCATAGATTTGTTTATTTAAGTCATCTTTCTCAAGTTGTAACATACTTGAAAGGCTCAAGCACATTCCCCTCCTCACAACGGAACTCCTCTACCAGAAATTCTATTTAACAAATTGACCTAAATTTTTTCACCCACATAGCTCAATCAATGTCACATGTAAGATATCATAGCACCATTCATATGGATCTGCCACATGGACCTCTACCACATCAATACCTACCATTAGGTGAACATAAGGATGATCAGAAATCAGTAACTTCCATTTCCAATTGACCTAACATCACACTTTCATTTCCCCTTTACCTGTCATGACAATTGGTGTAAGACCCCGAAATTGTCTCTTCTACATCTACCAATGCAGTACAAAAACTATGATGGAAGAAAACCATGGCAACCATATATCTATTATGAGATCACTAATGTTATGAGATTGACATGAACTAATAGGAGTTATGAGACTACAATCTAGCATCTAGGACATGTAACATCCCCAATATCGTCAGGGTTTCATAGACAAGCCTAGATGGGGCCATTGACCTTACTAGAAGAGCGAGCGAATCTACTGACAACGCACAAGTCCTCATTAATAGCACCAAACAGGGTATCATAGTGAAGTTTTAACAAAAATTCATATAATGACATAAATGGAACAGAAATGGAATTTCTTCAAAAATTTTACAGCTATCCACCAATCACATATCCGATCTTGATGACCAGATGATCCACCTTGCCAGCTACCCTCATCTACAGAGTAGCACCAATGCATCATCGATCAGCATTATTTCTCCCTGTTTTTGAGGTTCCTCCAAATCAAAACGTCTTTCCTCATGTCAATTATGAACAAAGGCTTTCCACCTTTTTTTCTTAATATTTCATTCTTAATTGATAATGCATTTGTTTTCTTACTTGAATAGGTGTTCAACTTTAATAGATGTACGCCAAATTTTCATTACACATGGAATTGAATGACCTAATAAATGTATTATGAATTAAATGAGAATCTTTAACAAAAAAGTTAAAAGTTTATCCAATTGAGGAACACAGAAAATATTGGTAATGGCACCAGCTCTTACTTGCCCAGTAAACAGGGCATAAGATCATTGCATTGCTCTCTGAGCGGTCATGCACACAACAGTGACGGAAAAAGCCTACTATAAAGAATCAGCAATGATAACTGGTTAACAGAAAAGCGCACATACGAAAAAATGGTTGTATCATATGACATCATAAATGACCTCAGTCCAAAGATGTTCCAAAAGCCTTATAAGAATATATCCGAGCTTGCATCTGGTTGAGAAAACAGATCTAGTACTTTGGTATTTCCTCTGTCCAGAAGGTGAATTCAACATGTAGGCTTCAAATTTTGAAAGAAAGGAAACAACTGCTTCTTTGACAGATTCAGAAGAAGATGATAGAACATTGATAACTGGAAATATTTGGAGAAGTTCCAAGGGAGTGTAAAATGCAGATTCTGGGATATTATTTTCCACCTCTGGAAATGAAACAAAATGTGTTTAGTTTCACGTGATAACACTAAATAAAGTAGCCTACAAGAAATCAATACATTGATACGCAAACTAAATTGTGGAAAAAAACACAGATCCAAGAGAGTAATAAATAAAATGAATTTTTTTTCTAACAATCCCTTGCGTCCTACGGTTCTGATATATTTCTAGGAGAAGATACTATATAAAGGAGATTTTTTAATGAACGTCTCAATCACATACTATGGTGGGAAGTACCATATATAAGGACTCCATTGCAGGATAGCGGAATCCCCATTATATAAAAAATTAGGTCATCATATGACCAAGATTATTCTAAAACTTTTCCAGATATTACCCACTTCCCTGCAAGAGCTGGTTCCACCATTGTTGCAATAAACTAGAAGTAGTCATCCAGATGCCTACCCATTCATATAACCAGACATAGTTGTTGCAATGGAACACATTGACTAATAGACTAATTCTATTATTGAAGTTTTGTCCGGATTTGACTGACTTTGGCTTTGGCCAGACCTGAACTCCAAGATTTGAGTCAGCTCAGACCAAATCAGTTCAATTAGTGTAAGTGTATAATAATCATATTCAAAGGCTTTTACAAATACGTGATCCTTATTGTTTTCAAAGTGGCACCACGGTGGAATGGTCCAAGAAGAAAACGAGAGAGGACACAGAGGAACTCGCCATCAATGTGATTGAGGTAACTCTTTTTTTCTTTCACCTTTTCTGCTGCAAAAGTATGCAACTACATGTTTGGTCTTTTCCTCCATCAATTGCAGCTAGCAACCTCATGTTTCTTCTTTTTCCACTTCAGCTCTTCCTCTGGTTGCAAATGGATCAGTGATAAATGCCAAATTCAGTTAATCCAAGGACAGGTTAACCTTTTGTTATTGGCCCAAAGAATGCTGTACATCATGATAGGAGGAGAGAGATTAAAAAGTAATCTGTTAACATCCACTTTCCCAATTTTGTCCGTGTGTTTGAATAAATGTATTTATGCATGAACCAATCTACTTGAAAATATAGGCTTTGATTTTTCCACCATAAAGGATATTTGACAATAGCACTCAGGCCATGTATAAAAGGACCCAACTAGGATATAATAAGTGAAATGGAAAGAACAGTGACACCTACCCTCCTCAGAGAGTTCACTAAGTATGGTTGAACTATCAGTGAAAATGCAAAGCACAAGCAATAAAAATCACAGAAAACTATTTTAAGCCTACTTAGAAACATTAAATCACCTGTCAGGAGAGAATAATTTAGGTACAAGAGAAAGAAAGATTTCTGCAACCTTTTTAGTCATTGAATGATGTGTAATGAAATGATTTATTACTGTACAAGGCATCTACGTTTTAATTTTCAAGTTCATATCCCACTAGGGCTCGGAATTTCTTACTACAAAAAATTTCATCTCTCCTTCACCATGAGCAGGGTATGAAAGGGCATATCCCATCTACAGATATAAGCCATTTGAAGATTTCATCTTTCACTTTATTTTCATTATCATTTTTTTTTCCCTTACCGTGTAGTGACCTTCTGTTAAAGAGCGTCCTGACGGATAGCATTGAAAAGGTATCCCCATGTCACCAATGATATGCATTTTAATCAAACTAAAAAATGACAGTGTAAATAAAAAACTTTCAGTAAGGAGTACGCGAGAAATGGGAAAAAGAAACCTTCGCTTATCCACTCCCTTAAGAAAATCAAGAATTTCAGAATCGTAAGTTGCTCATGTTCAAACTCCACTTGACTAAGAAGTACAGATAATGAGACAGCAGCAGAAGAAAACTCGGGTAGATATGGCAAGGCGAGCTCCCTCTGTGATACCAGTAAACGCATTGATAACTCCACCATCGTAATGCACCTATAAGGCTTATGCAGATCAGTGCAAATGGATAGAAGAGTCTCCAGCAACTCCACACGACATAGCTGAGCTTCAGTCATAGGCTGTTTAAATGGTTAAAGTACATTAGCGTATGCAAAACATTATTATTGCAACAGATATCTAACAGCATAAGACATTCCTAATCATCACAGAAACCAAATACACATTTTTCTTCTTTCCTTTCAGCATTGAAACGAATATAAAACATATGGTGCGATGATCATCAGTTATTATCATTTTTAAGCTTGTCATTCATTATGTTAATTCATAAGTATAGAAGGCTAGGAGCATGAGATCACAAAGCATCAAACACAAAGCAACACAACGTACATTTATTAGAAATGTTGTAAAAACAGGCATGCCAATGCCAGTGTCCAAAAGGACCAAGGAATTAAGGAACAACCAAATATAGAATCAACTCGAAGCAGATGCAAAGTTTTCACAAAGACCAATATGATAAGTTCACCCAGAATTCTATTTCCGGATACCAATAAATTTACATTATAATTTCTAGTTAAATAAATTCGCATATGCATGATTGCATGTTCATGTGAGTGAAACCAGCAATAATCATGATTCGACCTCATCAAAAATTTGAATGAGGATTCAAAATTTACAAGTAATGTGAAGATAAATGCCACGATTTCAGAAGTAATAAAAAAATTAGCAAGAGAATTAAATCAATTCAAGTATACGAAAATGGAACAAAAGAATACCATTTCAGTCTTAACCATCTGCTTCAAGACCACCTCAAATGCATCCACCAAATATTCAGCAGAGCTTTTGAGGCATCTGAACTCCTAAGCAGAAAAGTAGAAAAATTAATAATATCAGGGAAGTATGAAAGTGCATCATGGAAAACAAGAAACACGGATACCTGACAGCATGACCAAAACCAGTAAAATCTTCTGAAAGAAACCATTAACACAGAAAAAAGGCATTCTAACTTGTCATAATCTACAATCCGCAGAGGCTGGGAAACCTAGACATGCTGTCAGGGTTTTTTTCTAAAATTTTTCTTGATGTTGCTCGACATCATTAAGCTATGGAAGCCTATTGAATAACGGGTTTACCTCTTCATTGCTGCTTGGGAAATACTCGAGGCATCCAGTGAGCAGCCTAATAATTAAGATAGCCTCATTCGGAAGCGAGCAAGACAATGATGCCAAGCCAGAAACCAAATCCTTCGCGAACGTCAATGACCGAACCGAAGATTGAACGATCAATATAGAAAAGACCAAGAAAGGCCTTATGAACTCAGAGACCGCCTCCATTCCAGAAGACCTGTTATGCACAATAAACAACAATACTTGGCGTAGGAGCTCTTCCTGAACCTCAGGGCGACAAGAAAGAATCTGCTCGGAAAACATGGGGTGAAATTAGGAAGAACTTGGAGCAAAGTAACACTGAACGAGCACGCATGAGAGAAGAAAGCCGCCGAGACTGACCTTCACAAAGGGATGTAGTTCCAGAGTCTGGGCTTGGCTGCGCCAATACGAAGGGTCTGTCCGGAACGTGCACCGGGACAAGAAGCCGATCCCCTTGACGAAAAGGCCGACAAAGCGTGTCTCACATCCCTCGAGTGCCGACTGAAGCTCCACCAGCGCCGGCCCGACCTTCACATCCCCGGCATTGACGAGGCAGCACAGCTCCCGGACTGCCTGGTCGACGACAGCAACAGAGGACGAATTGAGGCAGAGAGAAACCGCATCCCTACCGTGGCGGGACTCGAAGCCTCTTTGGGGAGGCGCTGCCTGGAGCTTCCGGAAGACGGCGGATACGGCGGACCGCTGAAGCAGGGGCTGGGGGAGGCGTGTCTTCTCCAGTAGATCCCCATACGGAGAGGCTTCCATCGCCCTGGCCCCCGGAGGCGGCAATCACCGATCGGAATCCAACTCACCGGAGCTGCTTGCCGGCTTGTAGGGGAGGGGGAGAGAGAGTTGGCAACTCCGCCGAAGCACGACCCCTTCCCTTCCCCCAACGGCCACCTGGGCAAACGGTCTATACGGTCCAAACCGAAAAGCCCCAAGCGGATAAAACGAGGACTACTTTTCGGATATCTACCGGGTCGAAAGAAGCCCGATAACTAGGAACTGACAGAACCCAAAAAAGACCCAAAATCATATTAGCGCCGGATAAAACGTACGAATAACTCATATTAGTTTAATAGCCGCCTTGCTATTACGCTCTCTCTCTCTCTCTCTCTCTCTCTCTCTCTCTCTAAGTTGCACCGCAAAAGAGAAAAAGGGAGTAAATATAGATTGTTCGAGTAGAAACAATCTCCACTGACCCGACAAGGGAAGAAGACCATGGATCGGATCCAAATGTGACCACTCGCTCTAAGTCGGGCGGACGATCTGCCCCTGAAGAGGGATCCGAATAATGAGGATACAGGCGCCGGCATTTTTCTCAAAAAAAAATAAAAATAAAAATGAAGAACAATGTACAAGTGATGTTCATGGGCACACGCTCCTAAGAAGACAGAAGTGAAGCAGATCGGAGGGGTGGAGGAGGGGCAGAGAGGGTCTGCATGGAAGGCTCAGATGAGCCTCAATTCATATTCCCCGGCCATTGTTATATATCTCACCCAAGGGAGAGCTTGGTATCCACTCTTCTCTATGATCTTCAGGTACCGCACCTGAAGAACAACAAAAAAAAAGAAAAAAAGAAAAAAAAAAGAGAATAATTATATATTTTCCACCATAATTGTATATCATGTCAACCCTATGTTATTCGACAAAAATCTCATATTCTACCAATCATTCTACTTATGTTTAAGGTTTAGGGTTTAGGGTTTAAATTCTTACGAAAATAGAGATATATGGACACAATTTAAAAACACAATCATAGACTCCGATACCATGTTAATGATCATAACTGTGTCCATTTGACTTTGATAGCTTGTCTAAAATCTTACATCTAATGACGGATTTCTCACATCGTATTGTACATGAAATCCATGCTGAGAGATTTAAATTTGAGAAAAAGTGCAGACAAATTTCATCATTACTGTGGATGGAACCAGAAAATACCTGAATTCCTGATACCGTGAAGTAAGGGATTTCGAACTTCACCCGAATGGGGGCCTTTTTCTCAGGGATGGCCTCCTCGGCCGTTATGCTAGGCAGTGTAGATTCAGCTCTCAGCATGTACTCCTAAGAAAAATCAGAAGAATGTCAGACGATTAGTCTTAAAGCTCGTAGGAAGAGGCAGTAGTCGGTCGTCTGCCGTCATCCGGTTGGGGTTGGGGGGACGAGAATGAAATATAAGTATTAACTCGTGGGCCATACCTTACCACCAGGAAAGGACTTAATCTTCCAGACCAAGGCATCGCTCTCCGGGGCGTAAGCAGCAGAGCCCATGGACGTCCGTACATTGGGATTAGTAGCATCTGGAGGTAAGGGTAATTGGATTTCCACATTTGTCGCAGTACTGAATCCATTCCGGCGAGAAGAGATGATTCAGGGTGTTTGTTCATGGTTGAGTTATGCCAAAAGAAGCGTCTAGAGGTCAACTCGATGATATACCTGCGCTCTTTGAACTGGCTCCTGGCCTTAACTGTGAGTTCTATCCGGCTTCTTGAGTGCCTCTCTACCTGAGCTTCCACCCAAATTAAGGGATTCACCTGAAGAATGGGAAACACGAGAGATTGACATCAAAAAGAGAAAGGATGCTGAAGACTGATGCTGAAGACAGATACCGGACCTGGGTGCTGAGCCTGTATGTCATCAGATCAAACGACCCATCTGGTGGGATGAACGATATTGTTCTGTCATTCTCAAAGCGGGCCAAGCGTACACACCTGGCGCAGAGAAAGTGGAGTCACTATCCATAGACAAAGGGTCCTTAAACAGATGAGAAAAAGTGAGAGAAGAAAGTTTCAAGGCCCTCAGGGACCCTACTGATGGAATTTGATATCATCCAAATCTATGGCTTTGCCCTTTGTTGTCCTCCCCTGAGCCTCCAACAGTACTCTGTCGTTTAAACCCAGCTTGCACTCGGGCATACCACTGCATTGCAAAGGTCACCATGTTAATGTACTGTATATATAATATTATGCTGGAAATTATAGACTCATATTGTCACTCAGGCGTACCACTGCATTGCAAGGATTTCTACCGCTTCCTGTCTATCAGCGATAGAAACCCCCATATTGTCACTTTGTGAAGGGCATGCAGAAATTTTGGTTTTCTATGTTTTAAAACGTTGTGGGCATCCCAAACTAAGTTTGTTTTCAAGGCTGCTATCCACATGATTTTACCCTGATAAAAGCAGGTCCTGCATGGCGAGACCATCTTACTAGTTATGCTCTCTTGATATACATGCACAAGCCCGTGGCCATAGATATACGGACATAATATGATATACCGATCAAATTTCCATCGAAATCTGAGTTAGCAAAGGCAGATTCAAACCCAGATTGGCCGATCCTGAGAACCATTTTTTCTCAAAATGGAACCAATCTAATATTACATTAAAGAAAAGACACTCATAAGCATCTTCATCAAAGACCCTCATAACTATAAATTAGATTTCAAAGCATAAGCTTCCCATTCAAAGCACTCTTCGCAATGTGCTATGGTCTAGAAGATAAACAGCAGTGGTGACTAAGCCATTCTTTACTCTGTATGGCAATTGATTGTTTTAGCTACAGGAGGTTTGCATGGATTATATACCAGCCAATTCAAAACATGTCATTAAACTCCATGTTATAGGAATTTTCTTGCTAATGTAAAAATATAGATACGAAAGCAAATGTTAAACTTTTTGCTTGTTAATTATCATTTACCCAAAAAAAAAGGTCACCGTTGTCGAATCAAGAGACCTTTTTTAGTCATTTTTTACCAATTTCACATTTTCTAAAAATTTCTGGGTTTTTATATGTGATTTGAGATGTTGCAACAACTATCATACATAATTTCGAGTATATAACTATATCAATCATGACCGAAGCTGGTCACCATGACTCAAAGGAAAATGATGGGTGATGGTGTAGAACAAGAAATTTCTTCTTTTCTTCTTCTACAAAAGAGAATAGGGAATTCAGACATGGATGGAATCATAATTTCGAAAATATTGGCATGGATACTACTCTACAAATCGCAGGTTTTTTAGCTACTTATCTTCCCTACACTTTATGAAAGAGAGGAAAATAACAATCAACTGAGAAGAAAATCTTCAAAGCATCTTGTGAAATGGAGATTTGAAGATTTTTTCCTGTAGCAAAAGTTCAACGAGTTATCAGGATCATAAGCATGACACCAGTCACAATAAATGTGAAGCAGAACCAATACAAATTATCGTTTTTAACTTTTCAAGATATGAATTCTAATATAATATTTTAAAATATTAATTTGAAGAAAATACCCCATAAAAAAATGCACGGGAAAAAGCTCCCAACAACATTAATAATGGGGAACCAGTGTCCAGAAAAACTCCCAACAATATTCAAAATCCTCGAAAGAATGATATTGCAGAAGACAAATAGTCAACAGTTCTGACGTAATAACCTGTAAATTAGCTACGTTTCCAGCTAAAGAATTAGGACCGCCACTTAGAAATAGCAAGATTAGATCGGTGAATGGAATTAAATCATGAAAAAGCCAACCAACAACTATATGGATAAGAGACAAGTGTCAACGACTATATGGATGGGAGGGACATGGATTTTGTCTTGATTTGTTCCCTACAACCTCTTATCCTACGGATTGCCAGCTTATACAGAGGATTCAAATCCATTAAAAAGTTGAAGTTGGAAAGGTCCAATGTTTCTTTAGGGGAAAGGACTGACAAGAAATGGAATCTTATTCATCCTCTCTGAGAAGACATTGTAAAAATAATATGTTGAAGTTCTAAAAATATTTTTTTCAGCATGACGGGTGCAGAGTGATGTAAAAGAAGAAAGTGTAATCAAAGGTGATTCCCATCAAAATCAGAAATTTCACACAGGCAGTGATTCACAGCGTATTGTCTTTGTGTCAAAAAAGCATCGGACTTAACCAACATTCTTTCCAAATGAAAAAGGAACCCCTCACTGGGTTTAAATGGAATTTAAGAAGCGTTAAGTTGTGCTTAATTATCTAATCATATCTCTGATATACTGTGGCCCAACTGGAACAGAATTTAAAGGCCTACGTAACGATGGTCAAGTTCTTGCTAATTTAAAGGCTAGCCAAAATATCGTCGGGCAGTGGTGTTCGGAGAAAATTCCAAGGTGGAAGGTAAGGAATCCATGGCATCCTCTATAAAATCTTCAAGCAGATGGAAGACTGTTATTTTCCAGGCTTTCAGCTGAACAGAAGAAACCATAAATTCTATCAGGAGCGAATCTCTATTTAGAGGAACATGCTGATTTTGACAACTTTATCCACTAGTAAATCTAGATACTTCTAGAATAACATCAACCACCCTAAATCAGGTAGGTCCTTCATGTTCTATATATAGAACTTATTGAATGCCGTCAAAATGTATGGCATGTCGAATCTGGGTGCTTTCCGTCATAAAAAACTTCCACAGCGTTCTCTACGTCAAATCTTTAAGACTTACATGCCGCTTGTTTTCCTTTTTTTTCCATTAATTATTATTTCGAATATTGCATATCTTTCTGCGTTCCTGAACCTTTTACCATTATTTATAACGACTTTTGAATGTCAGAACTAGTCTTATATAGAGTCGAGACCCAACAACCACACAATGTATATAATGTTAAGTTGTGAATTGAGAGTAAGTGGTCAAGGAATTATATTGAATTGAAAAAGATGTGTAACAAAAGCTTGTACAAAATTGCTGAAGAGAACATGCAGTAAACTCGCCTCAAATAAGTTCTCATCTTCAATGCCCCAACAACATCAGAGCGGATAATTTGACCATTACTGTTGACAAGCATATTGACACTTTCCACCACGTCCAAGAACACCTAAACATATGCATCAAATATCAGGCATGATCTATTTCACTAAACATGGTTTCTCAACGAAAAAGAAAAAAGCCTTACCTCATTTTTCTTGTAACGTACTCCTTCACTACGCCATGAAACTGCATTTGTTACAGCCATTGGAGGCCTTTGAGTGACTTCCATCCGGTATGCATCGGTCTTAATAAACTCACTGAGAATTTTTGCTTCAGTGAACTGAGGGTACCCAAAGTCTATGATTTCATCAAGTAGCTCGTACTGTTCAAATAAAAGACAATTTAGAACACCAAAACACAATTCTGTATGTGCTACAAAGAGACACTGTCCAATATGTCACCAACCACAACAACAAAGTTATCTCTGAGAGATTCCTCTTCCAATTCCTCAAAATAATGCTTAAAGACCTGCATGAGAAACATCACTCGTATAAAAGAGGTACATAAAACACGAAATACAGCCGTTTCAACTGTATGGTCAGTTCTTACCTTAAAAGGGAATAGCGCATGGATAATAACAATAATGTACGGCCATGGGAAAACTCACCTCTACAACACGATGGAGAAAGAGAAGAATACTAGCAGCATTACAGTTCTGCCGAGATGCTGTCATGAGAAACACGTTATTGTGTTGAATGAACATGTACGTGACTCCATTGTCGTATAACACTGGATCTTGAGATTCTGGATCACCCTGTACCAAATTGATATAATGCGATTACTTTTCAGAGCTACTCATTTCATCAAGGAGCGAAAAACAAGATTTCAAGAGCCGAATTCAATCAAATATTTATGGCATTAACTATATTCCTAATAAAAAAGATAAAATCTACGCAGGATGAGGAGAAGAGAACAGAAATACGTTACAATTACCCCGAAGAATACCTTTAAAGCAAAACCGTTGCAAAATTCTCAAAAGATAACAAATAGAAAGGGTAAATTTAAGGATCACATCCGCTCGAAAGAACTCCATCAAATCACAAACAGCACGAGGCGAGTTTCATCCCCCGATTTGAAACCCCAATCAACGAAAGCCCACCCAAAACTTGTGTCACCAAAAGCAGTCCTTCCCTTTACCTCCTTTTCGATCAGCTTAGTGAAGAATCGCTCCGCCTGGACGGCAGTGACGTCCCCGCGGTAGTCCCGCCAAAGCAGGACGCGCCCCTTGATGTCGAGAAGAAAGAGCGCCGAGACGGCCCCCGCCATGGATCGGCGGGGCAGTGGCCACGATTTGGGTTCCCGGGAAGAGAGATCGCCAGACTAGATCCTAGCCCGGGACACAGATCTGGATCTCGACTCCAGATGAAGCTCTACCAACTGCTGACCTCCCCTTGCCATCTCCTCTGGGCAGACATCTCGTTCAGTTTCCTCCGCTATTCTAAATAATGAACCGGCTTCGAAGTGCCACAGCTCGCTCCTCGGAAATAAATCTGTTGAGGGGGTAACGCAATTATTGAAAACAAAAAAAGGATACAAATGTAAACTTAAATAGTTGGATTTTTACCTATAGTTCCCCATAAATCCCTCCAATTACAGGTAACCCCTTCATCTTCCCACTTGGTGCCCGCTGTATTTCGTTCTGCTAGCGAGCTAAAAGTCATGGTCTAACTAGATAATCTTGTTTAAAAAACATTAATGTACTCAGCATGTCAACACCCTAACTTGCACTTAGCCCCTTTCTCAATTCTCTCCAGCCATTTTTTAATGTATTTCTCTACTCTTTCGGCGTTATAGTATTATATGAATACAAATGGACTCATTCAACTATTCTATGAATACAAATGGACTTAGGCAAAATCACAAAATATCTTATAATAAGAAATATAAGTATAGAACTAAATTTTCTTTCAAAATCATGTTCTTGAATATTTCTAAATTAGATACTTTATTAGTTGTTTTTCGTAATTATTATAATATACTATTAAGTGTATCACATATTTATGTGAATAATCGATAATGGTGTAATTAGTAGATATTAAGTTATTTCCTTTATTATTATCACATTAAATTAAGAATTTATTTTTCTCCATTTAGTAGACATTGTTTTCTCCACAACAAAATTGTTGTTATCATTTTTTTCATATATAGATGAAACCAAGGAAGATCCCACTAATTGAACTCAGGGGATTCTTGCTTTGATATAAGGTTGGGTTAAGTAACATGTTCAATTCACACGGCCTCAAGGCCAATGACTGTCCTATTTCATCAAGCAAATGTGATGATAAAATAAGTGATAGCCCTATAAAAAAATCAGATAGAAATTTTCTTCTTCTAAACTAGAGCTGATGAAATAAGAAAGCTTATGTTCTAAATATAAGAAACTAAGTTATTTCTAAATATAAGAAAATGTCATAAAAAGAAGACAAAATCAGATGTTACACAATCTACATAATAAAGATTTGATGAACATGTTTCCAAGGACTGAAATTGTGTCCCACAATAATCTTCAACATAGCTTGTTATATATTAGAATAACAACATTGTTATAATCATCAATTTCAATTTCTAAAATTCCAACTTTGATGTATTTCATTATTCCATGATATTTTTCTCATGCATTAAAATATAATGGTTGGTGCACTACATTAATTTTCAATGCAACTTAATATACACTCCATTCTCCATCATCAACTTCATCTACTGAAAATGAGCATTCACATGCTATGCTATTCATACCACTCCTTTTCTCAATCTTTGTTTCCTTGAAATTTTTAGTTGTCAATTTTTTTAAATTACAATACACATTATCCAAAACACATTTGATCAATCCTAAATTAAATGTGAGAGATTTTTAAAGGTTAGTAGCTCATCATGCAATAAATACAATTACAATCAAAATAACATGAAAATGATATTTTCTTCAACTATAAATTTATCTGAAGTTCAGTCACAATATCACTTATAAAATAGGTCATGAATACTGCTATGCAAGTTTGAACAACAGACAAGAAGCCACTTTCTCATTGCAATTGAATTAAATGAAATATAACTTAGCAACATTTTTTTTGACTTATTGATAGATGAAATGTTAAATACAACTTATGATTTTCCATTTTAGAAAAAAATAAAATTTTAGCTTTAAAATTATCCTTGCATTATGTTGATATTAAACCATTCTATAGAAATAAATAATTAGTAATTTTGACCTCCATTTGTAAAAATTCAGAAATATGCAGACTAGTGGACAGCCAACAAACATTAGACTCCTTGACTTAGCAATCAACCTATTCCGTTCTAAAATAGTGATCATAATATCTTATCATGGATTAGATATTGAAAAATATTATCGTTATAATCTTTTTCCTATCATGATGTTGTTTTCAAATGGTTGATCATAACACACTTGTAGAAATTATGTAATCAACGTAAATATAAATAAATAAACATGATTCTGCTGATGCTTAAACAAACATTGTATGCCTTTTCTAGTGCTACACAATACGATGTAATTTGGGTTACAAAACTGAGGTTCTATCATTGTATATTAATAGCAAGTATTTATGACATCTGATGATAGAGAAGGCATGAAAAACCTCTATTTTTAAGGGATGGAATAGAAATCACATTTAGCGATAATAATGTGAGAAAGAATATTGGCCTAGGTAATGATGGTATTGTAGATCATATCGTCATTGATAGTCTATTATGCATGAGTGCTATCCCATTTTATTGAAAAAAGCAAATCATTTGATAATGTCGTGGAAGTAATCTTTAATATTTCAATGTTGTATCATTTCTAACATTGTGTAGTCATTTATGATGGTAAGTTAATGTTTATACTATTTATTTTGCTAATGTCATTTTTCATCATATTTATTTTAGTGCAAATGATGCATCCATGATAATGATATGTGGCATCATCCTTTAAGAAATATATATTGTTCAAAATGATTGAAAATAAATTTAATATGAGGTTTATCCTAGGTTCCTTCGAAAAATTACAACTATGATTCCTATAGTTGTAGAAGTCAAACCTAAAAGTGTTTTAAGAGAAAAAACATTATTAAAAACTATCTAATTTTCTTTGCCTTGATGGACAGATTTATTATTTTAATATAGTTGGAAATTGCTCTAGATATATCTCATCAAGTAAGTTTTGGAAGAGACAATAGAATGAGAATGGATCTAGATTCAAATTTTGAAGTGGCATGGAGAAGAATTTTAGAAATTTTGTGATGAGAAAAGTATTCACCACTACTTATGATATGTTAAAACCTCTTTACAAAATAGAGCGATTGAGAGGTGGAAGATATTTTTATAATTATTTTAGTAAATATTTATTTTTTATTTGGGTCAAGGTAGTTAATAAAATATGGTTTTCATTGGATCAGTTCTCAAGAAAACGTCTATAAGAGTTGTTTTAAAAGAAGCAATCAAAATTAGACTTTTCTTCCCCATTTGGGTGTAGAATGAGCTATAAACTTTGATTCCACATGTGATAAAATAGCTGGATTAAGAGATTTTCATCATTTAAGTATGGTAAGGGAGTTTTAGTTGTTGAAGATGTGAAAATTTTTGGTTACATTGTTCTGATGTACCCTTTAAATCTAAACTATTTTTGGCCTTAGTTACTAGTTAAATAATGCCCAAGGGAAAATTTCAGTCAAACACAAAGAATTAAGTTTTTCAGACTATAAGTCATTGGATTGCTTGGTTATTGGGTATTGTAAACTTGTTCTACTATGAATAAACTTCAATGTCTTCTTGTCCAAGTGTAGGTAATCTCCCATTGAATTATATTTGAATTACTATAGTTATAAGTACTATGTCATCTGATGGGAGATGTCAGAATAGTCCAACATTATTTTAAAATGAATGACCCATCCAAAAGAATAATCCAAGTCAGAGTATAAATCATATAAGTAAAATAATAAGACTATATCCATTGTAAACCTTATTTAATGAGGATGTGAAGTGATGTGTGTATGTGTGTGTGTGTGTGTTTTAAGTGGTAAAGATCTCATAAACATTAGTTTTCAATTTCATTGGCGTACTCGGCTACCCATGATTTGGAATTATCCATCAGTAGTCCGGTAGATGGCCCGGCAAATCGCAGCTCGCCGATGGTTTCTCAAGATCTCGATGTCTCCCCCCAGCCATCACTTGGTCAACAAAGCTTCTAAACTAATTGGGCCACCATCCGTGGCTTTTGACGTTGCTTGATGGGTACAGGTAGAAAAATCGTTGGTGAGAGTGAGAGTGAGAGTGAGAGAGAGAGAGAGAGAGAGAGAGAGAGAGAGAGAGAGAGAGAGAGAGAGAGAGAGAGAGAGAGAGAGAGAGAGAGGAGAAGGGAGGTGATATAGGGTAGGAAGAGACGACAGAGGGAACTGCGACTATGGTGGATGGAGCTCTGGTGTGATGTGAAGGGGCCAAGAGGAAGATGACGGAGGTTCCTGGATGGCGACTGTGGAGGACGTAGCAAAGCTGAACGAAATTGAATTGCCTATTTCCTGAAACCCACGAGTGAAAACTGTACATTGACGAGCTATTACTAGCACTCAGCAAGAGCGAGAGCGAGAGAGAGAGAGAGAGAGAGAGGTCTATTATGTCTAGAAAACTTGAATACGTTGGAGTATGACCTTGAGAAGGGTGGCTAAATGCCAAAACAACAATATACAGATTCTCATTCAAGAAGAAAGAAAGATATGATTGTCTAAACGAACCCCTCGAGTCAGTCTTGCTAGGGGGCTCTGAGGATGAAATCGCTAACTAGGCACAACGGCCGACTTTTACGTCAATTTCCAATGGCATTCTCACATCAGTTCCTTCCATCTAAAGAGAGACCAGAAACCCTTGGAGGAGAACGTGGAGGAGGAAAATGGATACACCAGCCTTCTCCCTCGTTCAAATCTCTTCCTTTCCCACCCCTCAGGCTAGAGCAGAAGCCCCGTCCTCACCGTTTGCAGCTCTTTCTGCAGCTTCTGGACCTGCAGTTTCACGCAGCCATGCACCAGGTCCTTCATCTGGGTCTCAGCCTCGTAGGCTAAAAGCGGTGACGGCGTCATCCCGCTCATGAGGGGTGCAGCTCGTTGAGCAGCTTGGCAACGTTACGGCCGCCGAAGATCTTGTGTATGTTGGTAAACATCTGGGGTTCCTCCTGCAGGAAGTACGGGGCGAAGACACAGCCCAATCGAGGGACTGAAGAGAGTAAGCCCGAGGCGAGAGAAGATATAGGGTCGTCTTGCCCAGGATAGAAGGAGATGCCTCATTTTTATGTTCTCTGCAGCTCCACTCGTGGGGATGGGGCTCCCATAAGAACCTTGGATCGGATGACTGTTGCCAGGAGTTGTATCTCGGTGTGGGTGAGGGCTTCGGAGCAGTTAAGCCGGAAAAGATAGAGGAAGTGGAGGGGATCGTTAATTCAGTACTGGGGCACAGAGAGAGATAGAGCCACTGCAGAAGGAAGAGGGGGAAGAGGTACAGAGAGAGGGAGCAAGGGAGGGAGATGTACAGGGCGAGACGGAGAGAGAGTGAGAGAGTGAGAGAGGGAGAGAGAGAGAGACAGACAAACAGACAGAGAAGAAATAAAGGAGAGAGAAAAGAGAGGGGGGAGAGAGAAAGAGGAAAGCGATAGAGAGAAGAAAGACAGGAGAGAGAAGGGGGGAGAAAAAGAGGGAGAGATGAGGGAAAAGAGATATAGATAGAGAGAGAAAACGAGAGAAAGAAAGACCCAACCAAGAGACATATTACACGGAGTGTACAATTATTTCTTGGGAACACGAGGATATGGCTGTTAAACACATTAAACCCAATGGCTGATGGGTCACATTTTTTTTAATGTAGCCCACATGATTTATACTCCCTTATCCTTGCAAAAGACCTTGGAATCGTGCAAATTTATTGGTGCAAATGGCAGAGTCAACCTAGAACCTGTTGAATTTCTCATGCTTATATAAAGGACTAGAGAAAAATCTTTGTGAGACCTGGTCCCAACCTGGCCACTTGCTTATAAGTGAGTCAACTTTGGACGACCTAGGTGCAGAGGATACAACCATGACTTGACTTTGGGCCTTCTTCAATCCTTTGACCCTATGAAGAATAATGAAATAAACTACATGTATTGTACTGGATAAAATATACCTTTGTGTCTTTATCCATAACTATTTGGTACTAAAAATTCTAAAATATATTGAATGCTATTGCATGTTGATGGAATCTTTACCAACAAAATCACTAAGTAATAGATTTATTTATTAAATATATATATATATATATATATATATATATATAATTTTATCTTGGACTTATCAGTTAGGAACTTGGTACTTGTAACATAGCACCCAACTTCTGTCAAATGTAAGTTATTTTTAATATATATATATATATATATATATATATATATATATAAACGTATACATATATAAATGATGAGGGAGTTACAAGCTATCTCACAATATTTACACCCCTAGATCACTCGATCTTCTTTTCTATCCTTGGGTTCTTTCCTTGGTGACTGAAAATGGTTAAATTATGGGTATATTTAATTGATAATCATTTAATATATTTCCGATTTATTAAACTAAAAATACTTTTTCTAATGTAAAGTTAAATTAATGATCATATCTTTTTAATTCCCCACAACTACTATACCTAGTTTTTTCTCCTTAAAACAAATCAGTGTGCTTAATATCTCGTATATGCAAAAAATACTCAATTACCCATGCGATTATATTATCTATCCTCCTCCTCCTCTCTCTCTCCCCCCTCCTCCAATGCAACGGAGACACGCTCTAATGGAGACAATGAAGGGAGATACAGAGCCGACGACCTCTCTAGTCGCCTTGTTTCTCTTAACGGCGAATGGGCTCATTCTCCACCTCTCTCTCTCTCTCTCTACATCGGGGAGCAGAGAGAGAGAGAGAGAGAGAGAGAAGAGAGAGAGAAGAGAGAGAGAGAGAAGGGGAGGGAGAGGGAGAGGGAGAGAGAGAGAGATGCCAATATTGTCTACGTAAAATTGATCGGGAAAGGCATGAAAAGAATAATAGGACGAGGGATTAGGAAAGGAAACTTTTTAAAAGGTTACAAATAAACAAATCATAAATGAAATCGTATAATAATAATAATAATCTGCCGTCATTCCGCTCTGGTTTGATTGGTACACGTGGATCATCTGAATTCGGTTGCCCTTTTGCACAATCAGTCAGATTTCCTTTCATGTGCAGTCACCTCTCCCCCGTACGCCAGCTTCTGGCCGAGCTGCGGAGGGAAATCAGGTGGCTCCGCCGATTCTCTTCAGGTATCTCGCCGTATTAACTCCGCCAGTTCCCCAGTAGGTTCCTCCTCCCTCACCTCCCTCCACCTCCTCTCTCTCTCTCTCGCTATCTCCGTGTATCCTCTGTTGAGAACTTGAAAGTACCAATTTTCTTCGCTGAAGCCTTCTTGGGTCACCTACAAGGTATGCGGCTTGTGGTGTTTATCTGCTTCACAGTGGCTTACTGCCCGTACCTGGAACTGACGAGTATTCAGCCTGAGCGTGGATCAGCAGTAGAACTTGGATGACCCAGTTTCTTGGCTTGTTATCATTGTTGGTGCCCCTGTAAGTGATTGGCCGGGCTTCGACTGCATCTTGTCAATTGAAGGGTTAGGTTTGACCACCCCACCAGGAGACAATTACCATGCCACATAGGGGGTTTCACCGAGCCGAATCTGGCTTTAGCGCCGGACTTTCTTTTATTCTATATTCCGCTAGCTTTCCTTCTTCTCTTTAAAGACAGGGAACATGTTATGTCCCTTAATTTTCTCTTTCTGGCTTCATGGGTATCAAAATTCTGGGTCAGCGTCCAAGGACTGGATTGGTACATTGATGACCATGGTTTCCCGGTAATGTGGATGATCTTCGAAGTCGTCTTAGGAATCATACCTTGAGTATAAACGTTTTAAATATGTCGAACATCTGAAGATATTTCTCCAGCTGAAGTAAGGCAGCTTAGCATGTAGGTGGTGCCATTTTTCTTCATGAGTTGTATTTTTTCTGGGATTCGGACTTGTCGGGTGATACCATCCGAAACTATAAGGTAATCAATTCCTACTTAACTACCATTGTTCATTATGCGTATATGCTTTAACTGACGTTGCAATTGACAAATATGTGTTACTTGTATTGTAAGAAAAAACACATTTTTTTTGACAGTTCTTCTGAACCGATTTTTTTTCCAGACTTTATGCACGTTATTTGATAGTAGCTTCTCTTACTTACAAATAGAACTGTTGAAGTTGTATCAATTCGGGTCTAATTTATTTCTACAATTCAGGAGAACAATGCATGCCGTCAATTTAGGGATACTTTTGCCTTTCTGACACCGGGCTATTTTAATCTCAAATGGCGGGCCTGGAAGAGTTAAAAAAGAAATTGCAGCCATTGTTTGACGCTGATAAAGGATTGCCAGGTGGATTGGCATTGGATCCATGCGACTCATATATGGTAATACGCTTTAAAGAAATTGCTTGTATGACAATTGCAAGATGATACTATTTGGATTTAAATCCCCAAGCAGCACTGGGACTTTATTTTTATAATTCATAAATTTCAGAAAAAAACACTCTTTCATTTTGCTTATAAATCTCAGAACAGATACAATATAATTTTTCTTCTCTGTTGCTACCGAAGAGATCTGGAAATAGATGATTAAGGGTGGCAGACCATTGGTAGGGGCTTGCCAATGTTTGGGATAGTTTCCAGTCACTATATCCAGAAATGGAATTGTGAATCAAATCTGCTGGCTGATTGGCTGGCTGGTTCTGATCCTATATTAAGGTTTGCTAAATGAATCTGTCTAGGAGAACGAACCCTTGATATAATTAGATGATAAATGCGCGTATGTTCATTTTTTTTGATTTATATGCATATATTATCCTAATATAGTATTTGAGAAGGCAAAATAAAGACACACGAGCAGTTCAGCTCCTAAAATGAAATCCAAATAAGGGCATTTGATTTGACAAGGACCAGTACATCTGCTATGTCACGTTCTGCTAAATGTCTATGGACGGTTCAATAGTGGATTATGGAAAATGGATTTTTTGAATCAGATAAAAATTGTGTAAGAGAATCATGCATGCATTGAACCTTCTAATTCCTTCGTTTTTACAGATTTGGAATGATGTCCAAGAAGAGCAGACCTTTTTGTGTGTTAATTCAATTTCTACTTAATAATGGGTGTAAAGTAAAGTTTTGGGAGAGTATTGTGCAAACAAGTCGGCCATTTCGGTGACCTCCTCTTGCCTTTACGACTTAGCAATGGACGGAGTAACGATGAATATAAACTATGAAACACAGGAACGTATATGCCACGCTATATTTATATGGTATTGCGCAGATATTTCTTTTAATTGATCTAGACCTCTCAGATGTTTCCGAGAGGTCTAAAGCATATAATTAGGAAATTCCATTAAAAAAATTTGATTTTTCTGTGCTCAACCCCCCACATCTTTAAGGAGCAATTGTAGTTTTCCATGTTCAATTTAAGTTGTAGTCCCAGTGTCTTCAGTGTTGGTTTTAGAGATGTAGAAGACTATGGATTGGAGATGAGATCCTAGAGGTAAGTTCTTAGTTAGAGTATTCAACTTAAGGGGAATGGTAATGGTTTTGAAGCTTCTTGTAGGGAATTATGATGGGAGAAGTTTCTCGAAGAAGTTGATCAAGATTTTCCTGCGGAATATCACTGAAGACAGTTAGTCTTTCCCAAGGCTGCATCATGCCTCTCTTTTCTGTGGAGGGCAGCCTGATATCATTGAGGTTTTTTTTTTTTTTGACCCAGAAAATTAAATCATATGGAGTTCTATTCCTTGCACCTTGGGTATAAGATGTCCGGAAGAGTATATGACAATGTGCTAGTCAAAGAGTCTCCTACCTAAGACATTGCCTCATGGCCGAGTCAGGGAGGAGGGCATATGAGTGAAATCAAAATATATTTTGAGGCAATTGCGAAAAAAATAATCGGTCCTGTCAACTCAGTTTCATAGAGGGGGATAAAATGTTTCCTTACAAATCCTGCAAGGAGGAACTTAAACTCGTTCCTGGCTGCACGCTAGTTTCTGCTTAAACTAGTCTTTCATTTTGTTGTGCTATGCCTAAGCTATCAGATGGATGGATTGAGCTCTACTGAGTCTACTTCCTAGTGTTTGTGGGTTTCTCACTGAACAGCTCCAAGCCGAGTTCTGTACTGGCTATTAAGTTTTATGTTTCTATAAGCTGTGCTATTCCTCCATCTTAGAAGAAATACTATAGAGGGATTTTAGCATCTCTCGATTGTTATTTTGGCTCCCTAATTATAGTGATATTTTTTCCATCCTAAACTCACGATTTTGTCGTTGGATTTGCCCAATAACTAGAGCACAGTATGAGAGTTGCTCGCACCAATGTCTAAAGTGACACTCCTTAGTGACCGTTTCTTTCTAAAATATATAAGGTTGATGACTGGCTGTAAGCGTTGGTGAATCATAAAGCATGTCAACCTCGCCATCTTTAAAGGACTATGCACTTTTTAATGCTTTCTGTCTAGTCATTGGTACTGATGTGAAGTTGCATATTCTATCTTGCTGCAGAGCTTTCGTAATATGACATTTTTTTTTTTCCTTAAAGCTCTCAGATGGGAGTACAGTGAATTTATTGAGCCAATCCTATGGTGTTTACAACATCAATGAGCTTGGCTTGCAAAAACGCACTGGACCTCTTGATGAACCAGATGCTGGTGAAAGGACATATCGATGTGCTTCCAATGAGATGCATGTATTTGGAGCCATAGGGTATGGGGCAAGCAGTATCGTCCAGAGGGCTATTCATATACCTGTTCATCGAATCCTCGCACTGAAAAAGATAAACATATTTGAAAAGGTTGATCTTCTTCCTGCTGCGATTTTACGATGGCATTCACTGGAATATTAATCTTCAGATTCATTGAATGTATTATCATCTTATTTACCTTAGTTTTATTTTCAGCCAAAAAGCCAGGAGTCTGCAACCTGATGTAGCCCATACAATATTAGAAATTTGAGCAATCCTACAACTGTTGCTTGTAGACCCTTTTAATTTTCGATTTTTTGTGCTTCTTATTTCTTTTGAAGGCTTTAACCATCTGTTTAGAGTATTCAATGAAACTGGCATCTATTTTGATTGAATTGACTTCTTTAAGCACAAATTCAGGTTGCCGTCAAGTTGTACATGCAGTTGTTCTTTCTCTATAAAGACTTATAGTCTTTAACATATAGAACCTTGGTTTTATGTGCTAGGTCTGACAGGGCCTTTCTAAAGGCAAATATGTTGAGATCACTTATTTATCTCATTTTCCATTAGACCGTTGGAAGTTTATGTTATCATGGGGCCTTTTGTCTATTCATAGCACTTTTGGGAGCAGAAGCAGTTTCTTCTTTCTTGTAAAAAGAGTTGGGTTTTTTGGTACATCTGGCGTAAAGTCTTTTCTTAACATCATTTATCTGCCTTTTCAAGGAAAAAAGACAGCAACTTCTCAATGAGATAAGGACGTTGTGTGAGGCGCCTTGTTATGAAGGGCTTGTGGAGTTTCATGGAGCATTTTTCACCCCTGATTCAGGGCAGATCAGCATTGCATTGGAATATATGGATGGAGGTTCACTTGCAGATATCTTGAGGGTGCGGAAATTTATTCCAGAGCCGATTCTTTCATGTATGGTTCAGAAGCTATTGCACGTAAGAGCTAGCTGAAGTTCGATTACTCTTTTCAGTCTGTTTAAAGAAGTTTCCAGACCATGGTTTTGAGCTACTTCTGATTTGTAGGGATTAAGCTACTTACATGGGGTAAGGCATCTAGTTCACAGAGACATAAAGCCTGCAAATCTACTAATAAATCTCAAGGGTGAACCAAAGATAACTGATTTTGGGATAAGTGCTGGATTGGAGAACTCTGTTGCTATGGTATGCAATAAATCTCATATGCATTTGTCTTCTATAAATTTGATTTTTCTTTCATTTCATTTATTTTAGTTTAGTAACTTTAAGGACATATGTTCATCCTATTTGACGAGCATCTTTTGTTCATGTTTCTTCCTTTTCATTCTTGGCATCACGACCATCTGGTATAAGTTTGCTTAACATTTCTTTGAATGTGATCCATCAGTGCGCTACATTTGTTGGAACTGTAACGTACATGTCACCTGAGAGAATCAGGAACGAGAGTTATTCCTATCCTGCTGACATTTGGAGTCTCGGTATTGCTTTATTTGAGTGTGGTACTGGTGAATTTCCGTATGCTGCAAATGAAGGCCCTGTTAATCTCATGTTGCAGGTCAGAGAGAGATTATTTTTATTATCATGTATTTCTCTGGATTATTTTTATTTTTTCTACCATGATTTTATTTAGTGCACTGCATATGGTATTTTTTTTCTGAAGAGAAACATTTAGAGAGCATTTTCTAGTTTTAAGCTGGGAAACTGACTGGGCTCCTTTTCCTTGGCTGCTTTTGCTATCCATTGATTTCTTTCCAATTCTCGCTCCATCGGATTTACACTAACCATATTGGAGATATTCCTCTTCCCTTCTTTTATGTGACGTGATGGGAGAAACAACAAAGGTGTTGTGCTAAAGTTTGAGCAGAACCTTGTCTTGTACTTGGCAAGGATAGGCCTGCCTGAAATATGAATGAGGACCTCAAGTTGAGGCTTGGAGATTACTGAGAAGCAAAGAAATGTTAGGGTTTAGAGATGATGTGGTGGATTCATGTCCCTGGACCAGATGACAGGTCTTTGACATTCCAAGGAGACTGATTTAGTCTTCTTTGGTGGGGGTGTATATTGGTTGTAAACTATAGTATCCTGAAGAAAATAATTGCCAAGTTAAAGGACAAGATCACTTGGAAGATCACTCGTAGGGTTTACACCACTCAGTGTTATAGCTCCAGAAATCTTCTCCAACCATCAGTGCAAGAACATTTTGTTACCCCGAGTGTTGTCAAATATTTCCCTGAATTTGTCCAAATAAATATTTACTTCCTTTTTTCAATTGCATAAAAGCACAACGGCAAAAGTATAACTCCAAATCAATGAGTTACAGGTCTTCATTAGGGATTTACTACGGTTTCTAAGGTCCATCAGAAATTTATTCATTGTTATTATGTTTCTTAGATGTCTACTTACCGAGGCTCACTCAGTTGAAAGAGAAATTGGTATCTTTGGTATCGTAGTCATTGTTGTAATAACTCACATCTCATGCAGAAATTTAGAACCTTCCTTCCTGACTAGTGCAAAATGTTCCGTCCAGATTGGAAAATATGTATCTATTTTCTCTAAGAAAGAAGCGTTTAAGGAAAACCTTTTCATGACCCGTGGTATGTCTCCACTTTATTACCTATACAATATTGAACAAGTTGCTTGATCTGCTATTACTACTTGGAAACTGAATTCCTGACTGGTTGGAAATGGAGCCTCCCTGGTGAGTATTCACAACTTCGTGGTGTTTTCATCCAGACCGTAGGATCAGCGAAATTCCAAAAAAATAGAAAATTGAGAAGAGAATACAGAAAAATCGTATAGAATACCATTGTACAAACATTTCATTCTTCTTGTAGAGTAGTCGACGTCAAGGGTGGATAGGGTTACCAAGAACCCTTAGGCAGATGGACACTGAAATGCTCCATGCAACAGAGGATGTTGCTGATGTTAGTTGATCTCTATGAGAAGATCTAAATTTTCCTGTCGCCAAAATGTGCCATGAAATCAAGAAAAGTTGGAAAATAGATGTTTTGGCATTTCAAAGAATTATTTTTATTTTTGAGCATACAAATTTGTCAACTCTCATTCCATCTGCTGGTGCATCATTTCCTCCGATGGCAGATTTTGTATGATCCATCGCCAACTCCTCCAGAAAACTCATTTTCTCCCGAGTTTTGCTCATTTATAGATGCTTGCCTACAGAAGGATGCTGATGCAAGGCCGACAGCTGAGCAAGTAAGTGAAGCCTTGCATTTTAATTAATTTTTTTGAAAGGTGGATAACAATTGCTCCACGAGCATCATCCAAGCTATGTAATTGGTCAACTCCAAGTTTGTCTAATGCAATGTAAAATATGGAATCAAGCTTTTCTATCCATTTGACACACTCAATTGGTACTTCTGGCGAATTATCAGGAGCATGAGCAAAAAAATCAGCTTATAAAGTTAATCAGAGTATTATCTAGCTTCCTATTCCGAGGATACAGGCAGGGTGACTTTTGCTTTCCAAAAAAAATTTCATGATACATAATGATCATATTGGACAAAGTCAATGCCCCATATCCTCAATATTCTCATTATTTATCATGAAATTCATAATTCATGCCTAGGTAAGATACAACTATATGGGCACTTCAACATAATTCAACGCTAATAAAGCTGCCAGGAAATGTGTGGATAAATACCGGGGTGGTGCATGTGGTGCTGAAGATCTTAGGAAAAATCCCTAATTTCTTGAAAGTTAAGTGATTATCTGTGCCTCAATTGCGTAGATTCCATCTTAATATGGCCAATACCCTTTTGAAGAACAGAGTTGTCTCCTTCTTTTGTTTCTGGCTGTTCATAACTTCTTACAAGGAACACTGATCCGATTCACCCATGGTCGATTCCCTTCACACACACAAATATTGCAGCTATTGGCGCATCCATTCATCAGGAAACACGAGAACACAAGAGTAGATCTCGCTGCATTTGTCCGGGGCATCTTCGATCCAACTCAGAGATTGAAAGAATTAGCTGATGTGAGCTCCTCTACTAATCACCCTTTCTCATCCTACCTCCACTGGAATCCTTCATACATTTATTGCTATTTTTGCAGATGTTCACAGTCCACTACTACATGCTTTTCGATGGGCCCGACGACCTCTGGCCGCACATGAAGACCTTCTACAACGATCACTCAACGTTCAGGTTGGTGCCCTATCTTAACACTACAAACCCCAAAACAGTATGGCCTCTGGGGATCTCACCAATGGACTGGCCTGGTAGCTTCTCGGAGAAGGCCTCCGTCGGCTCGGACGACATCTTGGCAAGATTATCAAGCATAAGGAGTGCCCTGGTGGGGAGCAGGCCGAATGAGAGGCTTGTGCATGTGGTGGAGAAGCTCCAGTGCCGCCCTCATGGCAATGATGGAGTGGCCGTCCGGGCCTCTGGGTCATTCATTGTGGGCACCCACTTCCTGATCTGCGGAGACGGGGTGCAGGCCGAGGGCATGCCGAGCCTCCGGGAGCTGCTGCCAGATATGGCCGGCAAGCGGCTGGGGACTTTCCGAGAGCAATTCACTGTGGAGCCAGGGGGCACCATCGGCTGCTTCTTCGTTGCCAAGCAGGAGCTGTACATTCGCCAGCCGTAGAGAACTACTGCTTACTACTAACGAGGTTGACACTAAGAAGACTCCTGTAGATGAACACATGGTATCGAGTGAACCCTTGGAACTCGTTTATCCTGTCACTAATGAGTAAGAATGTGAGATAATGTTCACAAGATCGAATCTTGCATATCCTCATTTGTGACATTTTATTTGATGTGGAGTACTTGCTCCTTACCCTTCTGGGAAAGTCACCCATTTGAGGGGAAAGGAGAGCAACAAAATGAGGGAGAAGGGGGTCGAGGCCAAGTAATCACTTATTGAATGATGTGGGTCGGTCTGAGTCTAAATCTGCAGTGCAGCGGCGATGGAGCCAGCAAGGCTGAGGACTTCGAAGGGCCGCTTGTTCTTCACCTCCTTCACTGTGAGCGGGCAGGAGTCCGTTATCCAGAAGAAGCTCAGGCCCTCATTTGGGCCAACTGGCAACAAGAAACAGAAGGGGGTTGGTTAAACCGAGTGCATCAAGAAGTTGTTAACGCCTGAAAAGATTTGATTGGGTGGTGAATGATATCTGAGAACTATCTGTTTTTACATGAACAACATTCAAGTGTGGAAGAAAACTATGGGCTCTGCCCGACTGGATAAGAAGCCCATAAATGGCTGAAAATCAGGTTTCTCTTTTTCCGGGAATTAAATATATATATATATATATTTTGTTTTACTGTTTGATTATCTTTCCAAGTGGGTAAAATGAAGCACTAATAATAACCTAACAAAAAAATAGTGGAAATAAGAAAAAAACTTAATTATGTAAGCTAATTTGTTAGAAGCAAGATATCCCTGAATGAGAGGGTTCAAGATTATAATAAACGTCAATAATTGAAATAAAAGGATCTGTGATTTGTTTTTTTAAAATCCCTGAATACAAAGCTGAAGAGAAGAAATTTCTTCACAAGATCTCCACTGCCCTACTCTCAATTGGAAAATCCTTCTCAGTGAGCAAAACTGATACTAAATGTAACCACTTTAGTGAGCCATTATGCTTAATCCTTACCAACACAGCAAATTTCCATTTATATCAAGTTAATAATAATCCCTTGAAGTCATATCACCTCATATATCTATCATTAGTAGAGGATGACTTAGGCTGAGAAAATATGACTAAAATTTTCGGTAAAAAAAAATCTCATAAAATTTTAACTCAAAATGTTAGTACATGAAAAAAGTTTTTCTTTTACAGTAAAAAAAAAATTAAAAATGAACTAAGCAGAATGAGAAAAAACCAACATACTCGGTTTATAAGAGCATAACATATGCATAATCATAAGAAGAATGTTATTTTACAAGTCCAATTATTAAATCAGTTGAGAGAAATTCATGAATATGGACATTTCTACACTACAGAATGGGCTAGACCAAAATTATCCACTTGAAGAGGCTGTTACCTCCGTTGTCATGCTGAAACCGTTCCCATGACCTGTTAGGGAAGATTCCATGTGTCACATAAGCGCTGATTTTCTTAGCCCCATGAGCAGCCAATACTTTCTGAAACGTTAGAGACAGTCTTAGAACAGCTCAAACTCTCAAGTTGGAAGAAGCCCACTGAAAAACAACGGCCACATGAGCCTCATTACACTGCCTTGAAAACTGGATTCATATCGTGTTTTTTTTCTGAACATGGCAGCAGTGTTCTTCACTTAATGCAGAGGTCGGTGAGCTTTGGAGACATTTCCAAAAAAGGATATTAGGGTACCTGACACTCGATCAGCGTACCACCGGATTGTACTAGATCGTCAACTATAACAACATGACGACCTCTGGGATCTCCCTCCTTGAGACGTACGATCCTCTGATCTCCTTCCCGAACCTTTGTGCAAATAATCTGCAAGTTCCTGATTCACTCTGAGTAAAATTTGCACAGCGAGAGGGGAATAATGGCTCTGAATGAAGCAGTGCTCAGCTATGGACAGTACTGTTGGGAAATGCTGCAGCAGTGTATTGAATCTCTTCCATGCACCATCATCTGGGAAAGCTATCGATATCTGGAGATGGCAGATTCACGAATGAGGCACGGGTCTAGCAAACCATTTCTAGTTATAATTGGAAGAAACTCGCACCATGCTCCTTAGGAGTAGACTGAGATACAGAGTGAAGCAATCTCATCGGGTTTTTACCTCCGGACAGAGAAATTTATGCTAAAGGAAGAGTTCGATCGTTGCCGGGTTCTAGAGAACCTACATTGTCTGAATCCGGAAGCTCTTGAAGCCTGTTCATGAGTAGAGGCACTCCACTCTCGAAGCATGGCAGCACGTTATCCCCAAAATAGAATCTCTCCTGAAGAGGACGATAGAGCCGCAGAGCAAAGAAGTCAGAGGATACTCGACCTTACATGCAGTAACACCAATGGAAATGAACTCCAAGTGAAGAACCTGGAGGGCATGGATGTCGTAGATGACGAGGCTGGTCGGTCCGCCCCTGGAGATGGGTATGCTGGAGAGAATCCTTGCCAGTGTGAATGCGGTGGCAACGTCGCCCTCCTCCTCCATCCTCTCCGAGGTGCCGGTGGGGAAGAAGGGGAGGACGACGGTGAAGGAGGAGATGAACAACCTGGGCAGCGCGTAGATGACGGAGAGTTGCTCGAAGATTACTCGAGGCGAGCTGAAGGATGCCAAGAAGGCGACGTGTTGGCCCCGTATTCCCTGGCCGTTGGGGATGAACAGGTTGGGGAAGCCGTCCTCAAAGGTCCTGCGGAACAGAAATCGAACAAGGCGGAGAAAGTATTACTAGAATCACACAGAAAGAAAAAGGAATCAGAAGAAAGGAAGATCTGCTCAGCGAATCCAGCGACCTCCAATTGATGCTGCGAAGTTCAATGGCATCGCTCTCGGCAGCGACGCGTTCGGCTAGGGCACGTGTTTCCTCGCAGAAGAAGAGGCAGACGGTCTTCCTCGACCTCTTCGGGGGCAAGGAGAAGGCCACAGACGGTGCAACGGCGGGGCTCAAAGAGGAAGAAACCGCCAAGTGAGTGTCAGAGGAAGAGGACGACGACGAGGACGGAAAAATCCGGAGGTGATGGGCGGCGCTATCCTTCTCGGACGAGAACCCAATCCCGCTCGCCAGCTCCCCGCGGATCCGGCGAGTCCCAGGGGCGCTCTCCCGCCCATCCTCCCGCTGCCTAGGAAGCAGAAGCAAGGACTGGCCGGAAAGCGCCGCCGGGGCTCTGCGTTGGAGGGTGGAACCTGGTTGCGGAAGAGGGATCCGACAAGAGAGAGCCGCCGCCATCTGGTCGCCGGCGACCAAGGGGGGCAGCGTCGGAGAAGTTTATGAACTTCTCGTCTTCCCGAAATGCCCCCTGCTCGCCTGGAATGAGCTCCCAGGCCACCAACCCCACTCACGTGGAGGTTTACGCGGCGCCAGGCAAAGAAAAAGTCCTCTCAAAACGCCGCCGGTAGGTCCCGGCGAGGAGGGAGAGCGGCCCAGTCGACGGAAACGTGGGACATTGGGGTCGCCTGCTAGAGATGCTGCAGAGAATCCCCTGAATGAGCATCGAGGTGAGAGGGAGGAAGAGGGGAGAACGGGCGAGACGGAGGAAGACAGTCATAAACCCCGAAGCTCCGGGGGAGACCGCGGTAAAAAGACTCTTTTTTTCATAAGAAAAATGCATCATCAAAAGTTTTTCTCTCCATTTTTAATCAGATCATAACAAAGTGCAGTTTTTTGGGTGAAAAGTGGCTTGCTGTCTTGATAAAACATTGAAAAGCTGAAATTTCAAAAGAGTTTGTTCAAAGAATTACGAAAAGGGTGACCATATTAGTGAATAAAGGAGGAATCATAGAAAGTCATAACACTTCATCTCCAGTCCCCATTAAGAAAAAACTCTGGATTCCTAACTTAAACCTTGGATATTGATGTGGAGGATCATTGCAACAAGAATACATGCTTTCATGTTATTTTTACTTTAAAGATATCATGTTATCACTATGCTTTAAGTTGTGCCATATAAATTCAGCAACTTTGTCAAAGAAAAATTTAAAAGAGGAAATCAAAGTTCGAGACAACCGATAGAGAGAAATTATAAAATCATATGATCTCCATGATGAATATTCCAGTAATGACTATGACAAAGGAAGGGTACTTAACGAGGATGGAGTGATCATATTTTGTTAGACATTCACCACCACCATTATGATATTTTTACCACCATATTTTGAAAGTACTTCAGTGAAGTTGACTAACACATCCTCTTAACCTACTTTGAAATCTGAAAAGGTTGCAATAGACTAATTGGGGGGAAGAGTCTATATCTTATTTAGTTGATAAGTTGAGCATTAGAATATATAATCCTTGGTTTGTCATTTTATCTATTTCTAGAATATTGTCTTCAAAAAAGCCAATTATAAATATGAATGAATCACATGTGTCCACTGATAATACCATCATGATAACCTTTGAAGGTGTAGGAAATAAGGATGAGTGAGAAGCAAGGACAACTAAACATTTATGAAGTAACATTCTTTGACAAAGTGAATATTGTGATGGTGTGTATTCTCTACATGCCAAGGCCTTGACTATCTTCGCAAGGTTTCTCTTTTTATTATTTTAAATGAAGACATGTAATACCACCTCTAATTTGACCTCAAATTTTTTTACTATCCTCGATAAGGCACTGATGTATTTATTCTCTAATCCCTGCTTACATTAAATTTTAAATTTAAGATGACTTTAAACCTACTTCTGATAATTCAAGACAATATTTGATTACTTCAATACAAAATTCAAATTAATTTGGTTAGTATCAATCATAAATCATTGAGATGCTAGTTAGTACTTTTATGCTTCCTAGTATAATTATCATAAGTTCTTATTAGTAATTCAACTTTACCTAGTTTTTTTCTAATAGGAGTTGTTTGGAATGCATATATTTTGTAGCACGATAACTCTACTTTCTTATCTATAGGAATCTACCTCAACTTCAGTTTTAGAGTGAAGTTGGTTACTCTTGTTTAAGATAAGGTCTCTTTAAGGAGTTGGAAAAATAATTGTACTGCTTTATCCCACTTTTAAGTATCTATCTTAAGTCATCATGTTAGAGATTGGATTATTATCTCAAAGTGGATTATAATTTACAAGAATAACATACAAGTTTGAAAAATCCCTCTAATTTGCAAAAAGTTAAAGGTTAAGGTCATTAGAACATAATTTTAACCTTACCATGACCACTTAATCAATAAACACCGAGAGTGCGAGATAACAATCTTCCACTACCCAAATCGGCCTTTTTTGATGCCTATACATAATAAATTATCTTCTTACTATCAGAATACCTATTCCACATGTTGGATGTGTGATGTTATTGAGTTTCTATAGATGAGTATACTATTGAAGAGTATCAAAATAAAGTTTTGAAGGAAAAATCTAAAATCTTGGTTCACTACTATTTCATGTGTTCTGGGTTCATTGGAAAAACCCAAAATAGACAATGATGACTTATAATGCCTTTCATGGGTTCAAAATGACTTATTGTACACATCTTGTTCAATCATCCTTATTTGATGATATCTTGATTGTAAGTCTAATTTGAAAAACATGGTCATCCCATGTAACTCATCTAAGAAATACTTAACATTGGGCACTAGGAACTTGCATAAAATCATAACTTAACTTAACACTATGTAGTCTACACAAAATCAACATTCACCATTCTTCTCTTTGATTAAGAGGGTTTGACTAACCAATGGGTTGATTGACAATTTGATGAAATTGGTGGAGCTCATATTTTATACTAGTTTCTTGATGATGCTTTTCTAAACATTTAGATATTGATAAGGTCATATTTTGACAAATTCAATGGTTAGTCAATATCATATTGATGAGATATGGGTATTGGCGTCATGAATAGTTTTAAAAAAAATCTACTAAAACTATTATATAAAAGAGAATTACATTAAAAGTTTTTCAATTGGTGTCTTAATCTCAAGGAGATATAACTAGAGGAGGCTGATTGAATCTTTTCTGTTGTTGTAAAGAAAATTTAGTAAATTTACAATTTATAAATGCTGAAAATAAGCTAATTTAGAGTAATTTAATTTTATAGAGGTTTTCTAAGTTGAACGTAAGGAAGATTAAAAAAATAGTTAATTATATTTATAATTTCTAGTTGATAGATTAACTTTTTAGATTTTTTTATTATAAAAATTAATAAAAAATAATTTTGAAATAAAAAATTAGAGATTATGACATCAGCTTATGAAAAACACCCCCAAATTTTATACATGGATTTGTATTTCTCAAAATCAAAGTTAAAATACTTTCAAACAAACTTTGATTTAAAAAGAGAAATTATTTATAACACAATTTGGAATTGAATAAAACTTTTTATAAATTAAAAAGAAAGTAAAATCATGTAAAGATTCATGTTTTACAGAAGAATGGATGGAATAGTCGATGATTGAATTTTTGACCGAATTTGACCAAATTTGTGCAGGCATGGTGCACTAAATAGATTCCTACACAATCTCTAGTTGATGAATGATGATCCCAACAACTATCAATTGCTAGAATCGATTGACGGTAGTGGTTTAACTCCGAAGGTGTTGTACCATTTGGAGAAAGATCATTGGAAATTTTTTTTCACCGTTTGTGTTGAGCAAAGAATGTGATGAGTTAGTATATGAAGTTCAACTTGCATAATAATTGAATTATAGAGAAATCAAGATAAAATCTATCATTTGTATTGGATGGATGATTTGGGCGAGTTTGATGTTCGTCATTGTAGGAGGAGAGAGAAAATAGTTGTGAGGAGTGATAGATTGATCAAAAGATGCCCCATTCTTCTTCCCCCAGCATTTTTCCATCTTTTTGTGCATTAATTTCGTCGATTTCATCAAATCATCCACCATACTTCTTGCTAAATTTGTTATGTTTGTTGTTGATCTGGAAAACCTAAAAAAAGAAATTAGTCTCATATTTTAATTTATTATATTATATTATTATTTACTATAATAACCTCAAGAAAATTCAAGACAATTCAAGAAAAATTTAGAAATAAATACAATGAATATAGAAGAATTTTGATAATAATAGTGATTATTGGTATAACCTATCAAAATAATTCATGGTCAATTTCATCATATAATTTCTAGAAATTAGCAATATAATCATATAAATAATTTTAATATCATTTTTTACTTCTTTACTAAGAAGGTAAACACAACTCTCCCTAATGAGTTCCAAAGATTTATAGTTTAAAAATGACCCTCCAAACTTGTTTCTATTTGTGCTCTTGTTGGTGGATGAGACAAGATGAGTTCTTTCTATCCTCATTGTGAGTTCCTCTAAAAAACCCAAAGATTGTCATCATGAGGTCTTGCCAACTTAGGGTTTCCATCTTTCTTCCATTAGCTGCAGCATCTTCATGAATTTATAAAGCCCCACTAGCTTGAACATTTTCAACTCTAAAATAATTGCCTCTAATCTTTTGATAAACATATTTTACATAATGTACTTGGAGATTTTATGTAAAGATATGAATAGGATCTTTAAATCATGCCTATAGTCAGCCACATTTCCTCATAATTGATGTTGAGAAACTTGCAATAAAGGTTTGTCTGAGCTAGCCTATGAGCAATTATATCTTCAAGTTGTGCTATTACTTGAATGAGTGATGACAATTGGTCTAAATGAATCATAGAAATACATCCTCTTTGGACCCATCATTATTATTTGCATCTTATCATGCTTGGGTGATTCATTGATAGTGAAGTATAGTTCTCTTTGAACTAGTTAATCATCAGACCTCTCTGTAATAAAGTGGAATGTCTAATGGACAATCTTGATCTCTATTTGTGTATAGATCATTAAACTAGTTGTTATTACTTTCCCTTTCTTCTCATGTTATAACCTTGACCTTCATTTGATTTTTCTATTGTATTAGTTGACTGAACATATGATGCAACAGTAATGCTGAAGATAAATAAGACTACTTGAATCCACAAAGCTTTGATCTTGGGAAAGAAATCAGCCTCTAAATTCATAGGTTCAGAGTCTTCAACTCTTGAATTCACAAGGGGGTGCTTGAATCCACAAGCAAGAGGGAAAGGTTCTTACAATAGAGAAAATTAATTCAACTAAAAAAGTGAGTACTTTCAGTTACAATGGGAGCCTTTACTCCTTAAAAGAGGCAAATGAGGTTGAACACTCCTTAAAAGAGGATCTTGACAAATTCTGGGTATAGAGTGTGAACTAATTCTAAAATGACTTAAAACAGTCTCTAATAGATTGAGATCTTAGTCATATCCTCTAAAAATACTCTAATTAACTCTAAAAGGACCTAAAATAGACTCTAATAGGTTGATATACTAAACAGATTAAGTACAAACTCTATTAGTTAGAGATCTTGAATAGATCTTAGGTATAGATTGAATAATATTAAAGTCTTTTTTAGAAGGAAAGAGACATATAGTACCATCTAAAAGTGAAAGGACATAAAGTAGAAAATAAATATTACTTTTCAGACTTCCAACCTAATAGAGACATATGTGGGCTCCTTTTTTAGCACTTCTAAATTATGACCCAAATTTAAGATCAGTGGGTCCAAATTCAAAGTTGAAACTTCAACTTATATCTTGGGCTACATCAATCTCTCCTTCTTTAAGAAAACTTGACCCCAAGTCTTCATTTGAATCGTCGTAGTACTCATATGTCACTAACATTGAATGTGGGTGAAATGATCATATTTGGTGGGAGCTCAATGAGATATGCATTGTCATTGATCTTCTGTAGAACTTGATATAGTCTATTTTTCTTTAGCTTTAACTTATTGTAGTTACTTGTTGGGAATCATTTTTTACGAAAGTACATCATCACTTTGTCTCCAACTTCAAATATCTTCTTTCTTCTTTTTTTATCTGTTGCTATTTTATATTTCTCAGAATTTATTATAATATTGTGTATCACATCTTTATGAAGCGTTTTGATATGATCTACCATATTGTTTGCAATAATATTAGTTCCAACTGATCTTGGTACTTGTAATAGATCAAATGAAATTATTGGAGGAAAATAATATACCATTGAAAATATAGATTGGTTAGTCGAATGATTAATCATCAAATTATAAACAAACTTTGTTTGAGCCAAAGCATAATTCTATTGTTTTGAATTTTCTCCTTAAATACAACAAATCAAATTGTCAAGAGTTCTATTCACAATTTCAATTGGGCCATCAATTTGTGAGTGACTAGTATTACTAAATTTTAAAAATGTGTCAAGCCTTTTCCAAAGAGTTCACTAGAAGTGAGATATAAACTTAGAATCGCTGTCAAAGGTAATTGACTTAGAAATTTCATGTAGACGAATAATTTATTTAAAGAAGTGATTGACTACTTGACTTGCATTATTTGTCTTTTTACATGCAATGAAGTATGCCATTTTTAAAAATCTATCAATGACCATGAAAATTGAGTCAGCTCTATTTTGTGTTCGTGGTAGGCCTAATATAAAGTCCATAGAAATATCAGCCCATAGACATTATAGAATAAACAATGGAGTGTATAGTCTAATATTTTTACTTTGTCTCTTGTAGGTTTGACAAATGTGACATTTACAAATAAATTTCTCTACATTTTGTTCAATTTGGGCTAATAATATTGCTCTTCAATTGACTATAAGGTTTTGTCTCGACCAAGGTGTCCTACTAAATCTAAAGAGTGTAATTTTCGTAGTAGTTTCTCCCTTAAAGAGCTGCAAGGAATACATAATTGTGTTCCTCAAAATAAAAAACCATCATGTAGGTGAAAATATTTAGTTGATATTTCAGACATATTAGATCATATATTATTGAGAAAAATTATTGTCATTTGGGTATAATTTCTTGAAATAATCAAATCATGTGATCTCCGCACGCAGGTTCACCAAACATGTTGTTTTTATACTAAGAATATTTGCAACTCGATTTAATTTCCTTGACTTGTGTTTAATAATGAAAGAAAAACGTTGAATGAAAGAAATCTATTTGACATGTATTCTATTATAGAAGTCTGATTTAAGAGCCTAATGATCAATATATAAAATAAACTCTCATTGAATCAAATAGTGTTCATATGTTTATAAAGTACAAATCACGACAGAAAATTCTAGTTCATTTGTTGTTCATTTTTTTCTTATATCGGAAAGTTTTTCACTAAAAAATACTATTGCCCAACCTTTTTGCGACAATACACCTCCAATGCCAACTATGGATGCATCACATTTCACTTCAAATAGTTTATTGAAATTTGGTAAGGTGAAAATAGAACTAGAACATAATTTCTCTTTTATCATGGTAAAACTTCTACTAGCTTCATCAATTGATTTAAATTTTTTTATATATATACATTCAATAACTATAGACATTATTGAGCTAAAATTTTAGATGAATCTTCTATAAAATGATGTCAACCCATGAAAGCTTTTAACTTGATGAGTTGTGATTAGTGCTAACTAATCTTTGATAGTTTTAATCTTTTCTTCATCTACTTTGATTTTATCTGCACTTACAACATATCCCAAGAATAACAAATTAGTAGTCATGAAATAAATATATAATTAATGTATAGTTTATTATGTCGTAACACTTTAAATACTAATATGAGATGTTTCATGTGTTATTCTTCCATAGTACTATAAATAAGAATGTCATTAAAATAAACAATAAAAAAATTACTAATAAAAGATTTCAGAACCTGATTCATCACTCTCATAAAGGTATTGGGGGAGTTTGATAAGCCAAAAGGCTTGACCAACAATTCATAAAAACTTGTCTTAATTTGAAAGGCAGTCTTCTATTCATCTCTTGGCCAAATTCAGATCTAATGATATATGTTCTTTAAATCAACTTTTGAGAAAATTTTAGAATCACATAACACATTTAACATGTTATCTAGGTGTAAAATTGAGAATTTATACTTAACTATGACAGTCAGAGATCTTGAACAAACTTTAGATATAGACTGAACCACATTAAAGTCTATTCTAGAAGAAAAGAGACATAAAGTACCCTCTAGAAGTGAAAGGACATAAAGTAAAAATAAATATTACTTTTCGGACTTCTAACCCACTAGTGACACATGTGGACTTCTTTTTCAGTACTTTTTAAATTATGGCTCAAATTTGAAGTTGAGACTTCAACTTATGTCTTGGGATACATCAACATACGCAAGAAAATTCTTCTAATAGATCAATGTGCCCTTGCATCTTGTTGGTGCATTCTTCTATTACTTCCCCACATTTTTCATTGAGTTCTGATGTCATTGCCTATATACTTTGACTTTAATATCAACTATTATTGGTCTAACTAAGAACATGTTTATTCAAGTAATGATATAAAAAAAATACGTGTGAGAATAGAGATGAGAAAAGAGTTGGGGCACCATAGCAGAAACCCTATTCACGTCGGAGATCTCCAGAGATACCCCAAATCTCTTGAAAGATCTAAAATACTTTCTCCATTCTCTTGATTTGCTCTTCTATCCTTTCAACTTTGTAATTTACATGCTTAAGAAAGAAGGGCTTGTATCTCTAAAGTAATGTAAATATGATTTTCATTAGCCTTGATTTTATAAAACTCACATGTTTCTCATGCTAACAAATGGATTTCAAGGAGATCCATACGAGAGGCAACTTACGTGCTTTATAGTACCCATATTTATTTCCTAGTTATTCGATTTGGTCCAGAAAACAGTTTCACATGGTGACCTCACTAATTTTAAGTTCCATTAAGTTCTCAGACGAACCTGTGCAATCCAAGGTGTTGTTGAAGCTGAGATTATAAGATAGTTTGTACATTGTATTTTATTAATTATACCATTTCTCCTTATTTGAAGATTATGGCTGGCCCATTTTTGTTGAATGATAACTTGCAAAGTAAATCCACAATGTTCATAAACTTCCACAAAAGAAGAAGATCCTTCATGCTTTCTTTCATCAATTTTTTCTGGAAAAATAATCATATGATTTCTAAAGGAGATCAGGTTCGTCCCAGTGCACGACGCTGCCCATAACGCGGAGGGGGTGGGGTAGCCCGTAAACGGGGACGGAGATGGAACGCAGCGTCAGCGGCGGCAAGGTCCAGATGGCGGCGGTCTGATTCGATGAACTGGTGGCCAGGTCGTGGAGGTGGCGGCGGTCTCAGTGGTCGACGCCGAAGCTGCTTGTTGGATTGCCACCAATCCACCGGCCAAAACTCGCCTCCTTCCCTCCTCAATCTGTTTTCAGCCAGGACTGTGGAGACCGATGCCGCCGTAGAAGCCAGGAGGATACAGAGGAGAGCGATGAGAATGCCAGCGCACTGCTCATGGCCGCCAGATCCTTGACGGAGAGGGAGTGACGTAGGTGAAGGAGGGCCAAGAAGTGCTGCTGGCATTGACAGCCGGGTAGCCGTATCTTATGGTTGGCGAGAGCCGTGGTTGGTGGAACGCCATTGTTGACCGTAGATATCACATCCTTTTGTTTTTTAATAACCTATAGAAAATTATTTAACTGGAATAAGAAGATATGCTGCTCATGTCAATAACGTCAACAAATTAGGAACCCCACGTCAATATTCTACAAAAAAAGTGCGGTAGGTAAAGCACGTGTGGACTCGTATCTTAGTCAAAGAGGAAGTCCTGGTCGAACTGATACACGTTTCAAACGTTGGGGGGAGGGGGGGCACCGAAAACTGACTTCGATGAGTCTACATCGAATAAGTTTCAACCGTAGTCAGTTTATGATATCCTTTACCAGCATGTTGGGTTTTCCATTTTCTAAAAGTGATTTTACCATTATGTCTTAAGGTATTGATAGTAGGTGTGCCAGTGAGAGTGTAGGCAATGAGAAAGCCTGCTGCTCTTCACAGAAGAAAAAACACGCTGATGTTCGCTAGAAAAAGGAGAAATACGCCGAAAGGAGGAGAATAACAGCGATAAATCTCTCATTTCATTTTGAAAACTAGAAAAGAACGATATCGTATTGCACTTCCTTCGTCAAATCAAGGCTGAGAAGAAGAAGAAAAGATCGATGTGAAGGAGATCGCACGGAAAAGGTAAATATGAACGAGGACAAGAAAGAGAAGTACGATCCATTTCATCTGCGCGGTTGCTCCTGATAGTCCCAACAAAAAGAAGAATGAAGAGGGAAGGAAGAGAAGCACAAAGAAGAGATAAAGATGAGAACCATTCGCGTAGAGCTGGAGAGTCGGACAAATAAGAAGCAGGCTAAGAAGAAGACGATGTTACAGCGTATGATGCTTTTTCGAAAGGCCTAAGGATGATTTATAATTGATAGATATGGCGATACAGCACCGTAGAACAGTAGATCTGATTAGGTTCTGAATCAAGAGACAACAGGTAGGCCGTTTAAAGGCCGCTGATAGATCGGGAACAATAACCGAAGAAAAAGGGGGGGGGGGACGTCGGAGAAATTTATGAATTTCTCGTCTTCCTGAAACGCCCCATGCCCGCCATGGATTGAGCTCCCAGGCCACCAAACCACTCACGTTGAGGTTTACGCGGAGGGAGGCGAAGAAAAAGTCCGCTCAGAACGCCGCCAGTAACGTGGGACTTTGGCCACCTTCTACGGACTCTGCAGAGAATCCACTGAATGAGCATCGAGATGAGACGGAGGAAGACAGTCTGTAATTGAGACTGACCCATGATTTTTCCATAGAAGAAGGTAATTGTTCATAATTCATTCGGGGTATTTTCCGTGCTCCATTTTTCGGTGAAGAAAAACATCTGTTCTTGTTCTTGGTAATCTGGTTTTGTTGGGAAGACGACGCTAATTGTGTGGACTCCGTCGTTCAGCCTGTGGGGACGGCGGCAGGAACTGGGAAGGTCCAACCTTGAAGCCAGCCGTGGCCGATCCCACTTACACGCCAGCCAGGTTCGAATTCTATTTATTTTTCAAACTGTTTCTCTCCTTCCTTCTCCGGTTTGCAATACAAACGTCGTGCATTTTCTCTCTGGTGTCTAGATTCTTGAAGGAGAAAATTAATAAGCTTAAAACATTGGATAACTTATAATTGCGCAACTAGAATGCTGAATTTTAACCTTAAACCCTTTATTACCGTCTTGCACTCCACGTTAGTATAGTTAACTATCAATTAGTACATTGATACGAAAAAATAGAAGAATAATCCACCTTCAGTAGTTCAAGCATCATGCCCTCGAATGGCAATAATTGTTGTACATTCATTTGTAGGTACAGCTGCATCATACAACTCGAGGAGCTGTGAGCACTGTAGCTGAAATCAGCGTATTAGATTAAGATCGGCAGTTGAGAAAAAAATCATGAAAGTTTGCTTCGATGCTGACTTACTTTCCACCTATTCACCATCATGTCTACTGTTGATCCCATTACATTTGCTATATACCATCATCAGATTAGATTAACTTTATGATTGGCATCTCTCTTGTAATACCCAGCATTTTCTGACTCACCAACTCAGTATGACTTTGTCTACGTGGTATCACGGGATGTTGGCCTGGATTAAAGGTTCTCGCGTTGCCACCAAGGCGATCTCATCTTAGGTCAGGTTGTAAACTCGTCGACGCGTTGAGGTTGATGGATAGTGTTCAGTTGTTAAAACGTCATAAAAAAAATATAGTAATAGTGAGCGGGAGCCAGAGAAAGAGAGAGAGAGAGAGAAAGAGAGAGTGAGAGAGCGAGAGAGGGAGGGAGGGAGACCACTTACGTATGAAGAAGATTGACCACTCGGTTTCGATTAGACCGAGGCCGCACCTAACGCGGACCCGCCTACTAAGGTATAGACCACGCTACAAAGGCTTCTAAGAAAATTTTAGACTGGGCTGAAGATGATTTGGGTCTTTTCAGGTAAACAGATATAATAAAGATATCCCATCCCTCTCTGATGGCATAGAGCCCCCGCTATGCACTGCACCAGCTATGGTTTCTTGTAGTCCAAGTCAGCTCTCACTACAATTTGTATGACGCCATCACTGACTTGATATATATAAAAATGGGTCAACGGTTGGGTCAACCAGGGCGGATCCCACAGGGACGACCGAGTGCGCTTTGGTGTCCCCTCCGTTAAGTTAGTGAACGTTGTCTCGCAAATTTTACCTTTAAATAAGAAGATTCAACATTGCACCTTAGAACAGGAGTGTCTAAAATGCATATCTTTTCTCATGCTATCAATCGTTTTTTTGGAGATCTGTAGGGCTAAGTAACTACGACTTGTTAAAAAGTACCTATTTTTCCAAATATCAGGTCTTTCTTAAATCGTCACCTCGCTATTTTGAAGTTTCTTCAAGATCTTGGACAAGCTCCCGCAATCCAAGGTGTTGATGAAGCTGGATAGTTCTTACTTGGTACTTTATGAATTATAGTATTTCCCATTTTTAGAACACTATGACTGACCATTTTTGTTTACTGATAACTAGTGAAGAAAGTCCCAAGGTTGGTAAACTTGCCGCAATAAAGGAAGCTTCTTTATTCTTCATGTTATACATTTTTGGTGACAAAACAATCATATGATTTTCCACTCTTGGTTTATTTTCGATATCTGGTTCGTGCCAGTCCACGTCGCCACCGATATCGCGGAGGGGGCGGGGGTTTCCCTCAACCTGGAACCGGTGGGGAATACGGCGGCACCTGCGGCGGACGTCGAGGCCGCCATCCGCGGCTATTCAGTGGCGGCCTGGAACGAGGAGCTGGCGGCGTTCTCCGCGGTCGACGCCCACGCCGTTTGTCGGAGTGCCACCAATCCACCGGCCAAATCGGGGTCCCTTCCCCCCTCAGTTTAACCACCGCCAGCGCTGAGCGCACCTTCTCGTGCTCGGGTCCGGCTGTGGAAACCAATACCGCCGGAGAAGCCAGGAGGATGCAGATGAGAGTGAGGAGGATCCCGGCGTCGCGCTGCATCGCCACCAGATTCTTAGGGGATAGAAAGCGGAGCTAGAGGAGAGGGAGAAGGGTAGTTCAGCCGACCAAGAAACTGCAAGACGGGATGAAGGTTATCAGCGGGGGAAGTTGTAAGGAGGGGATTTGTATCCCAGAGAAATGAAGGGATACTGAGATAGCGGGAGACGGGAAGAAATTATGTCACTAGGGGCGAGAAAGGGAGTGACTCACGTCGAAGGGGAAGGATGGGATGAAGTCGCCGGGACGAGGTGGGAGAGGGAATCTTACAGTCTGAACAGGGGGGGTGCGGTAGGACTTAAAAGTCGTAGTTGAGAAACAGACGAGAAAGGCAGATAGGCCACAGGTATGAAGAAGATTTACTTTTTAATATATATATTTGTTATATTATTTATTTAATGCTATATGCTAGATAACAATTAGTTTGTTATTATGTATTTATTATTTATTCATCTTATAATATATATAAATTATTATTAGTAAAATTAAAATTAAATATTAATTATAATATATAAAAAATATTATTAATAAAATTAAAATTAAATATTACTATTTTGATTTTGGTTGATTTGATAGTAAATGCTGCAAAAAAAATAAGGAAATAGTTGGAGAAGAAGAGGTAGAGAGCAATGTACACAACGAGGTAACTGGAGTGCAAGACGGTAATAAAGGGTTTAAGGTTAAAATTCAGCATTCTAGTAGCGCAATTATATGTTATCCAATGTTTTAAGTTTATTAATTTTCTCCTTCAAGAATCTAGACACCAGAGAGAAAATGCACGACGTTTGTATTGCAAACCGGAGAAGGAAGGAGAGAAACAGTTTGAAAAATAAATAGAATTCGAACCTGGCTGGCGTGTAAGTGGGATCGGCCACGGCTGGCTTCAAGGTTGGACCTTCCCAGTTCCTGCCGCCGTCCCCACAGGCTGAACGACGGAGCCCACACAATTAGCGTCGTCTCCCCAACAAAACCAGATTACCAAGAACAAGAACAGATGTTTTTCTTCACCGAAAAATGGAACACGGAAAATACCCTGAATGAATTATGAAAAATTACCTTCTTCTATGGAAAAATCATGGGTCAGTCTCAATTACAGACTGTCTTCCTCCGTCTCATCTCGATGCTCATTCAGTGGATTCTCTGCAGAGTCCGTAGAAGGTGGCCAAAGTCCCACGTTACTGGCGGCGTTCTGAGCGGACTTTTTCTTCGCCTCCCTCCGCGTAAACCTCAACGTGATTGGTTTGGTGGCCTGGGAGCTCAATCCATGGCGGGCATGGGGCGTTTCAGGAAGACGAGAAATTCATAAATTTCTCCGACGCCCCCCCCCTTTTTCTTCCGTTATTGTTCCCGATCTATCAGCGGCCTTTAAACGGCCTACCTGTTGTCTGTTGATTCAGAACCTAATCAGATCTACTGTTCTACGGTGCTGTAGCGCCATATTTATCAATTATAAATCATCCTTAGGCCTTTCGAAAAAGCATCATACGCTGTAACATCGTCTTCTTCTTAGCCTGCCTCTTATTTGTCCGACTCTCCAGCTCTACACGAATGGTTCTCATCTTTTATCTCTTCTTTGTGCTTCTCTTCCTTCCCTCTTCATTCTTCTTTTTGTTGGGACTATCAGGAGCAACCGCGCAGATGAAATGGATCGTGCTTCTCTTTCTTCTCCTCGTTCATATTTACCTTTTCCGTGCGATCTCCTTCACATCGATCTTTTCTTCTTCTTCTCAGCCTTGATTTGACGAAGGAAGTGCAATACGATATCGTTCTTTTCTAGTTTTCTAACTGAAATGAGAGATTTATCGCTGTTATTCTCCTCCTTTCGGCGTATTTCTCCTTATTCTAGCGAACATCAGCGTGATTTTTCTTCTGTGAAGAGCAGCAGGCTTTCTCATTGTCTACCCTCTCACTGGCACCCCTAATTATCAATACTTTAAGACATAATGGTAAAATCACTTTTAGAAAATGGAAAACCCAACATGCTGATAAAGGATATCATAGACAGACTATGGTTCAAACTTATTGGATGTAAACTCATCGAAGTCAGTTTCGGTGGCTCCCCCCACGTTCCTATCAGTTCGATCAGGACTTCCTCTTGGACTAAGATACGAGTCCACACGTGCTTTACCTACCGCACTTTTTTTGTAGAATATTGACGTGGGGGTCCTAATTTGTTGACGTTATTGACATGAGTTCCATATATTCTTATTCCAGTTAAATAATTTTCTATAGGTTATAAAACAACAAAAGGATGTGATATCTACGGTCAACAATGGCGTTCTACCAACCACGGCTCTCGCCAACCATAAGATACGGCTACCCGGCTGTCAATGCCAGCGGCACTTCTTCCCCCCTCCACCAACGTCACTCCCTCTCCGTCAAGGATCTGACGGCCATGAAGCACTGTGCTGGCATCCTCATCGCTCTGCTCTGCATCCTCCTGGCTTCTCCGGCGGCATCGGTCTCCACAGTCCTGGCTGAAAACAGGTTGAGGAGGGAAGGAGGCGAGTTTTGGCCGGTGGATTGGTGGCAATCAAACAAGCAGCTTCGGCGTCGACCACTGAGACCGCCGCCAGCTCCAAGACGCAGACCACAAGTTCATCGAATCAGACCTCCGCCATCGTGTTGCAGCTGACGCTGCGTTCCATCTCCGTCTCCGTTTACCGGTGACCCCACCCCTCCGCGTTATGGGCAGCGTCGTACACTGGGACGAACCTGATCTCCTTGGAAAATAAGCGCGAATTAGAAATCATATGATTATTTTTTCAGCAAAAAAAATGATGAAAGAAAGCATAAAGGATCTTTTTTTTTTGTGGAAGTTTATGAACATTGTGGATTTTCTTTGCAAGTTATCAGTCAACAAAAATGGGCCAGCCATATTCTTCAAATAAGGAGAAATGGTATAATTAATAAAATACAATGTACGAACTATCATTTAGTCTCAACTTCAGAAACACCTTGGATTGGCCAAGTTAGTCCGAGGACTTAATGGAACTTCAAATTAGTGAGGTTACCATGTGAAACTATTTTCTAGACCAAATGGAAGAATTCGAAAAGTAAATATCGTTACTTTGAGGTATGTTGTGATTGGGCCCCAACTGGCCTAACAGGCCTATTGTATCTCTCTTTCTTGTATGGCCTCTCCCTATATATAAATGGTAGAGGCCTCCTCTGTGACTCATAGCCTCTATCGTTACGCATGGTATCAAAGCCAGGTCGCCGGCTGATTGTCTCCTCCTAAGGCACACCGGCCTCGCGCAACCACCACCCCCGCCGGCTCTGTCTCCTCCAAGGGGCACATAGGCGTGTGTGCCTCACACAGCGCATCCGCTGTCCACACACAGAAAACCGTAGCTACGCAGTGGCCATGCATGCGCGTGTAGTGCACCACAGCAGCGCGCACACCGGCACCAACATCACACAACACACTTGGGGCACAACTTAATAGTCCCTCGAAAGTATTTTATGGGACAAACTACATGTCATGGGCGGCAAACTTCAAGCACTCTCTTCAGCCACATGGGAGGCTGTCATCTCTCACTAAGAATTCTACTGAGATGAGGAGTGACAAATATGATAAATAATATATGACAGACTCGGCCACCATTTTTTGGATTCTCAAGAGCATCACCTCTTACGTTGCGTGCGCACTTCCTCTTATTATCCTGGATAAATAAGTTTGAGAAACTCTAGAGTATATGTATAAGAACTAAAAGAATATCTACTGTATGGTGGAAGTCTATGAATAGCTCTTCAAACTTAAGCAAGACGAGATGACAGTCTAAGATTATTATGCAAAGCTCAGTTCTCTCATGGACAATCTCAAGGTCTATAACCTTCCACCACTGATTTGGTCACACAGGTTAGATGCTGTAAAGAGTTGGCAGTGACTGTTCATGATCGTCCACCACTCTCACTTCTTCTCAAATTCAGGGTCAGTACCCGCTGCCAACTTCCTACCATCCCTTCTAGAGACTTTTTCAAAGTATGTGTGTCCATTAGCCAAACTCCGCTACTTTCACTCTGGTTGTCCATGACTCCTCCATCATTGAGGGAAGACTAACCACTAGTCAGATAATTAATGGGATAAGTTTGGCAAGCTCAATGATTGGACCCAAATTACGTCTAACTTGATGTCATCCAAGAACTCTAATATGATGCTTGGATGAAGCATAAGGAGGCTACATCGATGAGTCATGCTGGCCATTCATGCCATGACTTCCACCTTAGGTACCATCACTCTATCAGCCTCAAATCCAACCTTTTGGATTATTGACTCAAGGGCGTCAGCCAATATATCAAGTAATAACTTGGAAGTGTAAAGGGAAAGAAAACTATCATGGACAATATGACCAACATTCATCAAAGATAAAAATGAAAAATATACTAACTTGGAAAATTTTAAGGAAATGATAATTTTAAGGATGACTCTTATAATTTAGAAGATCATGATGGGTGAAGTTAGTTATGCCTTAGGAATACAAATATGGTAATTAGAATATGAAATCTTCATTTCTAACCGTAATATACTAAATAATTTTAGGACATATAATCATGCAGATGTAAAAGAAAATAAATTCTCATAGACGGTAAGATCAAAATTTATCTAAGATCCAAATACAAAAGTGTTATATTTGACTACAAGTAAAATCGACACAATTTTCAGCATATTCCTATACACTAGAATTTAAAGTGATCCAGAGGAATCACATTTAACTAATGTGAAAAAAATATTTCGATACAGAACATTTCTATCTGATTTTGGAATTTGGTTTCTAAAGCAGTGTGGAATGAATTTAGTAAAATACATTGATTCTGACTTCACTGAAAATTTAATTGTTAGAAAATTACCAATGGGTCATGTTTAAGTCTATGACAATGTCTCATTTTATAGACATCTCAGAAAAAATTACAATTGCTTTGTTAATAGCTAATCTGAATATCAAATCACAGATATATGTTGCACACAAGTTTTAGAGATAAAATGCTAACTTAAAGATTATAAGATTAATTTTGAAAACAAATCTCTACCCAATGTGAAAACATGAGTGTCATTAATTTGGCTAAAAATTCAGTTATCCATTTGAGAACAAGGCATATACATATTATGGGGGAGGACATGTCAGTGTTAAACGCTGTTTCATTGCCCTTTTCAACAGTAATTTTCAACAGTATTTTATTATCGAGGATAACATAGTAGTAGCAAACGCACTTGGTGGTAAAGAGGTGGCCTCCTCGGTGGACTCTCCCTTGGTAAATAGGCCTATTGGGGGCGCACTGTGTGTACGGCGGCCGTATCACGGGAGGTTTTCCCACAAAAGCTCGGGCCCCAGTCTCAGCTCCTGGCCCTGTCCACGCCGACGCTAACTCCGGCCGTTCATCGGTCACCAGTTTGGCCCATGCGGCAGAATGCTGACCGCCCGGCATAGCTAAGAGGATGTGGAGGAGAGCAAGGAGGACGGCGGCGGAACGCACCCTTACTGCCAGATCCATAGAAACGTAATAGGGCGCAGTCGGATGAGACGGTGCAGGGGAGTTCCGCCAACCAAGAAGTTCAAGACGGGATGAAGGTTAGGGATATTCCCCAGAAGCAACAGGTAAAGAAATGGAAGGCCTAGCAAGACAGGGAGAGATGGGGAGCAAGCAAGTTCGGAGAGGCAAGGAAGAGGGAAGATGATATTGAAGGAGAGAGAAAGGATGAAGCTGCCAGGACGAGGCGGGGGACAGGATCTTATAATTGCTAGACAGGAAACAGGACATAAAATTCAAAGAATGAGACGCGGAATAAAAGAGAAAAAGGTAGACCAGTCAGGTGTGAAGAAGATTGACCACTTGGTTCCCATTTGGCCAGGGATGCACCTAAGACTAAAACCCGAACGAAGGTATAACTCACCAGGATACAAAGACTTCGAAGAAGATTGTGGACTAACCTAAAGATGTTTCACTCTTTCCAATTAATCCAATGATTTATAACAATAATATCACATCCGTCTCGGTTGGCATGGCGGCAAGCTGTGCATTGAACAAGTTGTAGCTTCTTGTAGTCGAAGTCAACTATTCGAACCATTTGTTATCACCATGACATCATCACTGACATCAGAGATATAAATGGGTCAATGGTTTGGTCAACCCATGCTAGTCTCCGTAAAGACCCTGATAGAGTACACTTTGGTATCCCCTCAGAATATATGCAAGGTGTCTCGCAAAGTTTATTTCTTAAATAAAAAGATTCAAAACTACGCCATAAAACATAAATGTCTAAGATACACATTCTCCTCATTCTATCAATGGCTCTATAGGGGAGTTACTGCCATATCCATGGAAGCGTTACAGGATGCAGCTGTAGGAGATGGCGTATGAGAGGTAGTTCTACTAGCTAGGAAGTGGAGGATGGGATGAAGATTATCAGTGGAGGCAGTTGGAAGGAGGGGATATTTTCCTAGCAGAAATGGGTAAAGAAATCAATAGATAGTAGGAGAGGGTAGAGGAATAGATGATATCGAAAGAGAAGGGCAGGACTAAGCTGCCAAAGCAAGATGAGGGCGGCATCTTACAGTTAGAATAGCGGGGTGTTGTAAACTTGGTCAAGATATTGTAAGGAACAGAAAATAAATGCCACAAATAATATATGACTGAAATCAAAGTGAAAATATGAATAAAGATCATTTACTTCAGAATAAGGACAATTTGCCTCAAATATCTGCTCAATATGACATGTAAGATCCTTCAAATATGGAACGGTTAATGTCTCAAAAGTGTCCAAAAAATGATAAATTGTAGATACCTCATATACAACAACAATACGACTCGTATGTAGCTGTCTTATGCTTGTAAATAAGTGTTCAATCCATTATATTATTGACCTCTGATATAGCCTACCACTTATTACTGTTTAGCATCTAAGAACAACTAGCATGTCATCTCGTTGTTCCCTTTGCCCCACCAATTGCCTCTACATAGCTTCAGGATGCCAGCACCTGAAAGCAATTAGATAAGACATCAAATAGGACAAAGAAAAGGGAGAGAGGTTTCTGGATAAACAGGGAATGTCAGAAAGTAGAACCTAAGAATTGTAAAATTTTTCCATTCTTGAAAAAACAGGGTTCGTTATAAGTTTTTAACACATTTGACTCTTTATATGGGTTAAAAGTAATCCCCAACAGAGGAGGCCACTGGGTCTATTTTCAATCCAAAACATCAGGGGTATTAAATCATATCTCAACAGAAATCGGTTGGACATGCAAATTGTAGATTGAGGGACAAAAGGGGAGAGATTAATACAGGTAGACTAGCCACATGTGAAGAAGATTGACCACTTGGATCCCATCAGACCGGGAGCCCCACCTAAGATTGAAACTTGTACAGAAATATAGCGGACCGAGCTCCAACTCTTCCAAGAAGATGGTATACTGACCTGAAGATGTTTCTATTGCTTTCAAATTAAAATAATAAATTTTAGAGTAATGTCACTTCCCTCTCGGATGGGATAGCACCCCGTTGTGCACTGCACCTGATGGGATACCTCTTCCTGCCATTTGTTATCAGTATGGCAACATCCTTCACTACAGATGTATAACTGTGTCGACGGTCTAGACCTATACTGGACGCCAAGAAGAAAATGACCGACTACACTCTGGTGTCCCTTGCTTTGCTTTGGTGCACGGTGTCTAGCTAATTTTACCTTTAAATAAAAAGATTCATAATTATACGGTAAAACTGGGAATATCTAAAGATCACAGTTTCCTCATGCTATCTGTGGCGTTGAAGGAGATCCATATTGGGTACGTAACAAAGACGTAGTTCAAAATACCCACTTTTATTTTTATCTGTTTTTTATTTGGTCAACATATAAGGTTTCACATGGTGACCTTGCAACTTTTAAGTTTCGTTATCTCAGGCTAGCTGCGGAATCCAAGGTATTGATGAAGCTGGGATTAGACCAAAGTTCATCCGTGGCACTTTATTAATTAAAGTATGTTTCTTTTTTTGAGGATTATGGCTGACCCTTTTGGTTGACTAAGAAGCCGTGAAGAGAGCCCGCAATGTTGTTTGATAATGTTGCGGCAATAAAACAAGCTCCTTTTATACTTGCTCTGTAAAGTTTTGCTGGCAAAATAGTCTTATGATTTTTCCAATTTGGAATTATTTCCCGAGGAGATTACATTCGTGCCATTCCTCGACGCTACCTGAAGCGCCGAGGGGGCGTAGGTCTCCTGTAACCGGAGACCGAGGGGGAACGCAGCGGCACCTGCGGTGGAGGTGGGGGCGGCGGCAGAGCTCTAGGTGGCGGCGGAGACCTGAGGATGAAAGCCGGCGGTCTGTTCTGATTGATTATCGTTCTGGAACGTGGAGGTGGCGGCGATCTCAGCGGTCGACGCCGACGCTGCTTGTTTGACAGCCACCAATCCACGGGCCAAAATTCGGCTGCTTCCCTCCTCAATCTGGCCTCCGCCAGCGCTGAGCGCACCTTCTCGTAGGTCGCTTGCTCTGGCCAGGCTGTGGAGATCGATGCCGCCGGAGAAGCCAGAAGGATACAGACGAGAGAGAGGAAGACGGCAGCGTCGCGCCGCTTCGCCGTCAGATCCATGGCGGAGAGGAGGGGGCTGGCGTAGGTGGAGGAAGAGGAAAGAAGCGCCGCTAGCATTGACAGCTGGCTCGGCGTGACTCTTATGATGGGCGAGAGCCCTACAGCTGGTGGAACGCCAATGTTGACCGTAGAAATCACATCCTTCTTTCCAATAAAATCTATAAAAGGTTATTAACTGGAAGGAAAGTACGTGACAAGTCAAGTGTTCTTGTTGTAGTCATGTCAATAACGTTAATAAGTTAGAATTCCCATTGCTTCACATATTTTCCCTCAATTATATACAGTAATTATTTCTTTTCTGTTATGAAACCCATGAAGTGGAGTTGGAGTGTCAAGCGTTTCCTACGTGGGGCCCACTGGAAACTTAAAAAATCTGTCTTCCATGTGTTTTCATCCAATATATTTCAATCAAAATCAGTCTATGATATCTTTTATCAGCTTATTGGGTTCTCCATTTTCTAAAAGTTATTTTGACTTTATGTTTTAAAATAGTAACAAAGGGGAGCCAGTGAGAGATTAGACAATGAGAGAAAGCCTGCAGTTATTCACAGCCAATGGCGGAAAATCGCGCTGATATTCGCCAGAAAAAGGTGAAGAACTACGCCCGAAGAGGAAAGACGATCCATTTCATCCACGCGGCTGCTCCTGCTAGTCCCAGCAAACAGGAAGGCAGAGGGGGGAGGAAAAGGACAAATAAACGATAAAAAACAAGCTACTCTATCCACGCTGCTACTGCTGATTGTCTCTACAAACAGAAGAAGAAGCCGTCCTCAAAGGTCCTCCAGAACAGAGATCGAACAAGATGGAGAAGGTTTTCGTAGAGTTACCCAGAGAAATAAGGGATCAGAACAAAGGGAGATCTGATCAGCGAACCCAGTGACCTCCAAGTTATGCTGCGAAGTTCAATGGCATCGCTCTAGGCGGCGATGCGTCCGGCTGGGGCGCGGGTTTCGTCGCAGAAAAAGAGGCAGACGGTCTTCCTCGACCTCTTGAGGGGTAAGGAGAAGGCCACAGAGGGTGCGGTGGCGGAAATCAAAAAGGAAGGAGCCGCCAGAGGACAGTCAGAGGAAGAGGAGTTAAAAATCCGGGGGTGATGGGCGGCGCTATCCCTCTCGGACGATAACCCAACCCCGCTCGCCAGATCCCTGCGGGCCGACGCGTCTCCGAAGTGCTCTCTCTCCCATCCTCCAGCCGACTAAGAAGGAGAATCAGGGACTGGCTGGAAAGCGCCGCCGGGGCTTAGCATTGGAGGCTGGGGCTTGGGTGCGTAAGAGGGATCCGATAAGAGAGGACCGCCGCCATCTAGTCGTCGGCAACCGCGGAGGGCAGCATCGGAGAAATTCATGTTCCTTTTCCCTTCTCGAGGTGCCCCCTGCTCGCCATGGATTGAGCTCGCCATGTAACCCACTCACGTGGAGGTTTACGGCTGCAGGCGAAGGAAAGTCTTATCAGAACGCTGCCAGTACATCCCGGCGAGGAGGGAGAGCAGCCTAGACGACGGAAACATTGGACCTTGGGGCCGCCTGCTACCGATGCTGTAGAGAATTTACTGAATGAGCATCGAAATGAGACGGAGGAAGAGAAGAGGGCGGGCGAGATGGAGGAAAACGGAGTCCGTTCTTCTTGGGGGCTGATCCAAGATATATCCATAGAACGAGGTTGTAGTTCAGAATTCAGTAACGGTATTTTTCCGTACTCCTCCCTCCATTTATCTGTAAACAAAAAATGACCGGCTGTTGTGCTCGGCTGCCTGGCTTTGAGTGGAAGACGACGCTATCTGTGTGGGTTCTGTTATTCCCAGAGGAGACCGCGGTAAAATTACTTCAATTTTGAAATTTAAAAGGCACCATCAAAAATCGAATTTGATTTATTTTTCAAGCTATTTCTCTCGTACATTTGTTTGGAACTCCTGTTTCTCTGTACCACTACCTGCTTCCTTCTTTATCATGTTTGTTATCAGGACATAACTAAGTGAGATTTATATGCTGAAAGTGATTAGAATCTAGAGGAGCATTTTAAAGTCGAAATTTCATAAGGGTTTGTTCATGGAAGTATAAAAAGGCGAAATTTACTGGTGAGGAATACTGGAGGATTGTAAAAAGGCATCGTAGCTCTATCGCGGTCCCACCTAAGGAGAAAGTTCTGGATTCCTATGTTAAACCCTGGACATTTATTCGGAAGGATAGAAGTTTTGATGAAAGTTTTTTAAAAACTCAGATTTTAAATCATTCTGAGCTTAGTTCTCTCTCTCTTTCTCACACACACAATTGCGAAAAAAAGGAAATAGTGCAATCGTGTGTGTGTGTGTGTGTGTGTGTGTGTGTGTGTGAGAGAGAGAGAGAGAGAGAGAGAGAGAGAGAGAGAGATGGTAAAGATGGGGATGATGAAGTACACGAAAGAAGACGCAAGTGTCTTTCTTTAACCCCATTTTTTCTTGCCGAACAAGTGAGAGGAGACTCATATGGAATTAGTCCCACATTTGTGACGATGTGTTATCATGGGTAACATGTTTCTGACAGTAAAGATTAGTTAGTCTCTTATTCCATGAAAGTAGTCCAAGGAAGTGGCTCCCACTTACAACAGGAAGAGAAAGATGCCGGTGTTGAGGAAGATGAGACGGTGGACGAGATGATCTGTCGTGTATGTCATTTGGGGACGAGCGTCCCCTCCTTGCACAGGTGAAGAGGAGGAGAGAGGCATGAGAAGAGGACACAGATGTACGTGTTTCGGAGAATCTTCCTACGTACATGGTCGCACAGGATTTTCGCTCTTCTTTCTTGAGGGAGAATTGTCCTATAACACAACACAGCCCTCAGTGCTGGTGAAACACACAATGCTCGTTAAAGATAATATTCGGCGTGTATTCGGTTTATCAGTTCTTTTCTGAGCATCATTTTTCTCTTCCCTTTGATTGCCTTTTTTACGGGAGTTCAACCGACAAAGAAGTGCAAAACGGGGGGTTATCATCGAAAGAGGGGAAGAGGAAGGGCATAAAAGTCGTAGACATTAGCGAGAGAGAGAGAGAGAGAGAGAGAGAGAGAGAGAGAGAGAGTGCACTCACGTCTATATAAGATTGACCACTTGGTATTGCAGACCGGGGCCGCACCTCAGACCCCCACAAAGGTATAGCAGACCAAGCTACGACGGCCTCCAAGAAGATTCTAGACTGACCTGAAGAGTTTTTATCTTTTTCAAGTTAGCATAAAAAGTTATAACAATAATATCCCTTCCCTCTCTGATGGGATAGCGCCCCGCTGCGCACTGCACCACTTATGGTTTCTAATGCTACAAGTCAGCTCTCCCTGCCATTTATTATCAGTATGACATCATGGTTGAATGAAGATATATAAATGGGTCAAAGATTTAGTCAACGGTTGCTGGAACCCGAAGAGACTGTGACCATGAAACTTGAATTCCTAAAATTCTCATTTTCCTGATCCTATCTATGGTTCTTTAGGAGATTTCATGTGCGTACGTAACTAAAACTTGGTTGATTGTCTTTTTTTCAACATATCAGGTCTTAACTGGTGACCTCGCTGTTTTGAAGTTTCATTCAGATCTCAGACCAGCTCATGAAATCCAGGTGTTGGCGAAGCTGGGATTAAAGCAAAGCTCGTACGTGGTATATTATTAATTATGGTATTTCTCGTTATTTGAAGGGTATGGCGGACCCATTTTGGTCGACTGGATGACTCCTGAAGAAAGTCCGCAAAGTTGATAAAGTTGTCGCAGTACGGGAAGCTCCTTTTATGCGTACTATGGTCGAATTTTGCTGGCAAAATAAACATATGATTTTGCATTCTGAGCTTGTTTTCCAAGGAGACTAGATTCGTGCGAGTCCACGCCGCTACCAGTAGGGCGGAGGCGGCGGAGGGGACGGAGGGGGCGGGGGTCGCCAGTAACCGGGCAAGGGGGGGACACTGCGTCAGCGTCGGCGGAGATGGAGGCGGGGGTGGCGGACTTCGGAGGGAATTCCCTGATTTGTCCCTTTCGCGTCCGGATTTTGGAGGTGACGGCGTTCTCCGCGGTCGACGCCCACGCTGTTTGTCGGACTGCCACCAATCCACCGGCCAAATCGGGGTTCCTTCCCCCCTCAGATTAACCTCCGCCAGCTCTGAGCGCACCTTCTCGTAGGTCGCGTGCTCGGGCCAGGCTGCGGAGACCAAAGCCGCCGGAGAAGCCAGAATGTTGCAGAGGAGAGCGAGGAGGATCTCAGCGTCGCGCTGCATCGCCACGAGATTCTTGGGGAAGGGTGGGGAGCTAGGTGGAGTGGACTGCCGCAGGAATTGAGAGATAGGTCAGAGTGAGTCTTACGATCGGCGAGAGCCTTGTAGTCGGTGGAACGGCATTGTGGACCGTAGAAATCATATCCTTTCTTCTTTCAAAATCTTGAGGAAAAGTGTAAGTGTGATGTCGTACTCATGTTAGTGTGAGAGGTATTTTTTGGCTTTTAATTATAATGTAAAAGTAATTTGCTGAAAAAAATAGTTAACTTTATTGGAGATAAGGTAAAGTAGAATCACGCACCATATGGGTTACAATGTATTTCTGTAATTGTATTCACTTCCTGTCTTATGAGACCCTTGAGCATTGAGTGCGTTCATGTATTAGTCAAAGAGGAAGCCCTGGTTGGACAGTCAAGCTTTTGAACCTTGAATCTTGGAAGAGTCACCGGAAACTGAAAACTATGGCTTGGATTTATATACATGCAATAAATTCTAATAAAATTAATCTATGATATCCTTTATCAGATTGGATTTTCTGTTTGCCAAAAGTTTAACTTTATTTTTGAAATATTGATAATTAGGGATGCCAGTGGGAGATAGACAATGAGAAAGCCTGCTGTTCTTCGCAGAACCGAAACGAGGACAATGAGGATGGAAAATCCTGCTGATATTCACTGCAAAAGGAGAACTATGCTGAAAATCGAGGAAAGTAACAGCGATATATCTCTGATCCTAGTTAGAAAACGAGAAGAGAAAGAGATCTGATTACACCACCTTCATCAAATCAAGGCAGAGAAGAAGAATATGATGGGTCTTTCGCAATCCCACTTAAGAAAGAATTGTGGATTCGTATCTTGAAACTTACACCCTTAGTTGGATGATTAGGAAACTTAGACATTAATTGATAAATTAATGCGCAGATCTTCGGTAGAAGTTTAAATGAAAAGTTTTCAAAGTTTAAAATGATTATAAAAAACTTCTTAAATGGTTGATCACTTCAAAATAAACAAGAAATAAAGTAAAAAATAATTTAAAATTTGCAAAACACTGTTCGGACATTAATATCCATTTTTATGGAGTGCTGTAGACCTCAGTACAAAAGGTTCACAAGTAATTTGGAACCTTAGACCTACCCTTGGGGCAACAAAAGCATAGATGCAAGTAATATGAGTTAATGGATAGAACTGAGTGTTAAAAAGACACAATATAAATAGAGTAATAGTGAACGAGATAGGGAAAGTGAGAGACAAAGAGAGTAGTGCCATGAAGACAGGCTAGGCTTCCAGTTCATTGGACGTCCACTATGCTGCATTTGATAAACTTGAGAAGGGTAGGAGTGATGAAGTTCACTAAAGAGGACACAAGTGTCATTCTTAAATGCATTTTGTTAATTTGGGGAGAGGGGATGACAAGCATGTAGTTTAGTCTTAACTATGTGACCATGTGTTGGTGTTGGTAATATATTTTTGATGTTACTGGACTATAATATTTACCAAGTCTCTTCTTCCATCGCAGTAGTCACATGAAGTGGCTCCCAATTACAAGAAGAGGATGATGCTGCCATTGAGGAACACAAGATAGAGGACGAGATGATCTGTGGGTAAGTTCTTGACTCTCAGAGTATTAGACTGATTGAATGAGATAATAGCTCATTGATGGAGTCAACGGGTCAGTCAAGGCCTCTCCATCTCAAGATATGGCCATATCTGCCATTGTGGGAGCTCACATTCGAGCCAACCCTAATTTTAGGGTCAATTTGGTCCAAGTCAACTGTTGTCTCCCTCCATTGATGGAGCCACCTTGGAATCTTGGGTCCACCTCTATTGAATTCAGATCCATTAAGAGAATTCACCTAATGAAATGAGCCGAAGACATGGAGGAAGAAGAGCCCATGGAAGAAGACACCTCACTCAATGGGAGCCTCTCCAAAGTCTAAGACGCCTCTGCATCCAAGAGGCACCACCTCATCCTTTTTAGAGGGGTGTTTCCAACCACCCCTTGTAACTAACTCTTTTCTCTCTCTCTTGTAAATTCCCCCTATCTCGTCCTCTATTTCTTCTATAAATTCCAAACAAGAAAAGGAATAAGGGAGGATGTCATTCTGACCTAAAGATGTTCATGGCCGTATGAAGAGGGAGAATTTATTAGTGAAGAACATTGGAGGATTGGAGAAAGGCATCATAGATCTATTGCGATACTGCTTAAGTAAAAATTGTGGGTTCCTATCTTAAACCTTGGACATTTATTTGAAGGATGAAAATATTGGTCCTACTAAATTACTGTTCATATCTTGTATAGAAATTTAGATGAAAGGTTTTTAAAAGCTTAGAATGATTTAAAAATGAGCCAAAAAGGAAATAGTGCAATCGTGTGTGTGTGTGAGAGTGAGTGTGTGTGTGTGTGGGTGAGAGAGAGAGAGAGAGAGAGAGAGAGGGATACAACCTTAGTTCAGGTTTGCAGTTCATTGGACATCCACAAAGCCCTTTTTTTTTTTGCTTAACAGGGGAGGGGAGACTCATGTAGAATTACTCCCAAATTTGTGTGTTATCATCAGCAACATATTTCTGACAGTAAAGATTAGTTAGTCACTTATTCCATGAAAGTAGCCAAAGGAAGTGGCTCTCACTTATAACAGGACGAGAAAGATGCCGCTGTTAAGGGAGATGAGACAGAGGACGATATGATCTATCGTGTATGTCATGTTTGGGACGAGCGTCCCCTCCTTGCACAGCAGAAGAGATGCAAATACATGAACATGGGCAAGAGAAGTGGACACAGATATAGGTGTTTCGGAGAATCTTCCTACGTACATGGTTGCACAGGATTTTCCTTCTTCCTTCTTGAGGGAGAATCGTTCCATAACACAACACAGAGCCCTCAGTGCTCGTTAAACAAACAATACTCGTAAAAGGCGGACGCTTCCCCCTCTCTTCTATCACGGGGTTAGGGAAGCACTTGAGGACAAACGACAATCATGCCCTTAATACAAAATAATAGTCGCTAAAGAGGTTGGATTATTCTCCACATCTCCAAGATGTTCTACATACTCTCAATATTTATACATTCAACAAGATAATAGTTAATAATTAGGCGTGTATTTGCTTTATCATTTCTGTTTTGAATAGTATCTTTCCTCTTCGTTCTGACTGCCTATTTTTACGGGATAAAACGCGTTGGCGGTGGTGGTGGTGGTTCCGGCAGGGGGTTTATACCAATTATATTATGTCGTCTGCCTTCTGGGGGCGGGCGTCGTCTGGACGCGACTCCTGGCCTCGTCCGCTCCGACGCCGACTTCACTTTGTCATAGCTCACTTGTTCGGCCCATGCGGCGAAGTCCCGACGGCCCGGCGGAGCCAGAAGCACATGAAGGAGAGCGAGGAGGAGGACGGCGGAACGCACCCTCGCCGCCAGATACATGCAAGCGTGAGAGGGTGCGACTGGATGAGACGGCAAAGGGGAGTTCAACCGACAAAGATGTACAAGACGGGATCAAGGTTATCAGTGGAGGATGTTGGATGCAGGGGATATTTTCCAGCAGAACTGGGTGAGGAAGTAAAAATGATAGTAGGAGAAGAGATGGGGAGAAATCAGGTTTCGATGGGGCGAGGGAGAGGAGGATATCGAAGGAAGAAAGGATGAAGCTGCCAGGAGGAGTTGGGGGAGAGGATCTTATTATCGGGAGAGGGGGAGAGGAAGGGCATCAACGTCGTAGAAAATGAGAGAGAGAGAGAGAGAGAGATTAATGCAGATAAGCAGTGACGAAGCTTCCAAGAAGATGCTACACTTACGGGATGCTTTAATTTTTCAAACTGAAAGAATAAATTATAAGTAATTATTCATAATTATAATATACTATCCCTCTCGGATGGACAGCGTCCAGCTGTGGCATTGAACTAAATCAACTGTACTGACCATTTTTGTTATCGAATGGACGCGTGCACTAGACAGCTGGTAGGTGGAGATGACCCATTAACTTTTTAGAGATGTATACATATATTTATCTTTATGGGCCAGGCCCACTTTATCTCTCTCCTCCTCACCCCTATCGGCCACCGCCTCCTTCACGACGCTGGCTGCCGTAGCCACCGCCGCCGCCACCGCCGCCGCCACCGCCGTAGCCACCGTCACCGCTGCGGAAACCGCTAGGGTTTTCCATCGGTCGCCACCTCCTTCGCGACGCTGGCCGCCGTAGCCACCGCAGACGCCGTAGCCGCCGCCGCCACCGCCGCCGCCGCGGAAACCGCGACCACCGCCGGTTCCACGGGACTGGGCCGTTCTTCCCCTGCCGCTACCGTCGCACCAGCGGGTGCACCAGCCCGAATGGGGAGAGCTCGAGGGCCGTCCTGCGGGGTCGCCGCGTTTCCGCCGGCACGTTGCGGGAGGCACCGTGCCCCGTGCATTTTGGGCTTATTTTCCAAGGAGACTAATTCGTGCGAGGTCACGCCGCTACCTGTAGGGCGGAGGGGCCGGGGGTCGCCTGTAACCGGGGGGAGGACGAAGCGTCGGCGGCGGCGGTGGAGGCCTTCGGCTGAAAGCCGGCGGTCCGCGCTCATTGCGTATCGGTCTGGATCGTGGAGGTGGCGGCGTTCTCCGCGGTCGACGCCAACGCTGTTTGTCGGACTGCCACCAATCCACCGGCCAAATCGGGTCTCCTTCCTCCCTCAGTCTGACGTCCGCCAGCGCTGACTGCTCCTCCTCGTAGGTCTCGTGCTCAGGCCAGGCTGTGGAGACCAAAGCCGCCAGAGAAGCCAGAAGGCTGCAGAGGAGAGCGAGGAGGATCCCAGCGTCGCGCTGCATCGCCATGAGATTCTTGTGGAAGGGTGGGGAGGTAGGTGGAGTGGAGTGCCGCAGGAACTGACAGATGTGTCGGCGTGAGTCTTATGGTCGGCCAGATACTTGTAGTCGGTGGAACGCCATTGTGGACCGTAGAAATTATATCCTTTTTTATTTCATAATCGTTGGGAAAAGCGCGCTGTCGTACTCATGTTAATGGGAGAGGTATTTTTTGGCTGTAAATTATAATGTGAATGGAATTTGTTGTAAAAAATAGTTAACTTCAGTGGCCACAGGATAAAGTAGAACCACGATACCATATAGGTTACTATAATATGGCTGTACTAATATTCACTGTCTTATGAGCCCTATGAGCATGGAGTGTGTTCATGTCTTAATCAAAGAGGAACCCCTAGTTGGACAATCAAGCGTTTGAACCTTTGAATCTTGGTATAGTAAATGGAGTGGTGGACCCAACGTAATACTCTATGAAACTTAAAAATATAAATTGGATTTTTATACATCCAATAAATTCCAATCAAAATAAAACTATGATTGTTTTAACTTTATTTCTGAAATATGGATAATTAGGGGTGCCAGTGAGAGACAATGAGAAAGCCTGCTGTTCTTCACAGAAGCAAAACAAGGACAATGCAGATGGAAAATCTCGCAAATATTTACCGCAAAAGAAGAACTATGCTGAAAAACGAGCACAGTAACGATGATATATCTCTGATCCTGGTTAGAAAACGAGAAGAAAAAGAATGGAGAAATGGAAGGTCTATAGAAAAGAAATGAGGGCTCTTTCGCAATCCCACTTAAGAAAGAAATTGTGGATACGTATCTTAAACCTGACATTTAATTGGATAATTACAACGTAAGCATTGATAAATTAGTGGGCAGATGTTGGATAGAAGTTTAGATGAAAAGTTTTCAAAGTTCAAAATGATTATAAAAAACAACTTCTTAAGTGGCTGACCACTTCAAAATACACAGGAAATACATTAAAATAATTTATCTTTTGCAAAACATTGTTTGAAAGAGTAATATCCAGGTTTTATGGTCAGCTGTAGACCTCAATGCAAAAGGTTCACGAGTAATTTGGAAGCTTAGACGTACCCTTGCGGCAACAAAAGAGTGGGTGCACGTAACAGAAGTTGATGGATAGAATTGAAGTGTTAAGAAGACAAAAAACAAATGAAGTGATAGTGAACGAGATAGAAAAAGTGAGAGACAAAGAGAGTGCTGCCATGCACGCATAGAAGTAAAGTGTTAAGAAGACAAAAAGAAAATAAAGTGATAGCGAACGAGATAGAAAAAGTGAGAGACAAAGAGAGTACTGCCATGCACGCATAGGTTAGGCTTCAGTTTCATTGGACATCCACAAAAGCCGCATTTGATAAGGTTGAGAAAGGTAGGGATGATCAAGTTCACTAAAGAAGACATGACTTTCTTAATTTCATTTTATTCGTTAATTTGGGGTGGGGATTCCCACCTTGGACCTAGTCCTAACTATGTCGCCATGTGTTGGCGTCGGTAATATATTTTTGATGTTTCTGGACTATAATATTTACCAAGTCTCTTCTTCCATGGCGGCAGTCACAGGAAGTGGCTCCCCGTTACAGGAAGAGGATGATGCCGCTGTTGAGGAACACAAGATCGAGGGCGAGACGATCTATCGGGTATGTTCTTGATACTCGGTGTATTTGTTGCTTAAATGAGATAACAGCTCATACACTGAGGTATGTTCGGTCTTTCATTTCCTTTTTGAACATTATTTTTCTTCCTCTCTTTGATGACCATCATTTTTACCGGAAAAAAACGTATTGGTGTCAGTGGACGCTGCACGGGCGGCATCCCTGCAGGTTTTGGGCTCGGCATCCCAATTGAGGCAAGTTGCCCAGCAAAGAGCGGGCCCCGGCCTCGGTTCCTGGCAACGTTCACGCCAACGCCAACTCCACCTGCTGGTAGATCACATGTTCGACCCATGTGGCGAAATTCCGACAACATGACGGAGCAAGCAACGCATGGAGGAGAGCGAGGAGGGTGGCGGCAGAAAGCATCCTTACTGCTAGATCAATCGAAGAACCCGCTGATTGGGCCGAACATTGCCAATAGAGGACGATAACAATGACAAACCTCTGAACTTAGCCTGAAAAGGAGAAGAGGAGATATTACCGCCTTCATTTGATCAAGGCTGAGAAGAAGAAGAGAAGATAGATGAAAAATATCTCAGGGAAGGAGTAAGTAAGAAGTAAAAGTAGAAAGTGAAGGACGATCCATTTCCTCCATGTCGTTGCTCTTGATCATCCCAACAAAAAGAAGAAAAGGAAGATGAAAGGAAGGGAAAAAGGAGAGAGATAAAAAGATAAAAGACGAGCCACTCCATGCACGTTGTTTCTCCTCATTGTCTCAACAAGGAGAAGAAGAAGAGAATGTGAAAATGAAGAAGAATTTGATCCTCCACACTATAGCAATCATGATTAGGTCTACATCAATTCACAGCGTACTATTTAGATAAAGTTAATACAAATGAATAGTCAATTACTGTTGCCATTTTACTGATTATGATAAATACTTTATTTCCATCATATTTGCATTAAATTTGATAGATAAGTTTTCTGCATAATCTTTAATCTAAGAATATAGAAGTGGGGAACTTCTCTTGTTTTGTTGAAACTTGAATTTACTCCAATGCATGCATTCTCACAAGTGATTTAACCAGATCCCTTGGAGTGTGTATGTAGCTCAATATAATCTAACTAATATAGAATTATAAATGTGTTTATGATTATTCATAAAATAAAATTCTGAGAAAAGAGAAGAATTAAAAGTTAAAATAAATTAAAACCCCTTCTATGTATTGTGTGACAACTTAGGGGCCATTAAGATATAGAAGGATTTCCGAAAAAAATGAATTGGATGATTAAAAGATTAGCATTACTAAATTAATGTACTGATATTGTATAGAGGCTTAGATTATAAAAAAAAAACTCAGAATGATTTAAAAATAAAAAAAGGTTAAAATCTGGCCACGACAAATAACATGAAAAATGCACTAAAAAGAAATCCCCAGAAGGATGTAGGTTGAACTTATATATCTATTTTTTATGTAGAGCTGTATAACTTAATATGAAATGTTGATTAGTAAGTTGGAAGCTTGGACATACACTTGAAGCCACTAAAGAATGGGTTCAAGTGGTAGACTTTCAAGAGTAGAATTTAAGGGTTAACGAGACACAAAAGAAATAGAATAAGAGTGACCAAGAGAGAGAGGGAGGTAGTGTTAGAAAATAGTGCTTGGAACAAGAGCTTAATGGGCCTAAGATTGACCTGTTAGCACAATAGAAACTTGAGAGTGCAAGTACAACAAGTGATTTAATATATAAATGATAATGAAAATGTAGAATGGGCTGTAATAAGACAAGACTTTGATTACTGTGGTCTAAAGAAGATAAACACACCTCACGACTAGTAAACCAATGGAGAAGAGAGTAATGACAAGGTCTGAGGAATAGAATACAACAAAGATAGAGTTAATGAAATAGTAATACCAGTCACCAGTGGAAGAGAGTGAGAACAAAAGGAGGAGGGAGATGATGTCATAACTCCTGTTGCAGCTACTGGAGAGGATTGGGTTTTCTGCGCCTTAGATTTGTTTGTTTCCTCTCACTTTTCTCTCTCCCTAAGCTCCCTTTAAATACAGGTAACAGAAAATGGGCTGGACTATTTTATGGACTGAAAACAGTCATAAGTGAAAGCCTAGTAAGAAGGGACGTGGCCCACATGGGCCTTGTTGAATGAAGGATGACCAAGTCACCTTTACATATCTCCACCTTGACTTGGAGATCATGGTGATCTTCAAAGCTTCATATTGAAAACTCTATCAACTCCTCATGACTGCAACAAAAAGGAATATAGTTGCATACATTCTCTCAAAGATAAAAAGAAGAAGAGAGGTTAGATTTAAGTGGTGTGAACTCTAATCAGGTCCAAACAATGTTGGAACTTTGAAATGAGAAGAGGTTTTATTAGCATATCAGTTGGTTTGTCTTTAGTACCAATCTTTTGCAGACTAATTTCACTTGAGAAAATTATATCATGAATAAAATGATACTTGACGTCAATATGTGTTATCTTTTTGTGATACATCTGATCTTTGATCCAAATGAATAACACTCTAGCTATCACAATGGACAACAATTGAAGCTTGACATGAACATAATTCAAAGAATAAACCTCTTAACCATATAGCTTCCTTTAATGCCTTATAAGTGTCATAAATTCTGCCTCTATTGTGGACAGAGCAACAGTAAGTTGTAGGGAAGCTTTCCAACTAACACCACATCTATTAATTGAAAATATATAATCAATTAGTAACCTTCATTTATCCAGATCTCTTATAAAATCTGAATCCGTAAATCCAATCAAGGTATCACTTGTTCTCCCAAATTGTAAACATATATATCAATAATACCCCTCAAGTACTTGAAAATTTACTTAACAATATGCCAATGTGTTTTATTTGGATTAGTCATATAATGACTAACTACACTGATTGCATGTGATATATCAAGATGAGTGCATATCATCCTATACATCATGTTACTTTCAGCACTAAAGTATGGAACATGTGACATAAAATTTTCATCTGTTGGGGACTATGGTGATAGAGAATTTAAAAGCTTGAAATGAGCAGCAAATAGAGTATAAATAGGCTTAGCATCCCACATATTAAAATGCTTAAGTACTTTCTCAATGCACTTAACTTGGGATAAGTATAGCTTACCTTTAATTCAACTTCTATAGATCTCCATTTCGAGAATTTTCTTGGTTGCTCCTAAATCTTTCAGCTCAAACTCACTGTTGAATAAAGTTTTTAATTTATTAATTTCAAATATATCTTTTGTTGCGATCAACATATCGTCAACATAAAGTAGTAAATAAAGAAAAAAAGTATTTGACAACTTTTTAAAGTAAACATGATTGTCAAATTTACTACGAGAGAATTCATGTTGTGTCATAAATACATCAAATCTCTTATATCACTATTGTGGAGATTGTTTGAGATTATACAAAGATTTCTTCAACAAATAAACATATTTCTCTTTTCCTTCAACAAGAAAGCTTTCTAGTTGCTACATCTAAATATGTTCTTCAAAATTACCATGAAGAAAAACTATTTTAACATTCATCTGTTCTAACTCTAAATTATATGATGCAACAATAGATAATAGAACACATATATAATTATGCTTAATGATAGGAGAAAAGATATCATTATAATCAATACCTTTGACCTGACTGTAACTTTTTGCAACTAATCGTGTTCTGTATCTAACATCATCAGAGTTTAGAGTGCCTCCTTTCTTCTTGAAAACTCACTTGGAGTCAATGACTTTCTGTCCTTTAGGAGCCTCTAACAGCTCCCAAGTTTGATTTTTATGGAGAGATTTAATTTCCTCCTCCATAACAACTAGCCACTTGTCTGCATCCTCACGAGATATAGCATTTGAAAACTTGGAAGGCTCATTCGGATCTAAAGTTTCTTCAATAATGATCAATGCATAAGAGACCATATTAGCATACCCATATCTCAATAGTGGGTTAGTATCTCTCTTTAACCGATTACAAGTAAAATAGTAATTCTAGTTTTGTGGAGATATCTCCACAAGATACGTGTCAGGCACTGAACATGCCCTTATTGAGATACATCTTATGTGAATCAAATATATCTAACTTCACCTGATTTGGAGTACTATCATTTGAATCTGTAATTTTAGGGACAAACATCCTTTCTCTATGATGTAGAATTGCAACTTCATCAAAAATAACATTTCTCTCAATTAAAAGCTTAGGAGATTTAGGATCAAAAAGTCATAACCTGTATCCTTTGACTCCAGAGGCATAATTGAGGAAGATGTACTTCTTAGCTCTAGGCTCTAACTTGCCATCATTTATATAGACATATGCTAGACAACCAAAGATTTTTAAGTTTGAATAATCAGAAGGGTTACTTGACTAGACTTCTTCAAAAGCTTTGAACTTAATGGCGGAGGCTAGAAATCTGTTCACAAGAGGACAAATTGTAGACATTACTTCTGTTCAAAAGTCTTGACCAAGACTGATGCAGGACAGGGTGAGAACCCTTGTACCTAATCAATGAAATTCAAGACCCATGATGGGGTAGTCAGATTGATCCGATACGAATGTATGGACCCTAGACTTTAGGTCTGACCACCTAACCTAAGTACAGGTAGGTGTACCAATATGCACTATCAACTTAGGACAACCCGGGGAAACACTCGACGATGGTAAGTGTGAGACCCTCTTGGTCCACGTCCGGATAGACGACGGAATGATCGTCGTGAAGTAGCTTAGGGCTGCAGCTCATGAACCGTGATGAGTCTAATGTAGCGTTAGAAGTCACAATCCTATAACCCATCCTATCCTGTCTACGTTCTCCTGATGACGATGGAAATGAGCCGAGAAAACTCTTCGAAAGATAATTAAACTTAAGTAAGAAGGGGTACAGAGCTAACCTTTGGGGCTGCGTAACCCGACGGGTTGTGACGGAATGGAGACTCAACGTAAGCAGAGACGTTCGGTGTAGAGCAATGCTCAGTGTCAATAGTCAGTTCTAGTCGAGAGTCGCAGTAATCGTCGTCATAAGGCGTGGCACGGTCGGCGCGAGCGTGGGCCTACTAGTGGGCCGAAGGGCACCCTAGCGGACGCATGCGGCAAGCCGTGCGGTGTGCCTCGGGGCACGCAGGCGGTGGCGCTGGGGGGTGCACGGGCCGTAGGAGCCAGTGCGCAGGGCATGTGTGGTGGCGGCGCTTCGGTGGGAATGCCGAGCATCGGCGGTTGGGCGGAAGCCCAACCGTCGCCAGAAGGATTGGCCTTCTTTGGTGGCGCCGGGAGGTGGAGCAGAGGAAGGAGACGATCCCAGCCAATGATATCAGGGAGGGTGGAGCCCTCTTGGTCTAGGTGGCGCGCCAGAAATGGCGCAACGGCGGCGGATCATCGGGAAACTCCGGCGGGGGGCCTGTGAGGAGCTTGGACTGGATTTGGCTCGTCGGCACGGCTGCAGGGTCTTTCCCGACATTAGTGGTAGGTAGGTGTTTGTCGGCGAACAACCAGCAATTGGGCGGAGTGGCGGATGGTGGCTCCGGCGAGTTTATGATGGAGTTCTGAAGGAAGAGGTGGCAGTTGAACTAAGAGTCAAGAGACTCCGGCGGAGTGTTCGGCGACGACTCGTAGGGAGGCGAAGCAAGCCCCTTTCGTCATGACGGCGTGACGGGGTTCCAATAGAGGCGGTGGTGGTTGCAGCAGCAACTGTGACCATTTCGTCCAGTGACACAGCAATCTCACGGGCGACGATGACGATGTCTGGCGATGGTAGTTGGTCTCAGGCGGCAGCAGGACTTCTTAGGCAGCAGCATCACGATGAACAAAGTCCTCAAAGGATATCGACAGCCTTCCTCTCCCCCTTTCCCTCCCTATCCTAAGTCACGAAGAAGGTAACTCACAAACGATAATCTCTCACAAAATTCGGTGCTTAGGGTTGAGGAGGGAGTCCTATCTCCCCTTATATAGGGCCCACAAGTGGGCTAAGGGGAGGTGGGCCCACTTGAGGCCCTCAAGCCCATAAGCCACAAAAAGGCTACAAAAGGGGCTTATTGGGCCTCTAAAAGAGAGACCCAATAAGCTCCCCTAAAAGGAGAAAGAGGAGGGCCCTTGTACGATGCTTAAGTGGGCCTCAAATGAAGACCCAAATAAGCCCCAAAAGAAGCCCAAAAGGAAAGAAATATAAGTCCCCCCCCTTAGGGTTTTAATTGGGCCTCCAAAAAGAGACCCAATAAAATCCTAAAGAAAGGGAGACACAAACAAACACACACATAGAATTGGGCCCGCTAACACACAAATGCGAGGCTCAACAAGTCAATGTGAAAATACAAAGAAAGATAAGGGTGAGCTCGAGCTCGTCATCATCGCGGAGGTGGAATGTCGATGTCCCGAAGGCTAGGCCATGTAGCGAAAGCCAGGCTCCCTCGTCTTTGCACGTCGATCAGACTGAACTCGAACTACCGGTGTCTCTTGAGCTGATGGAGATGGGTTCCGCTCGCCATCAAAGACCTACAAATAATAGCATACAACAGACTCATTTTAGTAAAGTTTTATTCATTCTTTTTACAACTCTATTTTGTTGTGGAGTATAACAAGCTGTCCTCTACTTGCAATACCTTCGTTTTTGCAAAAATCATGAAATTCAGTGGAATAGAATTTTAGACCGTTGTCAGTCATCAACCTTTTGATTTTCTTCTTAGTTTAACTTTTAAGCAAAGTCTTTTATTGTTAAAGTACATAAAAATTTCAGATTTATGCTTAAGCATGAATACCTAAACTTTTCAAGAAAAATCATCAATAAATAATAGAAAATAACGAGCAACACCTTTTGAAGGGACGCGAGAAGGACCCTAAAGATCCAACTAGATATAATCAAGAGTACCTTTGCTCTTGTGAGTTACCATTTGAAAGTTAACTCTTTTATGCTTACCTAAAATGCAATGCTCACAAAATTCCACCTTACTAATACTTTGCCAACAAAGTAAGCCTCTATTGCTTAATAGATTCATTCCTTTCTCACTCATATGTCCCAACCTCATATGCTACAATTTGGTGACATCTTCTTCTGTCATTGAGGTAGATGTTGCAACGACTAAACTAGAAATAGTGATCCTTAATAGAGTGTAGAGGGTACCACACTATTGTTCTTTCATCACAAGGACTCTTTTGCTGACTTTTATGACCCAATTTTCACCTAAATATTTATAGCCATTAGCTTCAAGTGTGCTCAAAGAAATGAGATTTTTCTTCGAGAACATGCTCGACATTAGATAATATTCTTGTGATACCATCAAATATTTCGATTCAAACTGTGCCAATACCAATAGTCTTACATGAGGCATCATTTTCCATTAAGACGTTTCCACCATTGATCTGCTCATAAGTGGAACAATACTCTCTATGAGGAGTCATATGATATGAACAACCTGTATCAAAGATCCAATCATCTTTGGATTTGATAATATGAACAGAAAGAACAAAATCATAAGTCTCGGCTTTGGCATCACTAGCATGTGTTGAACTTTTACCATAAGTAAACTCTTTTGAGTCTTCTTGGTGCCTTCTCTTGAGTTTATAACAGTCAGCCTTCACATGTCCTTTTTTGCGACAATAATTACAAAACTTATTTTTGAATTTTAATTTGGATCTTGACTCACCTCTATTTCTTCCTTGACTTTTCTCCTTAGGTTTACTTCTTGCAATAAGACCTTCATGTTACTGTCCTTTTGAAATAATAGTCATATCTTTGTCAATCAACTCTTTTGAAAACAAAGAAGATTTAACATCTTTAACAAATATAATATTTCTACCATATAATAAAGTTTCTAGAAAGTGTCTATATGATGGTGGTAAGGAATATAACAAAAACATGGCTTCGTCTTCTTCCTCCTTTACTCTTTCATTAATATTTTTTAAATCTAGTAAAATAGAATTGAACTCATCAAGGTGAACTTTAATTGATGTACTTTCTACCATCCTGAGCACAAATAGATGTTGCTTTAGAAATAGTTTCGTGATCTTATCATATATAGTGACTCCAATTTCAACCATAATACAACTCTTGTAGTTTCATGAATGACCTCACGTAGAACCTCATTAGATAAATTAAGTTGAACTATAGCAAGAGCTTTTCATCTAACTTTTGTTTTTGCTTCCATAGATATAGTGTTTGACATTTTCTCTTTTCCCAATAATACTTTATGTAGCCCTTGGTGGGTCATGAGAGCTCTCATCTTGGCCTACCATATTCTAAAGTTGATGCTTCAATCGAACTTCTCAATATCAAATTGAGTAGATATCTTGTATCTCAATTTGTGCTAAAATAAGACTCTAACCAAGCTTTTATACTAATTTATTAGGAAATAGTGCTTGGAACAGGATCTTAATGGGTCTGAATTGACCTATCAGCGCAACAGAAGTTTGAGAGTACAAGTACAGCAAGTCTTCTAATATATAAATGATAATGAAAATGTAGAATGGGTTGTAATAAAGCAAGACTTTGATTACTATTGTCTAAGGAAGATAAACACACCTCACGACCAGTAAACCAATGAAAAGCCTAGTAAAAAGGGATGTGGCTCACATGGGCCTTGCTAAATGAAGGATGACCAAGTCACCCTTACAAGCAGGGAGGAAGAGATAGATAGTGAGTGAGAGAGAGAGAAAGACAATGTGCTAGCATCAGTAATATATTCATAACATCACCAAACAGTAATATTCTTGTCTATGGCAATAGTCACAAGAAGTGGCTCCCAATTAAGTTATAGAAAGAGAAACATGCAGCCATTGAGGAAGACGAGACTAAAGATGAGACGATCAATATTTGTGGATTGAAGGAGATAATACCTAATACTTTAGTGTGTGTCTTATCTTTCATTTCTTTTTGGAATAGTAATTTTTCTCTTCTAGATGATTTTTACAGGGAAAATGTGGTGGTGGTGGTTGACACCAACCAAGGAAAAGATTTGGTACCCTTTGCGGGACCAATGGCTTGGATTGTGGGGGCGGTGGCTGCCTTGGAGGACTTTCTCCTAGTAAGGCTTGGGCCCCGCCCATGGCTCCTAGCCCAATCCATGCAAACATCGACTCTACCTTCTCGTAGGTCACCTATGAAACCCATGCAGCGGAATCTTGCTTGCCTAGCAGAGCTAGCAGGACATTGAGGAGAGCGAGGAGGACAGCGGCAGAATGCACCCTTACTACTAGATCCATGGAAGCATGAGAGGGTGCAGTAAGAGGAGATGGGGAAGCAGAGTTCTGATGACTAGGAAGTACACCAGAATGAAGGTTATCAGTGGAGGAAGTTGGAAAGGAAGGGATATTTTTGTAACAAAAATAGTAAATAAATAAATGGATACTAGGAGTGGGGGGAAATTGAGAGAAACCAAGATAGGTGGTACGAGGAAGAGAGAGGATGATATCAAAGGAGGAGGACAGGATGAAGCCCCCAGAAGAGGTGGGGGAAGGGATTGGCATGACTTAGTCGTTATATAATAAATCATGTAAATTTAAAATTTATAAAACTAAAAAATACTAATTTTTAGATATTTAAAAGTATTTTAAAATAAATATATCAATTATAATTCACTAAAAATTTCAAAAGTAGTGAGAAATTTTCAAGTCGATCATAGGAATGTAATATAATATCGAATAATATTTTAGAACTTTTCTCAAAGAATATGATTTTTTTATAAATTTTAAACTAAAAAATAAAAATAAAATATATTTAAAATTTACGAAAAAGATAAATAAGGGTGCGAACGTCAAGATGACATTGTCACCCAACAAATGTAAATTAAGAAAAATAAAGTTCCACTTGATGATTTAATTAGTCAAATTAAGATCTATAGAAGTCAAAAAAATTGTAATTGAATGAAAAGTAGTTTAGAATCACACAAATTATCTTTAAATGAAGTAAAATTAAGTTGCAAATAGGAAAGGTAGAGTTCCAACCTCACGATAGTGATTGTCATAATTCTATGTGTTCAGGAGGGCTATTGAGTAATGTCCATAGTCTCAAAGATTTTCTTTGGACATAGACAACCTAGACATTTGTTGGATCTCCTTTCAAAGTCTAAAAAATTATAGTGTAAATTAAATTAATTAAAAAAATGATAAAACAGAGTTCTAGCGTCATGGGGGCGATGTGTCAGAATTCTAAGCGTTGAAGAAGATTGTCGTGTAATGTCCACAACTTTGAAAGCTCTCCTTAAACAAGGACGACATGGACAATCTCTAGATCTTCTTGCGAAGTCTAGAGTAAAATAAGTCATCAAATTGTCTCCAATGATTGTCACCTAGTAGAGCCAAAAAATGATGACTTTGTAGCTCTTCAACATTTGTCACCTAACAGAGAGGAGCAAAATAGAGGTGGAGTGTGTGTTAAGGAGCTTCATCCTCAGGTCTACGCACAATAAGAGGAGGCTCTTCATTGCATTTAGTATGCTCTCAGGAGGTGGCAACTCATCTCTCAGCAAATCATTCTCCTTTTGACGACGGCTTGTTCGTCGATTAATCGGAGATGATTTATTTGATGGATTTGTAATCTTTTTATCACGAATTGTTCAACAATTTTAGTAACAATGTTCTGTGAATGGCATTGACTAGATTTTTGCCGATGATCGAGCGATTCTAACGGCTTAATCCTTTACTGATGATCTATAAGAAAATCATGATTTAATTAGATAAAAATGTGAGTTTAAGCTCTCGTTGGATATGAACCTTCACTAGTCGCCCACCTACATGAGAAAGAGTGAAATAAGTATGCAAATATTCTTATATAGTGACGTCATTAGGCTACCTCCTTCTGATAAACAAGGAGTATTTTAAGTATTAAAATCTTCGAAAATATTCTAGGGAAGGTGTGACCACTAGTTTAGTCTCACATTAGTTATATGTTGAATGTTGAGATGACTATATAGTAATACAACATTTAGGAAGCAATGAGTCCCTTTCTTGTGTGTGTACAACTACTCCTTTCCCCTCGCCCAATTGACCACCGATGAAGGCTAGCCATTGGTGATGTGGAAGGGGAGTGATGCACACGTGCCCCCATCAGTCCATAGCTACTCGAGCCCCTACTCGTGACTCTGCTCTAACTGAACATCTGACCCACTTGCGAGCCCAATTAGCTGGCAAGTCTCCCTCTTTTTCTATTTTTTATTTTCTTTTATTTTTCTTTATTTTTCTTTATTTTTCTTAAAATAAGATTATAAAAATTATATAAATTTACATAAAATCACATAATTAGCCAAAAAATCATATTAACTAACTAAAAATCATTTTTCATAATTTAGCATAAAGATAAATCTATTTATCATGAGTTAAGGCTAAAATTATATTATTTATTAATTATTAACTCATGATAATGAAGACTTATCAGAGACCTTATAATCAGAAGAGAGGAGTTGTAGACTATAGAAGTCATAGAATGAGAGACAAAAGAAGAGGGAGAGATAGAGAGAGAGAGAGATTAATGTAGATGATAGAAGGGTCTGGTCTTGAAACCAATACAAATGTATACTAAACTAGGCTCCAAAACCTTCCAAGAGATGGCAGATTGAGCTAAGGATGCTTTTATATTATAAATATTATTTATAATAATAATAATATCACTTATAAAGAAAGAGGGGGAGTGGTAGGATATAAAAGCATAGAAGACTACACTATGAAGGTTCCAAGAAGTGATGTTTTTAGAAGAAATGACTCACAAGTCACATTTTCAAAAGATTGACCACTTGTTTCCCTTTGGACTAGGACTGTACATAAGACTGAAACCCTTACAAAGGCATAGAAGATTATGCTATGAAGGTTCCAAGAAGATTGTTAAGTGACATGAAGATGCTTTTATGTTTTTTATGTTAACATAATAGATTATAATAATAAATCCCATCACTTTTGGATGGCATAGTGCCCTGTTGTGCACTGCACCAACTGTGGTTTCCTATACTCCAAGTTAGCTCTCCCTACCATTTGTTATCTATATGACATCATGGCTGACTGTAGATATAGAAATGGGTCAACTATTTGGTCAACTCCT